GCAGGGGCTGCTGCAAGAGACCAACCGCCAACGACAAGCCGATCGGATACGCCAGCAGAAGAGAGGCAAGATAGAGAGGATTACAGTGCAGCAGGAGCTACTGCAAGAGACCCACCGCTGACAACTGGCCAGGGAAATATAGACATCAAAAATGGCAATCAAAACCGCATCAGAGTGGAAGGAGATACAACTAACATTAATCAAAACATCTGTGGTATGTTAACATTGGAATGATTTAATATTGTGTATCGAGTAAAGCTTGAAATACAAAACGTATCGGATGCATGATTGTTTTAAACGAAATTGTACAAATGCTAACTTATATCAAAGTTAGTCGTACAAGTAATATGTGATTTTGAAAAATTTCAATTCTTTGTACTCAGCTGAGGAGATAAAAGCTGATGCAAGGTTGCAACCAGGAGGTCGGACAAGCCGATCGGATACTCCAGTAATAGAGAGACAAGCTGACGAGGACTACAATGAAGCAGCAGGTGCTACTGCAAGAGAGCAACCACCAACGAACAACAGGGGAAATAATACAGAAATCAATGTAGAGGGCGATAAGAACAGCGTCAGAGTGGAAGATGGAACTACACATAATTATTATATCTTCGGTAGGTATACTAGTAGTAATAGTAGTACCCAGTAAAGCTCCAATTAATAAGAGTAAGTTTCTGGTTGCACCTTGTTATAAGAAATCTCTTGTGTGTATTTGTGTGTGGGTCTGAAACGATTTCTAGTCACCAGGGGCAAACTGCAAACTCCATCTGATTGCCGACTTCACCATGCATGCAATCCTCCACATCTTCTCAAAGCTCAAAAAGTAAATGCGAAATATAACCAGCAATGGGAGGGCGGTATGCGTACGTCCTTCAAATAACTGATTGTAAAAACTGCTGGAAATTGGCCTAAAAAGACGTTGATGTTCATAATATCGAGTGCAAGCTTTGAAGTGTCATGGACAGCGCTTCTTTTGCGAAATTGATACCCACGATCATAAAATTACAATGGTTTTCCTGGTAACTGCCCAGATAAACATCTCATTACCAGATCATGTAACGTTATTATGCGTGATAGATGCAGTGGTGCTAGCCAGGTAATCTGATATCCAGCTGAGGATGCTAAAGTAATTGTACAGGGTGTTTCAATAAAAAGGAAACCCAACTTTGAAGAACCAGTATGGACAGACTAAATGTTTACTGGCTATAAAACAGTTAGCATCTGAAAGCGTAATCTCTATGCTTTTCAATGATACCTTGTTTACATTTCCAGGGTCATGCATCACTGAGCGCCACTGTCATGAGATTTTGATGCAAAATTGCAGTTGGTTCACTTTTATGTCAAACACAATAGGCATGGTGTGCATGAGAATAAGTATTCAAGAAGAAGACACGAGTGCATAAGAAGAAACCCAAAAAACAAGTCGGGTTGGTTTCAAAACTGGATTTTATTGTTTATCATGAATTTCTCGTTTTGACCAAGCCAAGTTCAAAACAATGTGCCATTTCCCCGAGGATCAACATTCAAGCCAATTTACAGACATTTTTGTAACAATAGGCACACCGTGCCCAGTGTTTTTTTTTTTTATGAAAGGGAACCAACTGCATTTTTGCATTCAGTTTTCAAGACAATGATGCTCACTGATGCATGACTCAGAAACCCTAAACATAGTATCATTGAAAAGCATAGAGATTACGCTTTGAGATGATACCAGTTTCATAGCCAGTAAACATATCGTCTGTCCATACTCATTCTTTGAAGTTGGGTTTCCCTTTTTTTTGAAACACCCTGTATAGTGTTCTCAATTAACTTCACTTTAAATTACTCTCATTGACATGCTGTAATATTTCTTAAGAAATGTCGACCGAAGTCTTGAGGCATCGTCGACCATTCTACATTACCACATAATATAGAAGTAAGCATTACTAATCCTTGTAAAAAACGATGCACTGCCATGCACTTAATATTTTATCTACAAAATGGATGAATTCATTCCACTGTACATTGATTTATCAGTGATTCCGATGATGATGGACTTATCGGATGGCGGGCAGACAGACAGTGCGATGACACGCCAATCATATAAAGTACTTCACGATGGAAAACTCGACGTCATGCAAATACTTCGAGATAACGTGAAGAGACATGACGAAACCACCATCCCCAGCGTGGAGGTGGGATCAGTGAAATTCATCCTGCACGTCAGGAGTCGCAAAGGCCTCGACAGCCTGTGGAAGGATTACTGCTCCGGGAAACTTGCTCAGGAGTTCGGTGAGGCGCTCATCACTGACGAACTCACCTCCGAGGACAAGAGTAACATAACAATCAAGCTGAAGATATCGGAGAGCGACTACGAGAAAGGATGCAGATTCTTCGAATCATTGCAAGCTGGTAAGTCACTTTTCTCGTTGATTAGAGAAAAAAAGGACTTCTCCGAAGAAAGAGTTTGCAATCCCAATTCCATACTTGGTTTTTGTACAGATGTTAATTAATTCAGTGTAGGTTATTGATTTTTCTGACGCCATTTATCTTTGTGTTTTGATATATTTGCTCTTTAAAGATACGATGTTAAGTCAACCCCCTGGTTCTCCCATCTTCTATTCTTTCCTTTTTTACCCTGAATAAATTGTTACAATACGTGATTTCTTTACTTTCAGACCCTGCCGAGCGAGTGTTACCAGTGCGCATGTCAAAATGGACTGTGGAGCATGTACGGCAATGGCTTCTAGATATTGGGGTATCTGATTCCATTGCCGACGAAATGTACGAGGGAAAAATACGCGGGAAAGTGTTAGAAATGTACACAAAGGCTGATCTAAATGACGACTATAGCCATATTACGACAGGCGACATGCGTCTTATTTTGTACAGCAGGAAAACCTGGTTGGAGTCTGAAAAGCAACAGCGAAGCCCACTCAGACAAGAAGCAGTGACTCAAGAAACGGAGCAAGATCTGTCTCCCGGTATCGAACGGGATATTCCAGACCAACTCACGCCGTTAACACGGGAACCCAAGGAATCCGCACTCCCTCAGGGTGACGAAAGTTCTCAACCCGCAGCAGGTGCTACTGCAAAAGATGTCACTGCAACGACTATCGATAGCGTCAATATAGGAGGCAGTAACAACCCTGTAATAATGGGAGATTCAAATGTTATCAATTGCTATCATGGTAGGTAAACTTTATTGATAATTTTGTATGAAGTGTATGGATAACTCCAATTACAATGTGTGACTGTTCCGTGACGAGGCAATGGCGGGGTACAGCTGCAGCTGTTCGTATTCATGATCAGTGTTTACCAGTGCCTTGCCGAGAATAAACGAACTTCTCCAAATTATTGCGTGCAAAACCGGTATGGATAACTCCAATTACAATGTGTGACTGTTCCGTGACGAGGCAATGGCGGGGTACAGCTGCAGCTGTTCGTATTCATGATCAGTGTTTACCAGTGCCTTGCCGAGAATAAACCAACTTCTCCAAATTATTGCGTGCAAAACCAGGGTTGAACTTCAAGCTACATGTATATGGGGAGTGTTGTCCACGACACAGCACATGCTTATTTGAGGTCCCTTCCCGTTTTTTTTATTAAAGACTTCACCTGTAAATTCATATAACAAAAATCGTTCTTAGCCTCTGCTGCATGGGTTTCGAGTCAACTCGGTCCCAAATCAACTCGGTCCGAGTCAACTCGTCCCAGTTCAACTCGGTCCTAGGTCAACTCGGTCCCGAGTCATCTCAGTCCCAAGTCAACTCGGTCCCAAGTCAACTGGGTCCCAAATCAACTCGCTCCTCGGTACCAGGTCAACTGTGAAATTTGAAGAAAAAAATTACTCCAGCAAGGCGAAAAATCAAATTGGGGCGAAAAAATCAAATTGCGCCATGTTAGCGGCCGTGCCATAATAGGGAACATCATCCGCAGTCAACAAGAGACTTTAAAATTATCCGACCATTATTTACGTATATTACTTTTTTTCCGTAGGGGCCGAGTTGACTTGGGACCCAGTTGACCTGCGACCGAATTGACTTGGGACCAAGTTGACCTGGGACCGAGGTGACTTGGGACCCAGTTGACCTGGGACCGAGTTGACATGGACCGAGTTAATTGGTTTGGGACCGAGTTGACCTGAACGTGTGTTGGCGCGTCGAGTCCCAATGTCCAAAAACGTGCAAAGAGCTCAAAAGAAGGGTCAAATGTTGAATGATAATGCAAATTATAATTACTAGAGAAGCCAACAAGTCTCAAGTGTACTGGTATGTTGCGCTTGAATAGGAAAATAACTGAGTAAAAGTTATAGAACTTGTTATTATTTTTGGGCTCATTACTTCTTAAAAGGCCTTATAAAATTGTAGCTGACATATAAAATTGATCAATCTTTTGACTTGAACGAGAAATGTCGTAACAAGCATTCACCTCTTACTTGCATACATACCCCTAAAACGGGGGACACAGACTTTCCAATTTTGTGAATAAAGTTAAAGAACATAGTTATTAGAAAGTATTTAAGGCGGAAAAATCTAAAGTCAACCGTTTGTAGACTTGCACCTCTTCAAGATCTGTTCAGACTAACCCCACTAAATGTAGAGCCCACTGGCTTCAGGTGAATCATTACATCGGGGTTCTACCCGATGTTCCCCAACACCTATGTTCCCCAAAATCCTTAGGGTTGGGGTTAGGATAAGGGTTGGGGTTGGGGGACATAGGTATTGGGGAACATAGGTATGCACCCATAGCATCGTTACGGTTATACATTCGCGTCCTCGCGTCACGGAAGTAGACGAAATGAAAAGCAAAAGTGCAAAGAATAATGTGCACTGTAAAAGGTTGGTTTTAGCCATCTCAAATGGCGTATTTATAAGTCACATGGTTGACCAGTCTTGATATTTGTATTAAAGTAAGCATGACTAATCAGATAACATTAAAAATGTTTCCCTGTGATGCAATTACCTTCAACTAACCATTGTAACAAAATAATGATATATTTCATTGTACATGTTATTTTATCAGCGAGTCCAATGATGATGGACGTATTGCGTGATGTGCAGCCGGACGATGCGTTGACAAAACGCTGGTACAAAATACGTCACGACTACATAGAATTACTCCAAGATGTCGTGAAGAAACACGAAACCACCATCGCCGGCGTGAGGATGGGATCAGTGAAATTCATCCTGCATGTCAGAAGTCGCAAAGGCCTCGACAGCCTGTGGAAGGATTACTGCTCCGGGAAACTTGCTCTTGAGTTCGGTGAGGCGCTCATCACTGACGAACTCACCACCGAGGACAAGAGCAACATTACAATAAGGCTGGAGATACAGGAGAGCGACTACGAGAAAGGATGCAGATTCTTCGAATCATTGCAAACTGGTAATGCGCTTCTCTCGTGCATAAGAGCAAACAAGTACTTCGTGCCAAAGAAAGATTACCCCTCCCCGAAAAAAGAGCAAAAACCATTGCATATAATTGATGGCATTTGCCATGAAATCAATACTTCGGTATACTATCCCAAAATGCATGAGGCTGATTTTGATCAGAAATTGCCTTTAACTCAGTGCAAAATCTACTTCTACTTTGACGTCATTTGTCTTTGTGTCTTGCTATGTTTTCCCTTCGAAGAAACGATGTTATGCCATCCCTCTTGACCCTCTAGTTTTCCCTTTTTATTTTTAAGTCTTTTGTTTTTTTCTTTACATGGCTAAAAAAAGTAATAATTTCTTTACTTTTAGATCCAACCAAACGAGAGTTACCAGTGCGCATGTCAAAATGGACTGTGGAGCATGTACGGCAATGGCTTCTGGATATTGGGGTGTCTGATTCCGTTGCCGACGAAATGTATGAGGGAAGCATAGATGGAGAAGTGTTGGAAATGTACACAAAAGATGATTTGAACGACAACTGTAGCAATATGACGAAACGAGACACGAGTCTTATTTTGTACAGCAAGGAACGCTGGTTGGAGTCTGAAAAGCAACAGCAAAGCCCACTGAGACAAGAAGCAGTGATTCAAGAAACGGAGCAAGATCTGTCTCGTGGTATCGAACGGGAGATTCAAGACCAAACCAGGCCGTTAAGACCGGAACCCAAGGAACCGGCACTCCTTCAGGATGACGGAAGGTCTCAACCCGCAGTTCGCCCCAAAGCACCAAGGATTCGTGACAAGCCAAGTCCAAAGAAGGAGAAAGCGAAGAAAGTTGCCACTGTGCTTCCGCAGCAAATCCTAGAAACTACTACGATGCTTCAACAGTCTGATCATCCTGGTGATAACCTCGACATCACCGATCAACAACGACCTCGACAGCCACCATTGCAGGCTGTCGACGTAGAGCAGCACCGTGAGGCCAAATCCCGGGAGCCACAGGCAATGGAGAAAAACAAGAAAGAAATTCCACCAGGTGATGGTCATGCATCGATAGCACGTAGTACATCAGAAGTCGCAACGACTGACGAGGCCAGGCTTCGTATGTTACTCACGGGCGACGAACGAGGTGAGCTTGACCAGTCGTATTATCCAGTGCTCATTGCAAACAAACCTGCAACGCCAGCTGAGAATGACACAGACGCAATCGCACGTCAATTTGGATTCATTAAAACAATCAGGTGGACCACCGTCTTAGATTTTAATTCGAAATCCAAAGTGGACGGGCTATGCAAGCTGTACCACGAGGATCGGATGGTCTCCCTGCAGCAGCCGGAACTGTTCAAAGACATTGAGTCTGATGAAGAGTTTCGGAATACAATCGAATTTCCCGAAAAGACAGTCTGGGTGTTTGCAAATGGGCGTGAAGACGATCACAATATCCAGGCACCTAAGATGGCCATGCCTGAGTGGCACAATATACGCCGTAGAGACGTTGAAGATTCGGTGAGATTCTTCTCTCAACCATCGGTGATACCGAAGGGGCGAGCTGTAATCATGTTTTTGCTGCTATCTGAAGATGACATCGACATCCTTTGCGAGACTTTTGGCAAACTATCATCATCTTTTCAAAGCATACAGAGCATCGTCTGCATCGCCGAAGACCGAGAGCTTTATTCCAAGTTTGTGAGTTATGTTACAAAGTGGTTTTCGACAAAAGATGAAATCGACAAACGAAGTTTGGTGGGACTTGAGTGGCAAGAGATAAACAGAATCATGATGCGAATGAACGGCGTGAACCAGACCACCAAGAACGAACTTCCTTCCAACTTACGTGGGCAGTGTTTTCTTTCAGAGAAACAGAAGGATGAATGGAATGACATTACTGTTGTGTGCAAGAATGAATGTGAAAATACCGATATGGACGATACCAGTCCAAGCTACAAGCAGTTCGTTAAAAGAAAGGAGCTAGACTTCTACCACGGTGAGAAAGTTGATTGGTGGAATTTTGCCATCGGTGAAAAAGAGAAAAAGCTTCGCAAAGCTTGCGGTCATGTTCTGAAAAGGAAAGGTTTTGGGGATGTTCTCAGGAAAGTAAAAAAACCACTGGATAGTTCCAGGAGTGGAGATAGCTTGATTGTCACAGTGACACTTCTACACCAACCTGGCGCTGGGGGTAGCACTTTAGCTCGCCATGTCTTGTGGGAACTTCACAAAGATTACCGATGTGTGGTAGTTAACAGAGTTACAAGTCGCACGGTCAACCAACTAATGGAGGTGAGACACTATGGTTATGAGAAGGAACATGCTAAGCAAATCCCGCCAGTGTGTGTGCTTGTTGACAATCTCGATGATATTGAAGTGCTGGATTTGATAGCAGACTTAGAAGAGAAATCAAAGTATGTTCGAGTGGATGGTGGAGCAGTCTGCGTCCTGCTTCATTGCAAGCGTAATGCAGACCCGGATAAGGCCATCAAAGCCAAAGATAGGGATCCCGACCTCTATATTCCCTTGACTCAGAAGCTTATTCAAACAGAAAAGAAGTGGTTTCAGCAAAAGTACATTGAATTGGAACACAAAGAAAACGAGTACAAAACAGGAGATTACATTCCTGACAATCTCCTTGCCTTCATGGTGATGAAGGAGGAATTCAACAAGGAGTATATAACAAATGTCGTTTCGAGGATACTTCAAGACATCAAGGGGAACGATCTGAAGCTGATTAAACTGTGTGCCCTTCTGAACTCTTACATACATGAAGCTGACATACCTATCTCTTGCTGTGACACGTTTATGGCCGGTACATGGGCCAAAGGGAAGACGATCTATTTCACCAAACATACTTTGAATTGGGAGAAATCAGTATCAGCCTCATTTAAAATTATGGTGGTTATAACAGAAAACCGAACCATCAAGATTTTACATAAGAGCATAGCCGAGGAGGCTTTGAGGCAAATCTTGAGAGAAAGCGGGGACCAATCGCTGGCAGATGTAACACTGGAGTTCTTGAACAGCGAACTGCTTCAGTCGAGTTCTTACAGCAGAAAGATTCTGGCAAAGACAACGCATGATTTACTCATCAGGAGGGAGCGTGTAGAGGACACCAAGACAGGATTTTCGGTTCTCATTGAAAATATTTGCAAAATGCACGGATCGAAAAAGGCCATCACAATACTGACAAAGGGCGTTGAAATACTTCAAGATGCCTTTGTCGCACAGCAGCTTGCAAGGTTTTATCTCATAAAGGAGAAAGATTTCAATATGGCGCACACCTTTGCTGTGAGGGCGTTAGATATGAATCCCCAAAACCCTTATTTTTGGGATACAAAAGGCCGTGTTTACAAAGCACATTTTGACACCCTTACTGAACCATACGTACTTGACCAGCAAGCCCTTAGTGACGAAGTATGGAACGAAGTATTTTCTCTGTCCTTCAAAGCCATGAAAACATTTCGCAAGTCGTATGAAGTATCAAAGGAAGCGGCGCCAACACGAATTGTGTACACTGGGTTATATACTGAGCTCAATGTGGCCTTCCGTCTTCTGCAAGTTATCCATCTATGCGTGGAGCCCTTCAGAACCCAGGGTGATATCAATGTTCTTCAGATGTACCTTCTGAAGTTGGACCTGCCCCCAGGCGTTAGTCTCCCAGCGTGGGACAGTGAGAGCCAAACTCAAGTTAGAGAGTTGAAAAACAGGGTGGATGAAGTGTTGGAAATAATGGACGGCAAAACGACATACTACAAGGATGGCTCAACTGCAAACATTGCTGGCCAGAAATTGGATGAAATGAGACAGAACATGAGAAAATATTCCATAATATACAACAAGTACTATGGAGAGCCACAACCAATGCACAAAGAAAGGTACAGTGATAAAGATCCCATGAGCCTTGCTGAGTATCGGCGCAGACTCGTCGACCAATTACATTGCGGTAGTTTCCACGAGATCTTCGATCGGGCAAAGGCCAAACAGCGGGAAGTTCTCGAGGACTCCCGGGACCTCCTGTTGAAAAATTCAAGTAATTTCAATTCGTTTGACTTGAGGATTCTGATTTGCATATATCTGGCCCTCTCCTCGTTGGGAGAAAAGTCTGTCTCGGCTGACTATGTGTATCAGGAATTCGTTCGTCCGTTCTACGCGATGGATCGACCTAAAGATGAAAGCTGCTGGCCCTCATTCTTGATGACGATGTTCTTGTGGCCTATCAAAGGTATGGCGTCAGAACGAAGAGATAGATATGATTTAACAGAACACATAACGGAACTGAAAAGGAGATGGGACGTCGATCGCAAATTCTCACGCGCACGGTTGCCACAAGTTCATGAAAGAATTAGACGGCAATTCAAATCCCAGATGAGACCCCGTACGCATTTCTTTTTGGGCCAAGGGGAAGGTCTGCGTGTGTTTGCTCACATCACCGAGCTTCATGCAACTCAGGGTAAGCTTGACCGACGCGATGCTGGCGACGATTTGTTTTGGCAGTCTGATCTCGTTAAAGAAAGGCTGGTTCGTTTGGAAGGCACGCTCCTGAATGCCACTTCCCTGTTGCATCGCTTTCACAAAGACAAAGACCCCATTGATATCAAGTTAGCTGTTCCCCACGAAAAGCTTGCAAGTCAAGAGTCTGTCACCTTCTACCTGGGGTTCAGCTGGAATGGGCCTGTCGCATATGACGTGACATTATCGACGGATGCAGAGTGTCGTGACGATCACACAGTGCAACCCTCTTTCCGTAAAGCCTACCCGAGCCACATCTTGCCGTCAGGCAAATCTAAGGTGTCGCCGTCTGATAACCTATCCAACATCGGTAGGCTACATATGGAGCGTGAAAAGGTGAACAAGAAGATCGAAGAACTCTCGTCCGCATCCCAGCAAGATAGTGAAAAGAGGAAACTGGGGAAGGTAAATAAATGTCAATTTTATATTCAAAGGAGAATTTTGAGATCACTCTTCAGCTCCATTTTTAAGTGAGTTTATTCCGAAAGGGCCTAAACTCACAATAAATATGCAGTGAACAGGTGTTTAAGTCCACATTTTCAAAATGATATTTTGAACCCATTGTTGCTAGCACCACGCCATGTTCGATGGATGTTATGGAGGAAACATAACATGTATTTTGGACCCAACAATTAGATTTTCCCACAACTGCCACCCAATGGTGGACGTACATATATCTCTATTAAAGACTGATGTTCTTGGGGTTAGGTACGGAATGTCATATACATGTACTTAGAGTGAAACGTATACATCAGGCATACGGAAATCCAGACAGTAAACAAAAGCAATTTGTAAATTTGTGCAAAACCAACAACCTTCAGTCCACGAAATCGTTGGTATCTAAAATAAAATTAGCGAATAAAATTGCTGAGAACAAAACAGAGAACCGGCAATCCATCGAAACAATCAATATTTAAAATAAGTCAATAATTAGTCTAAATTGTGCGTTGTGTGTTTTCTCTTCACAAAACAGGATGAAGAAACTATCCACAAGAGTCAGACATATTTCAAGCGTCAACTAAAGAAACTGAACAAAGAACTCCAGCGTGTATGGCAGCAAGACGACATCTACGATGATGGATACTACTAGCTCAAGATACGGCCATGTTGTCTACATCCACAGGACTGTGCACCACGGAATTCTGCGCCTACTATCACTTTTCTGTGCTGCTTGCAACGCTAACCGTAGACTGGTTTCCAGTCAATCCGTCATCAATTCTCACTTCGAATGTCAATAAACCGTTACTGCCCTAACACCGGGAGTTGTACTGCATCGGTCTCTTGAGTGCGGGACGTGGTAGGGACCGTTGGATCATTCAGACCTACTAGATTGCTATATATATATTTTAAAAAAGAATTTTAATGCCCAGGATGTACGCACAGATAATCGTGCACATCAATTACATTTTGTAGTGGTAGTAGTAGCAGGCACATTCGTACATCTTCATATTTACCGCGAGTAGCTTGTGTCCACAATCAACAGGCTTCATGATGTGCCATGTGTTTAACTGGTATTTGTTTATGCATGAAAACGTATAGGCCTACGTCTTCTCTAAACATAGAACTTCGTTTCTACAAATATTGTCCAATCAAAAGCGAGATAGCCACCGGCCCCTATGTTTTATGGCCCCTTCAATGGAGAACCACTGTGCTCACTGCCCGGGATGGAGCATCTAAATATTAAGTAGCACAATGCTTTCACCATTGAATGGGGCCCTTCGAATTGATATGACGTACCCTGATTGGTCTATTCCTTACGGTATTAAAATCTAAGCCAGGAAATTGGGTGTGACCCCCACAGACGCCTGGAAGTGCGCCGGTAGTGAACTTCAAACAAAGTATTTTGTACATGCCTACGCTCCGACCGGGGCTACTGCCTCTGTAGACAAGGATACATTTTACACTAAGTTCTCATCCTCTGTTTTTTTTTCTGTTCTTCAAACGACAAGCTGTTTGTCCTCGGTAATTTCAATGCAGTTTCTGACAGGATTGGTTTCGAAGTCGTTGACGGCAACGTTGGACACGGCACAGTAAACGACAATTCTGTCTGCAAGTTGCGCTTTTATCTCGTTCACCGATTGTCTCGTGTTCCTACTAAACGTAAAACCATTCACAGACTGACCTTGCTATCTTACGATGGGCACACTGTCAAAGGAGTTTGATCATTATACTTGACCGCGGTTGCCTGAAGTCCTGTCGGGTTTACCACAGACCGAAGCTCCTGCCAATCACATTGTCGCACGAATTCGTATTAACCCCTTCGCCCAATTACTCTGCTCTCAATAACTGACTCACCAGGATTCGACTCCTTCTCATTCGACCTCTCTTCTCAGAGACCAAAGCAGTCGGACTTTACACCAAATTGCTCCACCTTAGATGCGATCCTAGCGTATTCTTGCTGAGCTTCACCAAGAATATCATCACCTACTTTCAGCTGCTTACATAGAGATAAAGGCAGCTTTTGACTCAGTAGACCGAAGTCAGCTGTGGGGCCGCTTCTCTCCACAAATGTTGACCAACATATATACATACCTCTGAATTGTGTAAAGAATTGTGAGATGCCGTGTAGCGTGAGCAACACGTGGATTCCTTTCTTAAAACGCAATCAATTTCTGAAGCAGCACAACTCGGTCTACCACATCACATTCCACGCAGCAGCCCCCAACAACGACTTTCAAACAGAATACAAGTACATGTATAGAGTGTTTGCCCCCCCCCCCCCCCACACCCGATCTTGGCGTCAGGCCAAACCCTTCCCGGTGCAGCATGAAATTAGACTCCACGAAATTCGGACTCATTGGTTGTATTGCGCATGTCTACAACTGAACAAAATTAGGGAAATGGCATGTCACATGTAAGGTTAGAGTCCATATAAGGTAAAAGAGAGCGGATTTCATTGGAGTCCAAACTTCATGACACCGGAATATTGAACCAACAAATAAATACATAAATAAATCAGAATCTATATATTTATAGAGCCTATTTATATTTCAGGGCGCGCTTCCAGTTAATAGGAAAAATAGGCGTTATACTAAATCTATAATTTTTGGTATTTAAAAAAAAAAGCTATTTACGATGAGTATTCAGTTCAAAGGTAGATATAAGTCTCTTTACTTTATAGTACATGTATAATTAAACAGACTGTACCGTCACGTTAATGCAAACCTGTTTCTTTTTTGTTGGATTAATGTTTATTTTGGTAATTCGATCGATTGTGTACGTATGTGAAATGCGATGGATGTTTGATATTGAATTTTAAATTTATTTCACTGCAAGTTTAATCGCTCAGCAGAACGTAAACTTTAGATTCACACCTTATTTTTTAATACAGAATTTTAAAAATGTATTTGTACATGTACTTAATTGTAAAAAAAAAGGTATCTACTTGTAAGAATTATGAGTGCCATTTAATATCGTTATGCACTTCATAGGCACCAAAAAAGTGTTGAAAAACATCGCCCTAGGCGATGACAATACCCCTCGAGCCTCTCGGCTGAGGGGTAAAAAAGCTATTTACGATGAGTATTCCATTTTAAAACCAATTCAATGACACTGTTAATTTATCCAATTCCGAGTGACCTACTGTTGAATCAGTTCAAATGTATTAGGTAGATATAAGTCTCTTTACTATATAGTATAATTAAACAGACTGTACTGTCATGTTAACGCAAACCTGTCGGAAAAGACACCCAAATTATCGTATTTTCTTTTTTGTTGGATTAATGTTTATTTTGGTAATTCGATCGATTGTGTACGTATGTGAAATGCGATGGATGTTTGATATTGAATTTTAAATTTATTTCACTGCAAGTTTAATTGCTCAGCAGAACGTAAACTTTAGATTCACAAACGTTATTTTTGAATACAGAATTTTAAAAATGTATTTGTACATGTACTTAATTGTAAAAAAAAAAGGTATCTACTTGTAAGAATTATGAGTGCCATTTAATATCGTTATGCACTTCATAGGCACCAAAAAAAGTGTTGGAAAAACAAAATGCACAGTATGATGGTACAAGTAAGGTGGGAAGTAACTAAATCCAGTATATTTGTATACAAAAATTGATTGGGTTTCCTACATAAGTTTTTATTGCTGGCGGAGCACTTTATCAATCGACATTTGTATATTCTTGCATGATTGGTATAATTCGAACCTTCTTGGAAATATTGATTCAGAAACAATGGAATTCAGAAACAATAAGATTCCATAAAACACACTGGCAGACAAAACATAACGACGCTTACATACGCCATTTTCTATTCAAAAATTTTGAATTTACATGTTTATTATTTTGTGAATTAATCATAGTAAATGTAGCCGAGTGTTTAGGTAACATTTCTACAAAGTTATGTTGTATGTTGCTACGAGTTAGAAAGTTACAAAATGTTCGGTTAAAGTTTTGGATCTTTTTATAAATACGTATATGGGCAATTCCATGAGAATGTGGACATGGCTGGAAAAAATAGAGATTTTTTCTTAAATGTCCATAATTACAAGCACCATTATCTCAAATGTGGTATCAAATTAAAAGTGACAACAAGACCTTTAATTGCAGTGATGTGCTAGTGAGATGGCGTATGGTTACGTGTGTTGTGTTTGTAAAAAAAACCCTGGTATTATGCCTAAAATAACAGATTTTAGGTAGTGTGATCATGTGATAGTTTTGAATACAGTTTCTTGTGATTCACTTTAATCCATATTTATTCACTTTTCAACAACAGTTTTTTTCACTGTTTAACTGTCACTAGTTCACGGTTCAATGTTGCACTGTATGATGATTCACGTAAAACTGCAAAAGATCAAAGAAAAATAATCCTTAAATCAGAAAACATATCTTTCTTGTATACTAAATATATTAAGAGACTTTCACTACTTATCATGCACTCTTACATGTCAATAAGATGCTACTTGATAAAACTGGTCAGGCGGCAGAAACAAACAGCGCCACCGAGTGGCAATGTCTGAACTGGCTTGCTGGCGGTTACATGGCTCCTTTAATTTGACCTGTATAAAATGACTTCATTTCAGCGAAAACACTAAATTACAAACAGGAACTAACATGTTCCAATCCTGCTGCTGCACAATTTTAACGTGTTTTTAGATGGGGTTATGATCGAGAATAAGCTTTATGTGGCCTCTCTGGTCTCCCATAATATTTGCACTAAGTTTAGTCGGGCAGCATTTGCAGTCATCAGCCGACATTTGAAGCAAAAAAAAACAGGTAAAAAAAAAAAAAAAAGCTTCGTCGCCGCACCACTTTTTGGGCAAGCTCCATACCAGAAACCGGAGACTTTTTTTTTGGCCTTATGGATAGGCCACTCGAAGGTAGATCTACCCGTCCGGAGCTTGACCTTCCGGATGTGACCATCTGGGCTGAGACATGTACCACGTGCTAGTAGTGACAGGCAAACTGTCCCTTTCAACCCTCGAAAAAAAATGATAAATTGAGAATATGCTGGGAACAGTACGGGGATTTGGGGGAAAAAATCCTGGCGACGCCCATGCCTGTTAATTTTATATTATAAAACACAGATCAACCTTTCTTTCCCGAGAGTTAGGGGAAATACTAAAGATTTTGTAAACTTTTTTTCATTTAAAGTTTTGTCAACAAAATGATGTGGTATTCACAATATTGGAGAAACTCGAGGTGTTTTTGGCATATGCGATTCGAATTCATCAAACTGTAGGATCTACCACTCGAATAATGGGAATAACGGATGTTAGAAATATGCCTGCTTGTTTGACAGAAAGTACATTTCTGTATAAATGGTTACCACGGATCCTATACACACAGGGATTAACGACTCCCCAACTCCTGGTTAGACGCGCGATGACGGCTCGTACTGGTGGCAAATACCATGAACACTTTTCAACAAAGACCACAGCGCGCGGTGGCTTTCAGATTTGCAAGGCGCCCGATCTGGTGTCAAGTCTGTCAGGCCAGCGAATTATATTTTTGAATATTCATGGTCTACGTTTTTGGTCTTTATTATTGAATTTTGATAAGTGATAACTACATAACCATGGTAATGCCGAGCACAATATCTTTAGCTTTAAGATGAATAATGAAATGTCGTATTTGTTTCATCGGTTCGGCATCACATCTCTCTAAAACTTTTTGATAAAAGCCTAAGTAAAAAGGAAATTTGGGTAAACGGTGTTCTCCTCCTAATTTTCGGGAAATTTCTTGTTGAAATTTTGATACGTAAACGTGTGCAAACGAATCTGGAAATTTCACGAAAAACAGACATCTGAAAAAGGCAGCCCTTTCTGAGTAGCATATAAAGAGGGTGAGTATGCTTCTAAAGCAAAAATAAACTACAAACTAAGCCTAAATGTGAAAATCAAAATTTGACAAAGTTCGACATGTTTTTGTACATGGTGGAAGATTTAATTACGGAGGTAGTCCAGGGCTACTAACAACTATAAACAGGGAACGATTCGTGGAGTTCCGCCTGTTCGGCAACACTTCACTGCCCCTGCAAACACCATCGACGGCATGCCCATCTTGTCATAAATATTCTGCTAATGGAAACACGCAACATACAAGTACATAGATCGCCGGTCTAGTTAGCGACCAAAAACATAAAAAAAAAAAATTCCAAAGGGTTGCAGACGCCCTCCCCCCCCAAAAAAGTCAAAAAGGAAGTGTTTTGGTTGGAATACAACACACAAGTTGAAACTAAGAGAAAAAAAACCCATTGAACTTGTTGAAGAGAACTGAAAAAGCAACTTAACCTGAAAAACATAAGACACGTGTTAACAATTTTCTCTTTTTAAAACGATGACTATGATTTAATTGAATACTAAAACAATAAAACCATGGTCTATGAATATGGATACTTATTTACATGCACTTACAAGGCACCCTATGGAATTATATACAAACTGTTAATGGACGGTTTGCAACGGTATGCTTCGCTACTTACAAACTTTAAAATCATTCATAAAATATTAATTTGTAAACAAAACGATCAACATGAAGATGACAGCCTAAAATGGCAAATTCACAATTATGTAGGATTTCCACAAAAGTGAAATAAACTGTTCAAATTAAAGTACATAAAAAAGCCTATAGACATGGTATATACAGGTGGGTGATTAATACAAACAGTGGACGGGTTTGTTTTGGTTTACAATAAAGTAGATGCTATCACACGAACAAATTAAAATATCCACCTCTCTGATGCTGCCAAAGTGTGACGTCACCTCCCAATGTCGGGCTAACGTAATTTACAACAATTCACGCACACCCCTTAACAATGCATTATCCATATGTTAAAGGGGCACTAGGTCCTGAAATCCCCGACAATTTCATGTTTTGGATCGTTTACATATCCTATTTCAAACATCTGGTTCAAAGGAAACCAACCTAATGTCTCACCGTTCCCGAGAAAAGAAAAGAAAAACTTGGTTGTTTACATCGGACACGACGAGTACGAATACGCTTTTCCTGTCATTTTCACTGTTTGTCAATGTACATACGATATGTATATACAGTCAAGGTTCGTTAATACAAACTCGTTCGGACCTAACCAAATTGTTTGTTGTATCAGAATTTTGTATTAAGAGGAACATTAGTCCCATTCATTGTGCACATAAATGCACAGTCGGGACTAAGGCTGTATGTTTGTTATAACCAGAATTTTGTTTGAACAGAGTTTGTACTAACGAGATTCGACTGTACACAGCACTGTGCTTGCGAACAGCGCGCGGTGACCAATCACCAACGCACAGAATATGGTTTCTTACACGTCTGCAAAAGGCGAATCACTTTACGGATGAAATCACAACTAGCATCAAAACAGCTCGAACGTTTGGGGTTGCAAAAGTGGACCCCGAAATTCGTTCACACACGCATATACAGGAATAACACAAAAACGCCCAGGTTTGAAAGGATAGTTGTGTGGATGTTTATATCCTACTTTTAAATGTTCTTTCAGATTAACATCTGTGTGTTGTATAATGTCTAATGCACGTTAAAGAACCCAGTACACTTATCGCTAAGAGAAGGGGTTCGCCACGGTGTTTCTGGCAGTGCGATTATCTTCAGCCATGAAGTCTGCACTTGTAAGGAAGAAAGAAAAAAAAAAACAAAACAAAAAAAAAACATCATTTCGTTCCAAGCGCGTTTTGTAGCCCAATTGGGCTGTTCTAGGACCCAGTGTCCCTTTAAAGGTAAGATGGACCATTGTTCATTGGTGCATTTGTATTGTTGGCCTACGTAACAGCAATGATGTACAAAACCCAATATTGTAATTTTGTAATTTACAAAGTGTTTCTTTAACTAAGGGAATTGGAGGTCTTTCCAGGTACTCTGACTGGTCCTAGGTGACGACGTTCCTTGATGGCTAGCTCATTGACGATGGCAGAGGCAGCGGCACTTGTTCCCCCTCCCAGGAGCTGATCTGAATAGAAGAGAGTCTGGTGAAGGAAAAAAATAGGAAATCAAGAAGAATTTACTTTTATTCTCTTGAGATTTTTGACAATCTTTAAAGATGTGTTCCCTGTGCTATTATCAAGTTTCACCTCAAAATAAACCCCCCCCCCCAAAAAAAATTGGCTATTTTCATTATAAAAGTTATTAAATGAGACATTGATAGAAAAAAAAGCCAATGACGTTTAGTTAGGCACCTTATCAAAATTCCTGTCGGGAAGGGTTCAGATTAATGTGTCCGACCGCATTACTTGTTAAGGCCTTTTCACACTGTGCAAAATCTCCGGGTTGGAACCGGTTCCAACCCCGAGATTTTTTTCGACCCTTTTCCCACTTCTAAAGTTTCAACCCGGTTCCGACCCGGGTAGCGTGCTCTAGCCGGATCGAAATCAACCCTGGGAGGGACCAGGGTTGAAAATCTCAACCCGGATCGAAATTGCATTTTTCGGCATGAACCGTGTCGAAAATGATAGTGTGAACCGCTCCGGGTTGAGTCACTCACGGCCGATCCGTGTTGAGTTGAGGCCGACATTTTACCGAAAATCTGACACGCTGTGCATAATATTTCCCTCCACCACTATCGCCGTCACAACACCGATCCCGAAACAATCGCTCCCTAATTATCATCCAATAATGTATCGGTGTATGGAGCATCCCTTACCGAGTCTGGGCTTGTGTTAGGTCTGCAAAATGTACCCCCAAAAATGTACATTTCTAATGTTAAATAGAACGAATCGTCTAACAAAATGACCGGAGCCATTTTGGAAATATTGCACACAGCTGCGCTGGTGTCGTACAAAAATCGGACTCCCAAATCGGATTCGTTTACTCTCTTATTATTGGTCAAACCCTTTCACGTGACAGGTCCTTCTCCTCATAGGCATGCGCAATACTACCAATGAGTCCGTATTTCACAGAGTAGTAAATTCACGCTGCACACCGGCCTGTCCATATTAAAGCCTCGTGCGCGCAGCAGCCGCGTGCGTCGCAATGCATTATGGGATTGAGAAAATCATCGCAGCGCCCTGTGCCGAATGCGATCCGTGTCGAGAATTTGTAGTGTGAATTCACAGGGGCTGTAGCCGGATTGAACGCTACACGGTTCACGTAGCGGCCGTTCCTGTAAAGGACAGTGTGAACGTCGCGTCTCTCCGATCCGTGTCGAAAAATACTCGGGCTGAACCGGGTTGGATCCGGGTAGGTTTCAACACGGTTCGAAACGGAGATAGTGTGAAAAGGCCTTTATAGGATAACTCTCGGTAACAGTATTCTCGAGTGTCCACTAATTTCCGGTCCAAGGCCAAGGCATTTGTTTACTTGTTAGCTGCCCCTGGCTCTGCAGTTTCAGTGGAGTGACACACCCCCACTGTTATCAGTAATCCACTTAACACGGTGATGGATGTCCCATGTGCTGTTGCCATGAATGGATTAATGGGGCCCTATTTCCTTTTCTCAATGAAGAAAGGGACTTAATTCCTTCTTGGCGAACATTGCTGTCTTTGCATGCATACAATGTACACACAAATTCACATTTTACCTTTTTGTAATATTCATAATTCACGGCATCTGTTTTGGTGAATGCAGTCCAATATAAGGTTAAATGTGTGGCTTATTATAACGGTTACAAAACTTTTCCAAGAGTTTGAACTTAAAGCTTTATATTCACCTAAAATTTGCAATTCACTCAAGAAACCGTGTAATGGAAAAAAGCTATTCTTGCAATTTTGGACTCGGGCGCATTACATTTCAGTTTCACCAGATTTACACAGTTTTCACTGCTTGTTCACTTTGAATGCCTTGTCTTGTAGTTCTGTGAATAAAGATGCTACAATTCTCAACGATAAGAAAGAAAGAAAACAAAAACATATTTGTTCCCGGAATCTTAATAAACAACAATTTTGCTAAATGTCATTTTTGTACAAATGTATATATTTTGCCCGAATGCTTAGAGGTGTAGTTGAATAAAAATAAAGTGATGGACTGATCCCTGTTTAGTCAAATGCCTTGATTCCGCAACTTTTGATTTGAAATTGAGATCCTAGAATGCTGTTTTTCTTGGAACATACAGCTGAAGCTGAGCTGAAACTTCATCAGGTTAGTTGTTCAGTATCCTTCATTAGATTTTGAACACCTTTGTTGCTTCAAACAGAACAAAATGCACAAATTACAAATGATGGACTATATCTTTACAAGTATTTACATGCAAAGAAACTTACTTGTGGACCACTGGATGACTGTATTCCCACGGATCTCGTTTTTATCCCGTGTAGTCTGTTCAGCCGGCTGGTGGCCGATAACTGCCTGATCTTGTCGGATGGAAATGAGGTCACTTTGGGTCTAGGTACCAGACCAAGGTCACCCAGCTTGTAGTGAGGCAGTGAGCCCTGGCCGATGGGAGAGAGGATGGAATACCTATTGGAAAAAAAACGTATAACTTTTAATACTTTCTGGCAAAAATTCTACATGAAATTCTGCAATTCCATTTTCACAGTGTTTGGTGGTGATAACTTCATATTCAACTCCATATCAATCACAAGGATTATGATTTAAGATTTCAAAATATGATTGGTTAAATTAATACATGGTTGCCATGACAAATGTCATTATAGTGGGGCTTAATGGATTGGCCTGTTGCAATATGGCTAATTACACTACTGGATTTTTTTTTACAGAATAGTTTTTTACATTCACTTTAAATTTCAGAGAATTTAATATGAGTACCTGTAAAAAAAATAATCTTTAGATCAAAACAATAAGGTTTATTCAGAAAAAAAGCATGATGCATCAGGAAAGAAGGCCACAGAAGTGAGCATTTCCAACAATTTCCCACTGACGTCTTCTCAAACGATATCTCAAAAAGTTTAGCAACCTTGGTGTTGGTTCACTCTAGCGGAGTGCATCAGCAACAGAAAATAGGAAAACAAAACATTTTTCTCGTTGTCATTATTATCTGGGATGTAAGTGGACTCTTGACATATTTGCCTAAAATGTGAGGCATACATGCACACCCATGTTTTGTGCAAATATGTTTTTTACATATATGATAATTTGCAAAAAAAGTTAATAATAATTTGAAGGGGAAACAACCTGAAATCAGGCAGTTGCCAGAGGACTTTAATACACATCCCTGTATGGTATTCATTTTTTCCCTGTCAAAAAAAACCTGACTTTCACTGTCTGAGTAATTTCAATGCATGAAAACTTTCTAACTTCCAACACGAAACATTTGAACTCCTAACCCCCTTAAAAAAAAAAAAAAAATCAGAAAATTTTAATAAAAGCCAAAAAATGCTAACCCTGGTTTGAATCCTTTCCCGGAGCCAGGGATGGTGGACTGCCTGCTCTTGGTGTGGTACGTAATCTCGTCGTCTTTGAGGAAGCTGGCCGGTGAGGGGCCCACGCCGATCGCCGCGGCGCTGTTGAGGATGACCAGGAGATTCTCCAACATGCTGTCACGCTTCTCGATTCCTTCCTCATCCAGTGAATCGTCGTTATCTCCATCATCCGGCCTCGACTGGAAAAAGTATCGACAAAGTGTTCCGATCCATTTTATGGGGCTGTCCTGAATGTGCCGGACATTTGTTCATCAACTGAATAAACGAATAGCTCTTAGGCCAAAAAAAAAAAAGTCTCCGGTTTCTGGTATGGAGCTTGCCCAAAAAGTGGTGCGGCGACGCGGCTTTTTTTTTTTTTAACCTGACAACAGGATGTTGGTAAATGAAAGTCTAAAGCATCCTGTAAAATTATGGCACCTGGTGTGAAGTCATTTTGAAGAAAAGTGGTATTTTGCATAAATTTCCAACGCTGGTCGGCCGACCACCGTTGGAAAAACCTAACTATTTTTCAACTACTGCTCCAAATTTACCCTTTTTTCAGTCCAAATTTTGTTTGCTATTGGTTACATGTTCATGAACGGGTGCAGGCCAGCTAGACTGGTTTCCTTGCCTTACAATTTTTGGGCATCAATAAATTGATTCATTGCATCTTTAGTGGAGTCAGGGAACCAGACTACTTGAACATATTTGTTTTTCTTGGTTTATCCAGCATTTTCGAACACAAAACTTCAAATTTGTCAGTGTAACAGTATTTGATCTATTATACTAACCCCTCAAATAGTTCATTTCTGAAAATTACAGCAAAAGCCAATGATGTACATTCCCTTTAAAGCCCTTGAATCTGATAGAACACTTACTGTATAACACTCCAGCGGTCCATAATATTGACCTTCACATGGAAATTGTAACCGACGCGCTTTGCATGTAACGTGTGACCAGCGCAGCTGGCACGTCTACATTTTGATCAGAGATTATCGAATAATCAAATTTTCTGTGAAACGCAGTTCTGAATAATCGAACACAACATCACTCCAAAATGGACAGCCCTACCATTTTATAAGACTAAAAAAGCCTAGTTTTAAGATCAGAGGCGCACAATTTTTTTTCTTTTGATTCAGAATGGCTATTCATTGGAAGTCTCTTTATGCCTCAGCCTACACATTGGGGCGACTTTGGCCCGTTCATTGGCATTACGGGGTAATCCTATATGACAGTATACAAATATAACATGGTTTGAGGGTGGACAGTCGATATTCACTCCCCGAGGTATTGGAAGTTGACAAACTAGTTCCAGAGGCGAAGCCGAGGGAACTAGTTTGTCAACTTCCAATACCGAGGGGAGCTAATATCGACTGTCCACCCGAAATAAACCATGTTATATTTGTTTTACTATACCTCATACATATTCAGTTGCCAAATTTTGTTTTATTATTATGCACCTAAAACAAAATTTGGGGAAACTTGTACAGCTCACCAAAAGATTCAACTTCAATTACTAGTTCGGTTCGTTTGCAATATAATACAGTTACTACAGTTGTAAATTTAGTTGTTTGCAATGTGTACAACTTTCTTTTGTACAGGAGACATCTTTACAAGGTCTATACATTTTCTCCAGTACGGCATCATTGAGCTCTGTAAATTAACATTTACGCGAACCGTGCAACCATGCATCTCTCCTGTGTGATGTTCGCGCGTGCGTACTGCACCTCTTGCGACAGTTCCTCGATTGCTCTGTAAAGCGCATGCGTAGTAGACTGTCGCACGGGTAACCCATGCGACAGTCTACTACGCATGCGTATTTACAATGTGTGTGAATCCTCGCGCGCGCGTTTGGTAAACAGCAAGAATAACATCTGGCACGTGATGGTGAATTGACCAGTGAACGTTCGGCTCTCGATCATGAATATGTATGAGGTATAGTAATACTGCCCAGCTCCCTTCAACCAGTCTAAGTCACAGTTGAGGAACTGTTTCACAGAGGAATCGTGATTGTCGTACAGCCTGTCATTGATCAAATCACCTGGGTTGATACAAGAAACTCAAAGTTGTGTGTTTGAAGTAATTGAATTGCTATTTGACCGATGACAATTTTTAGAGTTGCTGCACGATTCCAAAGAAATGTCCAAACAAAAGTTTTTTTTTCAAAATGGCGGGCGCAGGTGATTCAACGACTGTTTTGTGACTGAACAGAAATCACACACAAACAGCCGTTGTTAATGCTGTTATTATCCTTGCCCAAGATGATGAAATGAATTTAAATGTTGGGCAGCTACGCCGAGTTTCCTGAAATTGATCGTAAATTTACTGCCCAGCCCTAACCCACCTCACTCCTCCAAAATCCTCCTTGCGGTTTTGGAGGATTCTAGAGGATTGAAGATGAATGGTGATTGAATCAAATGAGGATTCTGGAGGATTGAGGATGAATGGTGATTGATCGTAAATTTACTGCCCAGCCCTAACCCACCTCACTCCTCCAAAATCCTCCTTGCGGTTTTGGAGGATTCTAGAGGATTGAGGATGAATGGTGATTGAATCAAATGAGGATTCTGGAGGATTGAGGATGAATGGTGAATGAAGCACAAGAGGATTTTGGAGGATTGAGGATGAATGCATTTTGAGGCAGGATTGTCTGATGATTTTGAAGGATTTGGCGTTGGTTATCCTTCATTTAAACACGAGTGCAAAGTTTTGGGATGAGGAGGATTGAGGATGAATGCATTTTGAGGCAGGACTGTCTGACAATTTTGAAAAATTTAGGCGGAGTTGAAAAATTTTGGAGGATTTTGGAGGATTGAGGATGGTTGTAAGCAACAAGGGCCTAGGGGGTTAGGGTAAAAATCCTACGCACGGCATACTTTGCGCACTGTTTCGTGAATTCAGCTGCAGGATTACAACTTTTTTTGTGCACACATGTAGGGATTGAAGGGTAGGCCTACACCACATCATGAGAAAAGCTCGTTATTTTTAGGCGAATTAGGACCTAGCTATTGGGACTTTCTGCTGTCCCCACAGCGTTTTCGGTCCCCGAAAATACCTCATAGGGAATTACAGAACAAGAATTCATGGGTAGGCCTACACCGCATTATGGGGTAGTTTTTTTATTGCTGGGCAAATTAGGACCGAGTTTTGGGGAATTTCTGCTGTTTGCTGTCCCCACAGCGTTTTCGGTCCCCACAAATACTTTGTAGAGACAAGTGTACGTCCAACGACGGAACAAGAATTCATGAACTCACAGTGAGTATCCTGTGCATGGAGTAAGCGGCCTCGGCTAGTATCCTCTCCAGCCGCTCTTTGTTTTTGAGGATCTCCTTCTTTTCCTTCTCCATCAGCTCGATGCGGTCCTCCAGTTGCTCCATCTCTTTGCCCATGGACTGCATCTCCTCCCGGGAGGACTCCGTCTGCTGGCGTAGGAGGTTCACCTCGGATTCCACCTCCATCAGCTCCTTCTCCCGTTCCTCCAGGTCCATGATCAGGCCTTCTTGCTGCTTGGCTTTCTCCGTCAGCATCCGGATCACCTAGTGGATGAAGGCAGGGCGGGAAAAAGAGGATAATGAATCTATATCTTTCTCTTAAAGGGAATATACATCATTTGCTTTTGCTGTAATTTTCAGAAATGGATGGAATTGGGGGGTTGGAAATATATAGCAAATATAGTTACTCTGACTTTTTTGAGGTTTTGGGTTTGAAAATGCTATAAAAACCAAGAAAAACAACCATTTTCCTGTAGTCTGGTTCCCTGACTCCATATAAGAAGAAACAGAGCAGTTTACATACATTGGGGAATTGTAAGGTCAGAGAACCAGTCTAGCTGGCTTGTACCCGTTCATAGGTGTGTAATTGATTGCAAACAAGTGCGATGGTCAATTGGGGCCAGTATTTGAAAAAAAGCCAGTTTTTTCCAACGCTGGTCGGCCGACCAGCGTTGGAAATTGATACAAAAATACCACTTTTCTTGAAAATGACAGTATACCAGGCGCCATTATTTTACAGGATGCTTTACACTGTCATTCACTAACAGTCCAGCAAGGTATTTCAAAACGATTTGGTAGTTCAATTGTTTGCAGCTGTTGTATTTTCCCTTTAATAAAAGGTAGTTTTTGTAGTTACTAGTATTCATGACGATGTGCTCTTGCCTTATAGATTTGCTGTGTACAAGGGGAAAAATAAGAAAAGGCAATTACAGAGGGAGAAGGTATCTATTTATAAGGGAATAAATACAGTCGAAGCCTGATAAGAAGAGCACTGTTAATACAACATCCTGCTTATAACAAGGACAATTTTAGGTCCAAAGTCTTTGTTTTTCTCTGTTTTTTATTACTGATAATACAAGGAGCCTGTTATAAAAAGGTTATTCGCAAAGTCCCAAGGACCTTGTTGTAACGGTGCTCCACTGTATGTGATTGGCCGATTTTAAACCGGGGCCTGGACCAGGATAACGGCCCAAGCAGAATTTATTCCCATTCATAAATACCTTTCGATCAAAAAGTCAAAAGGAGTCAAAAATTCACATATTTTCCAACGATTTTGTTCAACAATTTTACTTCTGTATTTTGTGAAACAACCCTCTGGCCCTGTCTATGGTATGTGCCTCGCACATGTAGTGCTAAAAATCTCTTCATACGGGAATTGGTGCGCGAGCGGTTCACACTACGCAATGTGGTGCAGAATGCAGCGGCGTTTTACTGGCGGTTTAAAACCACCCACGTGACGGGCTCTCGACCAATAGGAATTGGTAAACTGTCACTACTGAGGGGGTAGGCGTTGAGCACGGAATCCATAATTTGATAGTTCGTGATCAATCTTGAGCAAGTCTGGGTAAGGACTGTGGTTAATCATAGTATGACTAATGCACGATGGTTGGACTGCTCTACTGAGAACTGGACTATTTGGAACCAAAGCCCTGGGCATGGAACCAAAGCCCTGGGCATGGAACCAAAGCCCTGGACATGGAACCAAAGCCCTGGGCATGGAACCAAAGCCCTGGACATGGAACCAAAGCCCTGGGCATGGAACCAAAGCCCTGCGCATGGAACCAAAGCCCTGGGCATGGAACCAAAGCCCTGGGCATGGAACCAAAGCCCTGGACATGGTTCTGCTGCTGGTTACCAATAGCTGCACAGCAGGAGCCAGGATCAAGAACTTTCACGATGATGTTTTGATCAGCAATCAACAGGTGTTCGCATGTTGATACCTGTGCGCAGACGTAAGACAACCACTAGTCAACTAATGGTCCTTGCCTGAACTTGGTTCTTGAAGTACTTTACGACCCTGCGTTTGTTTCTACTCACCTTTTGATTGCTGTGGTTCTTCTTAGCCAGTTCCTTCTCGTTAGTCTCCAGCATGTCCAGCTGCTGCCGCTGCTTCTTCTCCTTGGCCTGGATCTCCTCGCTCTCCTGGATCAGCTCCATGGTCTTGTCTGACATCTTGGACAGCTGGGCGTGGATGCTGACGTTCTCCCGGATGGTGCGCTTGGTGGTGTCCGCCATCTGCTTGTTGGAGACCTTGCGGAACTCGGCCGCTACCTGGTTGACTCGTAACACCATCTCCCGCTTCAACCTTTGGAGGGGTAAAACGCAAAAGTTGTCAGAACACTCAAAGTAAAATTAAAGTTACATATGAACAAAAATATACTATAATGCTGAGCTGCAGATATTGCTTTGCAACTCTGCATTTAAAGCCCGAGTCCATCATTTGCAGCTATCCAAAAAAGTAACTGGCGTAATTATTGTTGAAAAACATACAGGTTGAAAGATAGTAAGGGGACTAAACTCCCTGTGAAATTATCCTTTCTGGCAAGCTCTCATTTTGAAGAAATCAACGAAAGAAGGCATTTCCAACGGTGCTTCTTAAGAAGCACCGTATTAAGAAGCACCGTAGGAAAATTTAAATTAGTTGTTCGTTTTGTTATTCGGCGCAGCGCGCACAAGCATTGGAACGACGCACAGGCGCGCGCGGTTGCTATAATTCGTCGGATCAGTGCGCGACATCGCGTAAAGTTGCAATTCAAAACAATTCGAAACATGATTTAGCAACTTTTGATTTTAAATTGAGATCCTAGAATGCTGTTTTTCTTGAAATATGAAGCTGAGGCTAAGCTGAAACTTCATCAAGTAAGTTGTTCAGTATCCTTCATTAGATTTTGAACACTTTTGTTGCTTCAAACGAACAAAATGCACTAATTACAAATGATGGACTATAGCTTTAAGGTACATGTGTATATCATTTGAAGCTATCCAAAAAGTAAATAGCAAAATTATTGTTGAAAGTCATACTTGGTTTAAAGATAGTAATGTCAATCACTACACTCCCTGTGAAATTATTTCTTCTGGCATGCTGTCATTTTAAAGAAAACAATAACAGAAGGTTATTTCCAAAGATGCGTATAAAGACGCATTTTTGGAAATTTCCGTTCGTAGTTCGTTTTTTAATTTGGCGAAGCCGTGAATGGGCACACGCAAGTGTTGATACGACACACTAACCCGCGCGGTTGCCGTTATTCGTCGGTTCAGTGCGTGACATTGCGAATCTATGGCTTGAGCAACTGTGTCCACTTTTTGTGCCCAAACTTACCCGCATTGCATGAAAATCATCGTCTCTCGGTGAAGCATCATAACCGACCCAACCCGACTCAAATGATGGAAAGCTGACCCAATCCATCCCAAGTGGGTTTCAGTCGAACCGGTTTCGGGCCAGGTTTGCACAACATTAGCTAACCCTAACCCCCTAGGCCCTTTTTGCTAAGAACCATCCTCAATCCTCCAAAATCCTCCAGAATTTTGCAACTCCGCCTAAATTTTCCAAAATTGTCAGACAGTCCTGCCTCAAAATGCATTCATCGTCAATCCTCCAAAATCCTCCTCATCCCAAAATTTTGCACTCGTGTTTTGATGAAGGACAACCAACGCCAAATCCTTCAAAATCATCAGACAGTCCTGCCTCCAAAATCCTCATGTGCTTCAATCACCATTCATCCTCAATCCTCCAAAATCCTCATGTGCTTCAATCACCATTCATCCTCAATCCTCCAAAATCCTCATGTGCTTCAATCACCATTCATCCTCAATCCTCCAGAATCCTCTTGTGCTTCAATCACCATTCATCTTCAATCCTCCAAAATCCTCATGTGCTTCAATCACCATTCATCCTCAATCCTCCAAAATCCTCATGTGCTTCAATCACCATTCATCCTCAATCCTCCCGAATCCTCATTTGATTCAATCACCGTTCATCCTCAATCCTCTAGAATCCTCCAAAACCGCAAGGAGGATTTTGGAGGAGTGAGGTGGGTTAGGGCTAGGCTAGCTAGCGCTGACCGCACTTGCCAGGGATTGGGACTACTGGACCACCTCCATTAAGGGAACAAAACCAAAACTCTAGTCTCGGACCACGACTCTCTACGCACCTGTCTTTGTCGACCACCTGTTTCCTCTCCAGCTGGTAGATCTGCTCCTTGTGATCCTGCTGCTGATTGTCCAGCTCCTGCTCCATCTGGGCAAACTTGGCCATCAGGTCTTCCTTCTGGACTTTGAACTCCTCCAGCGAGGCCAGCTTACCACCTGCAATGACAACAACCATGGTTCTGAATTAAGGGGCGCTGTGGTCCAATGGTTACGTTGTTCGACTCATGTGTCGTGGCACATGGGTTCGAATCCTGAAGGGGAACGTGGTCTTTGTGCTCTTGAGCAAGGTACTTTACCATTATTGCTTCCTCCTTCAGATGGGACGGTAAAGCCGTAGGTCCCGTGTGTTGTGATATGCACGTTAAAGAACCCAGTAACACTTGTCGCTAAGAGAAGGGGTTTGCCCCGGTGTTTCTAGCAGTGGCAGCAATATGCGCCGCAGCACCTAGCAAAAAGGTGCTACATAATGGGTCTCATATGTTCATATACTTCATTTACCTGTCTTTGGTTGCATTCTATCCTAGTGCTCTGTATCCTTTGGAAAAGGCGCTTTATAAATACAGTTATATTATCATTATTATTATTGAGGGTACTAACTGTGGGTGGATTTCTAATGGGTAAATGTTTGGAAGTGGGTAACCTTCATCTAAAGTTTTCAAGTTGTTGGCGAATGACAGTGGCACAGCCTGTCAATTTCAGGGGTAACACAAAAACCGTTATGGGCAATTGCACAGTTACTCACATTACGAAAATGTAACATGAGTAACTGATTTTGTGCGTCTCGTTTATCATACATAACACAAAATTTATGGATGTCATCTTTGGTGCTTAGGTAGGTCTAGGTCTACTTAATGTACCATGGGGATAACAGTTATTAAACCTTTTCAGTAAGGTAATTACAGCCCAAGGAAACTCAAAAGTACATCAAAAATGTAACGTGAGTAACTGTGGAATTGCCCTAATGAAGATATGACACCTACTGAGAATCATGTTTTCTGACGTCAGCTGATCCTTGGTCTCCTGGAATTCTGTCCTGAGCTGGGCCAGTTGCTGCTCGTAGCCGTCCTTCTCCGCGTCCTTGGCCTGCTGGAGCCCCACCAGCCGGTCGTTCAGGTCTGCGATGTCATTCTGGCGCTGTTCTAGCTGCTTCTTTAGGAAGGCGACGATCTCTTTCTTGTCTGTGCTCATCTGGTCATACTGAGCACGGAATTCTCCATTGGCGACTTCTAATTCGTCGCACTTCCGTTGGTATCTGCGTGGAAAAGACGTAGTACTTTCAAAGTCGATTTAGCTGCCTATTAATTGCCTATTTAGAGGAAACTGCAAAGTGATGAAATTTTAAAGCCAAACTGATACGGAAACTGCAAAAATAATAATTTTACATATATACGAGAGTAGCACGAGTCAGTATTATGAAAAAGAAAACCTTAAGAATTATTACATTTATTTTTAGACACACTTAATATTTGGTCAAATGAAATTTACAACAAACTGGAGGTGAGCTTTACACGCTTGAAATATAATATGAATTGTTTTATCTGTTTAACTCAATCGTTTTATTTTAGGAGCCTTCCCAATGCATAACGTGGTGGCATAAGATACATCTAAACAAAGATGACCAATTGCAGGATACAATATGCAGGGTGTCAAGTATGAAGTGAACGATGGCCTTTAAGTATAACTGGGCCAGTCCCAAATATACAGCCGTGTCTGAAACGCGCTTCCAGAGCTAAGACTACGTTTATTGCCAGCGCGTCCCCGCATATTTTCAATGTGCGCAGACCTAGACCAAGCTCGAGACAGCTGATTCGGATGCAGCCTACATGTTGTTGGGGCAACTTGGGAGGTTGTCCAAACTATAGTTGGGGTCATTCATTGCTATCATTGGGGCATTAACAGCATTTTTGCAAAACATGGCTACAGCTTTGACTTCGGCTTCTAGCTCAAGAATCCATTTCAAGCCTGCGTCCACACAAAATGGAAATACTTCAAACTTTCACCTCATATCGTTGTTCTTGATATCCCTGAAACAGAGCGTCGACTACATTGAGCTTGAGCCCTCCTCAGGAAACTTTCTATTTTCTGAAGGTTATTAGTCTGGGGTGAGGTGGAGGTTTTTTAAAACCCTTACCTGGAGGAGTAGGCCAGTGGTTAGGGTTTGTAACTCAAGATCACAGGGTCATGGGTTCGAATCCAGCCGTTGGCCATATGTTATGTCCTTGGGCAAGCCACTTCATTGGCATTTACCTCTCTCCACCCAGGAGTATAAATGGGTACAGGCAATAGCTGAGGAGTCACCTGCGATGGACTAGCATCCCATCCAAGGGAATAGAACTACTCTCAGTTGTTTCATGCTACTGAAACCGGAGATAAACGCCGGCCTGATAGTGATAGGTCACATTGGCTTGTGACAGACTTCTTACCTGAGGAGTCTTTGCTCCAGGTCTCGTATCTGGATCAGGAAGAATTCCTTGCTGACTTCGGTCAGATTGGCCCCGGAGGGGGCGGAGGACGCCCTCGCCGACTTCTTGCCGCTCTTCTTGCCGCTCTTCTTGCCCTTCTTCTTTCCTCCTTTCTTCTTCGGTGGCATGGCGCTTTAATGAATGTCTATATCTAAACTATGAAGACCTACGCGCTGTTGAGTCCAAAAGGTAGAGTTGTTTATTAAAACTTAATCAAAGAACAGGAGAATCCTGATGAGAGACGCAACTTCATGTTTTTCTTTGCTCTACATCACAACTGTCTTCGAATAGCTTCCGCTGTGCTATCTTGGTTTTCACCTGCATTGGACACAAAGACAAGATAGAAGAAAAAACAAAATTAAATCAAAATGCGATGCAAGTAATCAAGGCCCATAGCGGCATAAATGTGACCCAGATATCGGACTTCCTCTGTATCCTGAGAGTGAGACCCACAGCCTTGCCTATTTTAAAGCGGAATTGACTTTCTTTGTTTTGACCTTTAACTGAATAAAGGTACATGGGACCATTTGCTATGTGCTGTTTTGTTTTTAGTTTGAAGCAATATTAAAGAAGGGTGCATAACAACTGCAAGTATGTCCCCCGAAAAGTGTCCTTATCTTGCAATAACAACAAAACCACAAAGTAAATCTTGAAAATTCTTAATTGTGTGGATACTCCTTTTCCTTGGCCTCAACTCCTATAAGTTTCATCTAATTTCCCTCACGTCTCACTGCACAATGGTCAATTGATCACAACAACATTTTTGGACACTGTGACCAAATTCCTTGCCTTAACCAATTCGGGCGATTCACAATGCAGTGCGCCACCAAGAGTTTGCCACGGAGAGTTCATTTTTCCCAGTATATTGTGGGAGATGGTCGACAAATTCCAAGCGCGGGACATTTGAAAATGTTAGTTTTTTCCGGTCAGTGGTTTCGTAAGCGTATGATTCGAGGATCTGTTTGCCCATTTCTTTTCTTGTTTTCAATATGGTGTTTTTTTTGTAAGGCCGCAGAACGCTATGCCCCAATCTATGACATATTAGCTCAAGTTGTCTACCGACACTCATTCAAATGAGCCATGTTTTGTCGACCGTAAACTTGAAAAATGGACTCTCCGTTGCAAACTCTTGGTGGCGCACTGCATTGTGATTCGCCCAAATCTCAGTGTTTTGTTACGTATAATTGCTGTGTAAAAACCTTCATGTTAAAAAGAGCCGCAGTTGGGATTGGAATCATTTGCCTGGCTCAATGGAAGGACCATCATGGAAAGACCTCAGTTAATAATGCTCAACGTACAGCATACCTTCACTGCACACCTCTGATCTATCCGTAAACTTACAATGTCTATGCACGTACTATACGAGTAGGCCTAGCCTACCCCAATTACCATTTCTCGTAGAGCAAATGTGTGGCCTAGTGGATAGCGCACACACCTCGCAAGCAACACTACTCAAGTTCGAGTCCCAGTATGACCAATGTTTTTGAAAATTAATTTTTTTTTTGTCCCAAAAACTAAGAATTGTTTATATTTTATTGTTTTAAATCAAATCCTACATTTGGAAAGAATGTAGTATCCTGACGCCACTTCAGCGGTTGTGTACAAAGTCTATGGAGTCTATTGGAAATGTTTCTCAGCCCCAGATTCATGTCTTATCAACATTTTTGCAATGACTGACGTTTATTGAGATGAGGAAAAATGTGGCGTCAGGTTGCAATATTCTTTCCCTACATTTGATTGCAGAGAATTTCATCTTCTTTTTCTGATTCGTGGTTATGGAGGATTTTTAGGAAAAAGGGAAATAAAGTCAGAAATTGTTATACTAGCCTAGGTCTGATTCCCATCTTTTTAATACCAAGTCACGACTATTTTCAACCAGATGAAGATCGTCACAGCAAAAAAGTCCCCCCCCCAAAAACAGTCACTGGCTGCGCATGTTGTTCAGTGCCAGGAAAAACAATTGCAACCTGACGCCACTTCCGCGATTGTGTACAAAGTCTATGAAAAGTTTTTAAGTATTTCCTTATGAAATTGGAAATATTTCTCAGTGCCAGATTCATGTCTTATCATCATTTTCGCAATGAATGACCTTCATTGAGATGATATATGAAGAAAAAAGTGGCGTCTGGTTGCAACATTCTTTCCCAGTGCCATGGCCATGCCAGTAGCAGTACAAACATGACAAATGCTGAAGTTTAGGGTGATCGTCGAGTGGCGGGTAGACCCGTGAACGTGGCTTGTAAACTACGCCACGCTCTTGTACATGTTCAAACCAAGCGAAATCGTCCTTCTGTGACAAAGACTGAACATTGCCTTACCGTGTGATAAGCATTCACATATCAAGCTTTCTTGAACATGTTGAAATCTGCTTTTACGCCAAATCTGGCATTTAAACGATATTCGAGGTAAAATCTGGCAAGATCTCGACGTCCTGCAACCTCCTCCTGATGCATGTGATTTACCACGTGATAACTGCTGCAGATAATTTGGTATCGCACTGACGCTCCGGGCACTCCTGATGTCTGGATCATAAGTGCGATTCCAAATTATTAGCTGCGTTTATCACGTGGTCTCGTTATTGGCCAAAAAGCCGCCGCCTATCATATGCGCCACATGAAGCAGACGGGTAGCTCGGAGGGCTCCGATAATTTTGCACGCAAATGACCCTGGGTACTCGTCCAGGGTCATTTGTCAGGGTCACTTGTCAGGTTAAAATCTAATTTCTACATGTTCGTATGGGTCTTCATTTCGTCGAAATGACACATCCTGAACACTCGGACAGGCAAATTTTGGTACAACTACATGTATAGAATGCAGGGCCACTTTACTCTACATCCACGCCTCCGTACGGCTGCGTGGAGGCGTGGAGCCGCAGTCGACCTACCTCCGAAAATCGATCGTGGAGTCGCAGCTCAGTCGATATCTCCGAGAATTGCGCCCTCTATCGGCGCGAGTCTCTGCGACTCCGCGACTCTGTGCCTCCGCCACTCCAGTGCCCCGCGTCTCTGCGACTAGACTCTGCGACTCCCCGCCTCCACCACTCCAGACAGTGCCCCGTCACCCGAATACAGGTCAACTCGTACGCGAACCAACTCGTACGCGACCAACTCGTACGCGGTACAATTCGTACGCGAACCGACTCGTACGCGGACCGACTCGTACGCGGACCGACTCGTACGCGGACCAACTCGTACGCGGACCAACTCGTACGCGTGAGTTTAGACGATTGGTTTAGCTCACATGGACAGATGAAATTAGGTTCGGTACGGTAGGTCGGCATAATTTTACCTTTTCTGAAAGGTTGAGATTTTCAAATTAAATGTAGTTGATTTTTGAATCCGCCAGTGCTACTTACATTCGCGATTTTTTTAGAGAAGAATTCTGCGTTTGTTTGTTTTTTTACAAGTTCGCTTGATTGATTGGGAATGGGAAGTTGTCTTCGCGATAACCAGTATGATTGGTCCCGCCGCACCGCGCACTGTATAAAGAATGCATGATTGAATCGCTGTAACCTGTGTATGCCGCGGTACAATTGCTGGTTGGTTAGACAAGTAAAATGACAAGAAAACACCGATATTTGCGAGGTCTATTGTATAAAAAGGAGCTACTATATAAGAATATAGCATCACGCATGCTTAAGCAGTTGTATGGACAGTGTCCGCCAGTTTTTTGCTTGGGTCAGATAGTTTTTTAGTCCTAATTATTATATATCCAAATAATATTTTGTAAAAAAAGAAAAAATGGGGAGTTGATTTTTATTTTTTGTTAAAATCAGAATTTTATATAATTTCACCGGAAATGCGAGGTTTCTTGGGTCAAATGCGATTTTCTTGGGTCAGAAAATTAATTTTTTGCTTGGGTCCGATAATTTTTTAGTCCTAATTATTATGTCTCCAAATTATATTTTGTAAAATAAAAAAATCACACACAACGGTCACACATTGAACTACGGACTACCCGTCACACTATTCCCAAATTCTTCCCAACCATGCCAACCCAATCCTCGAAACCACTCCTAAAACGGCCCGCGTACGAGTTGGTTCGCGTACGAGTTGGCTCGCGTACGAGTTGGCTCGCGTACGAGTTGGCACGCGTACGAGTTGGTTCGCGTACGAGTTGACTCGCGTACGAGTTGACCAATCCGCGTACGAGTTGACTCGCGTACGAGTTGGTTCGCGTACGAGTTGACCTGTTTCCCGTCACCCTCCTCCCTTCCTAATTTGCGAGCCCATTTAAAATGGATACGGATGCTTCGTTCTCAAAAAAATTCCGCCCAGAATTGCGCCCTCTATCGGCGCGAGTCTCTGCGACTCCGCGACTCTGCGCCTCCGCCACTCCAGTGCCCCGCGTCTCCGCGACTAGACTCTGCGACTCCCAGACTCCGCGCCTCCGCCACTCCAGACAGTGCCCCGTCGCCCTCCTCCCTTCCTAATTTGCGAGCCCATTTAAAATGGATACGGATGCTTCGTTCTCAAAAAAATTCCGCTAAATTCCGCCCAGAATTGCGCCCTCTATCTGCGCGAGTCTCTGCGACTCCGCGACTCTGCGCCTCCGCCACTCCAGTGCCCTGCATCTCCGCGACTAGACTCTGCGACTCCCAGACTCCGCGCCTCCGCCACTCCAGACAGTGCCCCGTCGCCCTCCTCCCTTCCTAATTTGCGAGCCCATTTAAAATGGATACGGATGCTTCGTTCTCAAAAAAATTCCGCCCAGAATTGCGCCCTCTATTGGCGCGAGTCTTTGCGACTCCGCGACTCTGCGCCTCCGCCACTCCAGTGCCCCGCGTCTCCGCGACTAGACTCTGCGCCTCCGCCACTCCAGTGCCCCGCGTCTCCGCGACTAGACTCTGCGCCTCCGCCACTCCAGTGCCCCGCGTCTCCGCGCAAGTGCATTCGCTGTACTTAGCACTTTTTGCAGGTTTGCATATCTATTACTCCTATTCATCCACGCCTCCAAGCAAATTAAAAAACTTTGCTCCGGCGTGGCCCTGCATTCTATAGTTACTCCCAAATTTTGATTTCTAGGTGAGTACTCAACATCCATACGAAATTATGTATGGCGGATCGATTTCGCTAGGTTCGAAAATAAACAAGAGCATGGCGTTAACGCCACGTTCGTTCATGGGTCTACATGGTCTAAGTGGCGGGGTATTCTGCAGTTACGGTCAAATGTCCACTAACGTTTTTAGGCCTACCTTTTTCATAATTAAAGGCAAATTTAAGTCACCGTCCAAGTACCATTCGGTTGATAGTCTGGCTCCAAGAGCCAAAAATCCTTACGTTGCATATTATCACAAAAAGGTCAGGGAACCAGACGGATACGGATAGCCGGCAGCAGCGTTGCCAATTTGTTTATAGTTTTCGGGAGAAAAGTACGGGGAAAAACATCAAAGTAAGATCTTTTACCTGCAATAGTTGAAATCTGTTCTAACGCTAGTACATTTGCTGACAGTAGGCCTGCATCATCCGAAGTGTGATGCGATGAAAAGCCAATATATTGAGAGCTAGACTCTAAGCTATTGTTGCCCCGTCCATTGCCGTCACGTCGCTAGGAAGCGCGTCATGTACGTAAACATGGAAGATATGTCTCGTTCCCGTCCAAAATACACTGAACTCTACGGTTATACACAGATCGGGAACCAGGCTAATCAATTTGTCCTGCACGCGAAAACTGGAGAGGGCGCTGCGCAGGGCTGGGAAATTAATTCTTGGCCCACGGCTACAAGTCTGGGGGGAAACTTCCATTATTTTCCCGCTTGTTTACTCATGGCTCCACATGGCTTCAATTCAGACATGTCACGAGCCCATTAAACGACATATGAAGGCCAATATCAAAGCATGGAGCTATTAAAAAAAAATGGAATGGATAGTTTGTCCGCCAATGCCGCTGGGCTGTAAAATTCTGTTCTAAAAATGATAACATCAGCATGTTCAATTGGAGAAAATGGCGAAAGTCGAAACTGATCGTCAAAAGCTTCTCACGACCACACCTTGGACATTTGCCTAATTTAGTCGGGTAAATAATTATGGTCCTCAAATTCGAGAGCCTTAATTGATGCGCTAGTCGTCTTTTCCATCACATAGCGGCGCGCTATCTGGATTGAGTTTCTGCCAGTTAATAGGGGACGCCTGAACAATACAATATAATATCCGAGAGGTCCCCTATATGGATTCGTGTACAAAACTTATAGGAGGTCAAGTCTTCCTAAAAACTTAGTGTACTACACAAGAGGGACAATAGGGGGTCGATCCCCGATTGCAGGCAAATTCACCGGACATAGTGTTTCCTTTTCTGGAAAACAGGTTAAGAGCCTTGGGCCGTGGCAAAAGAAGAGAAACACTAAAGGGAATCATAGAAGAAAGTTTAATCGAAAGAGTTCTCACAGTGAGAGAAAAATGCCCTTTTTCAGAGATTTTTCTAAACTACACGAAGGCAAGGGAATGTTCACACTGTATAGGTATGTAACGTTTACAAAATGTGTGTGTTTTTCCGTGTGTATTATGAAATTAGAGTGGGGGCGGCCGGGCCGGGGCTGATATCCCACTTTTCCATTTTTTTTGCAGCGCCAGACTTTAATATTAATTTGGCTCAAAATGTGATGGTTTTTCCCGTCAAGTTGCTGCAGATACGTGCAGCTTGGGCCTGGCAAAAACCTCCAGCAGCATTCTGGATGCTATCTGTGACCCGGAACTTTGACATAACGGCCATAGTAAAGTTTTGTTGCAATTTCCTGACGATCGCCAACTGTGAGTCAGAAGACAAGGAGGTACAAGACACGATCAGGAGAAAGTGTTTCCAACTATACTCCAGAAATTTCGGGACTTTGAGACAACTGAGGAGAACCAAGGGCCGGATCCAGAATACAATTTTTTTTGGGGGGGGGGTGGGGGGGTGGGGGGCAACCAAATTTTGTGCCTTCCAAAAATGGGTCCAAAAACTGGACGGCGTGGGGTTCGGGGCCCGCTTAGGGCACCGACCCGACGAGTAGACGCCATGTGGTGCGATCTGAGGCAATTTCTGACCACTTTAATCAAATCTTTTTGAGGAAAAGATGGGTGGTGTACGCAGTGCTTGCCTTTCTAGCCTATTGCGACCTCACTTTAAAAATATATTAGGTCCTTTTTGGGGGGGGGGGGTGGCCCCCGTTGGCCCCCCCCCCGATCCGCCCTTGAGAACGTGTTCATTAGTGCTACTACCTCCTTCAACCCCTCCTGTGCATCATTATACGCCCGTTTGTCTGGGGATAATGTCCGAAGTTCGCACACTTTTTTTTTTAGAATGTTAGATCTGTAAATGGATAACAGCGATGTTCGCATTTCAGACATTTTGTCCCCGGCATGCTAAGAGATTGCAAACATGTCCGAACAGTGACGATGGCCTTCCTCTGTTTGATTCAAAAATTTAAAATGAAGTCGGAATTATAAATGAACAGTTTTCAATATTTCCAATCCTGTTTAGCTCCGAGGCCTTTTGTTTCCTCTTAGCCAACCGAATACATAATCAGCCTTCTTAAAATCGTTAAGCCCTACCTACGTCTATTAAGTATAGTTCAAATTAACTGGGGAAAATTAGAACACTGCGAGTGCTTTATCGAACTGAGAGAAGCCGACCAATTAGTATCAAAGCCGCGCCTTCTGTTTCTTCTTCAGGGGGCTTTGAGTAAATAATCGCAGTCGAGGATAAACGCTTTTGGTCTGATCTTTCAAAGTATTGCAGATGCAGCCTCAAATTCCATGCATTCATTCTTAAGCTTCTTGAAATTAATTAACGGGTACAACTTTGGGAGAATGACAACTTTCATACAAAAATGCGACAGTTTTTCTTTTATAGTCATTGTGCCTCATTGGCTTTTAATACTATCGACCAAGCTTCCCGTTAATATTTCTAACATTAGTTGTAATTAATTATTAATTCTCTGTGTATAATTATGCATTTCATTTGTGTTAAACCACAGAAACGATTTTGTATCAACCCAATTTTTTTCTTTCACCCCACATTTTCCCAGTAAATTGTACTTTAAAACTCTAATACAACATTGCTTTTCATTTTTTGGCACTTAATTAATACCAGTGTACTGAACGGGAAGCTTCTAGGTGCAAAGAATAATAATAATATACCGTCATACGAAATTGTGGTGAACGTCTTGTAACTACTGGTGTCAACATACAACATAACTTTGCAAAAAGTGAGCCTAAACACTAAGTCTTGTCTACATTACAGTATCCACAAAAGAATAAATTCAAACAGTTCTTACAGGTTGAGCCAAAAAGAAAGTGACCCGGGTTAAAGATTGTTTTCTTTAATTAAAAAAAAACAGTCAAATTTGATACACCAATGAAGTATGTCTTAAAAGAGCATTATTCTTCCACTCGTCTAAACAAAAGAAGAAATACTGAAATTGATCCATGCCATCAGAAGTTAAAGGGAACATACAACATTTGCAAACATCGAAAAATAAAATGACCAAGTTTTTTTTTTACTGCTGCTCCAAATTTACCATTTTTTCAGTCCAATTTTGTTTGCTAATTGGTTTTATGTTCATGAATGGGTGCAGGGCAGCTAGACTGGTTCCCTTAGCGTACAATCTTCCGGCATCTGTAAATTGATCCATTTCATCTTCAGTGGAGTCAGGGAACCAGACTACTTGACAATTTTTGTTTTTCTTGGTTTTTCCAGCATTTTCGAAAACAAAACTTCAAACATGTCAGTGTAACAATCATTTGATCTATTATACTAACCCCTCAAATAGTTCATTTCTGAAAATTAAATCGTAAGCCAATGATGTACATTCCCTTTAAGCATGTTTTACCAAAATAACCCATTTTTATAGCCTGCAAACGATTCACCGTCCATGGAATGTCACTGGAAGCCAGTTCCTTCTCGTTTAGTTCAAACAGTAAACAACGTACAGTTGTTAGCCGAGCCCAGTTACTTTTTTTCGGCAGAAGAGCAGTGATGGAATCCCACGTGTTTTCACTTGATACTGGAATACACATTTCCAAGAAAGTTCCAATTATACCAAACAGGAATCTGATTTTACGAAATGCTCAGCCAGTAATTGAACTCTTGGGGTAAATATTAGTGTAGCAGTTTTACTGCCCTTCTGAAAGCTTTCATTGACACCATATTATATTTGGTGGGACCTAGGTTTATAAAGATATGGTTAAAATGCTCCGGCTCCTGATGGCAAAGCGCAGTTAGTGTAACTTTAATAAAGAAATCTTAGTAGGCCTTTAAGAGCATCAATTTTTAAGATAAAAGTTGTCTATACATAAGGAAAGAAAAAAGGTAAACTTCTCAAGGATCAATGAAACAATATCGATGTGTGAATCAAACGTTTATAAAAAAAATATTAAAATCGCACTGTTATACAAACTTTGATGCAATGCAAAACAATCTTTAAATGTGACCAAGACAATATTCAGTCTTGTGTGTACGAACCTTTGTGCAAAAAAAGTTATTTTTGGTTTTTCCCTTACAGAAATGTGTATATACATGTTTTGAAAACACTGCATAATCTCAACTTATGCAACAGTACACTTGTTTGTTTATATTCAAAATGTATAAATCAATTGCATAATGGATTTTTTTTTTTACATGTAACCAAAAAGGTGAATCTTATTTTCCATAAGATCTGCACCAGATGTTTCGTTTGACATTCATTTAAAAGGCATACATGATCATTTGCTTTTCATACATTCTGTTCGTTTCCAATCATAACACCATTAAAAATCAAAAAAAGTGTTCAAACGTAACCTGGTGAAGTTTCAGCGAGTGGATATTACACTTTTCGAAAATTTCGTCAAGAAATACGATTTCGTTAACTAGAACCCTTTATTTCCGAATAAACGATCGTTGGAAATCACCTACATTTCTTGATTTCTTCTAAATGACAGCAAAATAGACGAAATAATTACAAACGCCCGAGTATCTGGTTCGTTAGTAAAATCGTCATTCACGCGCGCCTACCATTGATTATTACTATAACTCATAAATATTCATCAGGCAATCGCAGCATTTCATTGGTCCATTCCAGCAACTTAACCGTGTGAAAGTGTTTATTATATAACTGACGTACAGATCCTTGTCATTTGATTGGTGGAACTCACATCACGTGGCATTCGTTATTGCTCCCATTCATGCCGCGGCTCAAAAAGTACTATCCGCCCATGGGGCCTGGGAAATACTATTCAACAGTTAGGATTATGACGCGGTATTTGTGTGCAAATGCATGCTGGTGTGCGCGTTCAGCGTTGAGCGTAGCGCGTATTGTTCCAAAGAGCCAGCGCTACAGCGTTGGGTTCAAACATTTTTGTGAAAGGGTGGTTTGAAAGAGAGAAATACATTTTCTTCCAGTTTTGTATTGAAAAAAAAGTTCAAATATATCAAATGACAAGGATCTATATGTCAGTTATATAAAACAAATATTGAGTGGCTTTAAATTGTGAAATGGGAGGAATATTATCGCTCGGTAAAATCTGGACTTTTCCAGTTCACTCGGCTTCGCCTCGTGAAATGGAAAAGTCCAGATTTTACCTTGCGATAATATTCCTCCCATTCCACGCTGAGCCACTCAATATTCGTATACTATCACCCCGCGTCTTCGTACGCGCGCGCGACGCGCAAAAACCAGGGAGGTACTATCACACACCTGGGCCGAAGCCTTAAATTTTGTTCCAGCACTGTGTTTTCTCTTTTACCAACGACGCATGTGCTTTACGTGCGTACCATGGAGAACACCAGTGAGGACCGTTGCATGTTGCAGTCTATTCCGGCATACATCAAAATAGCGACCCGTAAGTGGTACTCGCTTTGCGATTTCAACCGAAGAGGCCAACTAGGTGCAATTTTACACAATAATAAATGCAGAGTTTTGCGTGAATGTTAAAGTTATTAAATGACACAAAATTAACTTTAAATTCTGTCTGTCTCCTTATCCAAATACTGCACGATCAAAAACATGGTGGAATGGACGAATGAAATACCGCAGCTGCCTGACGAATATTTACGAGGAATAGTAAAACATGATGGCGGGGAAATAGTGAAAACAAATGACGCCTCGGTGTTGGATAATTGGGACTATATTCGCCTCGGGAGATAGTCCCAATCATCCAACGCCTCGGGGTCATTAGTTTTCACTATTTCCCGACAAACCATGATGTATTTGTATACTAGCGCCCATTGGCTGCTCCAAAACTAACCTTTTTATTACTCAGCATTCATCAGGAATACCAGACTTTGCAATTGCTGTACATTCTATCTCTGCCACTATACGGTTCGAAATTTTAGTCTACAGTATGTCGCTCAAAAGGAGTGATTTTGAGAATTTCCACGCTTAATCCGAAAAGTTTCACGTACAAATCACATGTGGGTTATTGCTCTTCATGTTGGGTTTATGTGGCGACTGTTGTATGTTTTTCTCTTGCATGTCGGCGATCTTTTCCTCATATACTGTACTTTTTCAAGTGTAATCTGGAAGGCGGAGTCCACAAAGTTGTACACTGACCTGGAGTTCGGGGTACTTGATTATACAAATTTTAATTATAGCAATTGGAACATAGACCACATGTACTTGGAAGTTGAAAGGAACTTTACTTTATAAACTTAGAACTTGGACTTGAAAGAGCTTGTATAGATTGAATGTTATTCATCATATTATGACACTAGTTTTGTGAGCTTAGATTAAGATTGATGTGGAAACCGAAAACTATTTTAAAGTCTTTGTGAAAGAACAAGTTTTGGAACAAGTACACTTTGACTCCTTTTTTTTTATTCGGTTTGGCTTTGTGCCTTGGCGTCGTTAAATTCAATCATTTCAGCGGACCTACTTGGCGTACCGCTACAATAATAATTTGGTGGGTTACTTTTGGGATAAATATGCAAATGATCTGATATGCCTTCTTAGATTGATTATCTAGCCGCCCTTGATAGTAGAGTCACATCTCCGAGGTACAGCAGCTACATCACGCTTACACGAATGTCCAGCTGTAAACATCGTAGCTGTCGTCTAGTTGCCATTCACGCCGGAGGTTTTCGCGTACTTGTTTCAGTTGGCGTTTGTATTCCCGACTCTTGCGAATACTTTCATCCTGTGTCAAGAAAAAACGGTATACATTAACCAGCGTATAAATAATGTAATCACGAATCCATCTGCAATTGTCCAAGCATGCAGCGTGACATATACCTTCACTGCACATTTCCGGTCCGGCGACTAGCCGTCATGCGTTCGATTAGCTCACCCGGTTTGACTCGGGTTAGCCCCGTGCCGTTCGATTAGCTCTGACGTCATTCCCGGGTCGGCACAGACCCCGCTCTTGGATAAGGATACGCCTGTATTGTTCATTCCAATGTATTGATAAATAATTATGGCGTCTGGGCAGCGGAAGCTCAAGTGGACCCCAAAATTCAATTTATTTGATGTCTAAATGTAATTGTGTTCATTGTGACTTTTTAGGGTACAATATCAGCCCAACTTTTTAGTTTTGCAATTGACTGAAAAGCAGTACCGGTAAATCTCAAACTAAAACCCAATCCAAAACGGGCGTTTTGTCAGTGCCTGTGTGGCTACGGCCATGAGGGCTGTTACGGGTGTCACTTGAGGATCGTGATGGCCCGCCGTTGAGCATTCGATTAGCCCGGCTGTTGTGGCTAACTCGTCTAACCCGTCTGCCTTTACCCGAGACGATCCGGGTGAGCAACTCGCGAGTACCCTATGATCTGAAAGATGGCGACACACGCACTGTCAACGTTTGCCGAGAACTGATGCGTTAGTTGGTGTACATGTGCTTTATGTACGAGGTATTTGTTTTTTGTTCACCTTTGGAACTGGTTTGTCAACTTTCAAGCCTCGAGGGCTAGTATCGACCAACCACCCTCAAACCTTGTCGATAGTGACATTGCTATATGAATAAAAACTAGCATCAAAAACAACTTACAGTCATGCTTATCTTTTCCTCCTTAAATGTTAGTAAGTTGAAGTGAATACAATAAAGTACGCCAAGTGCACTCTTAAACTCACAGGTTGGATTTGGCCTGACACTTTCCCACGTCAAAAGGACACATCAAAATTGCAATTTCGTGTGGCACAGTGACACGAAAACGTGACCCGGAAAAGTGACTCAGAGAAGTTATTTTGACTCCGAAAAGTATCAGGTCAAATCTGATGTGACCCTATTCCGGGTTGAATTTGACCCAACACCAAAATTAGGGTTTTTTACTGGCTTTCATTAATTTTAAGTGTGGATTACCTTGTCCCGTTTCAACTGTTTGCTGTCTTGCAGTAACACAGATGAAAGATCTTCGATCTTCTTTTTAAGTTCTTCACGCTTCAATTGTAGCTTATCGATGTCCGATAGGTTATCAGACGGCGAGACCTTAGATTTGCCTGACGGCAAGATGTGGTTCGGGTAGGCTTGATGGAAAGAGGGTTGCACTGTGTGATCGTCACGACCCTCCTTATCCGTCGATAATGTCACATCATATGCGACAGGCCCGTTCCAGCTGAACCCCAGGTAGAAGGTGACAGACTCTTGACTCGCAAGCCTTTCGTAGGGAACAGCTAACTTGATGTCAATGGGGTCTTTGTCTTTGTGAAAGCGATGCAACAGGGAGGTGGCATTCAGGAGCGTGCCTTCCAAACGAACCAGCCTTTCTTTGACGAGATCAGACTGCCAAAACGAATCGTCGCCAGCATCGCGTCTGTCGAGCTTTCCCTGAGTCGCATGAAGCTCGGTGATATGAGTAAACACACGCAGACCTTCGCCTTGGCCCAGGAAGAAATGCGTACGAGGTTTCATCTGGGATTTGATTTGCCGTTTAATTCTTTCTTGAACTTGTGGCATCGGTGCGTGTGAGAAAATGCCATCGGCGTCCCATCTCCTTTTCAGTTCCATTATGTGTTCTGTTAAATCATATCTATCTCTTCTTGCTGACGCCACACCTTTGATAGGCCACAAGAACATCGTCATCAAAAGTGAGGGCCAGCAGCTTTCACCTTTAGGTCTATCCATCGCGTAGAACGGGCGAACGAACTCCTGATACACATAGTCAGCCGACACGGACTGCTCTCCGATATCGAAGGATGAGAGGGCCAGATGTATGCAAATCAGATTTTTCAAGTCAAACGAATTATAATTACTTGAATTCTGCCTCAGGAGGTCCCGGGATTCCTCGAGAACTTTCCGCTGTTTGGCTTTTGCCCGATCGAAAATTTCGCGGAAACTACCGCAATGTAATTGGTCGACGAGTCTGCGCCGATGCTCAGTAAGGCTTATGGGATCCGTATCAGTGTACCTCGTATTTTGCATTGGTTGTGGCTCTCCATAATACTTGTTGTATATTATTGAATATTTCTTCATGTTCTCCATCATCTGATCCAATTTCTGGCCAGCAATGTTTGCAGTTGAGTAATCCTTGTAGTATGTTGTTTTGCCGTCCATTATTTCCAACACTTCATCCACCCTGTTTTTCAACTCTCTAACTTGAGTATGGGTCACACTGTCCCAGGCTGGGAGACAAACGCATGGGGGCAGGTCCAACTTCAGAAGGTACATCTTAAGAACATTGATATCACCCTGGGTTCTGAAGGGCTCCACGCATAGATGGATAACTTGTAGTAGACGGAAGGCCATATTGAGCTCGGCATATAATCCAGTGTATTCAATTTGCTTTGGGGCCGATTCTTTTGAGACTTCGTATGACTTGCGAAAGGTTTTCATGGCTTCGAAGGACAGAGAGAGGACTTCGTTCAAAACTTCGTCACTAAGAGGTTGCTGGTCAAGTATGTATGGTTCAGTAAGCGTGTCAAAATGTGCTTTGTAAACACGACCCTTTGTATCCCAAAAATACGAATTTTGGGGATAATTTTCTAACGCCTTATCAGCGAAGGTGTGTGCCATATCGAAATTTTTCTCCTTTATGAGATAAAATCTTGCAAGCTGCTGTGCGACAAAGGCATCTTTAAGTATTTCAACGCCCTTGGTCAGTATTTTGATAGCGTTTTCCGATCCCTGCTTTTCGCAGATTTCTTCGATAAGAACCGAAAATCCTGTCTTGGTGTCCTCTACACGCTCCCTCCTGATGAGTAAATCATGCGTTGTCTTTGCCAGAATCTTTCTGCTGTAAGAACTCGACTGAAGCAGTTCGCTGTTCAAGAACTCCAGTGTCACATCCGCAAGCGATTGGTCCCCGCAATCTCTCAGGGTTTGCCTTAAAGCCTCCTCAGCTATGCTCTTATGTAAAATCTTGATGGTTCGGTTTTCTGTTATAACCATCATACTCTTAAATGGCGCTGATAATGACTTTTCCCAGTTCAAAGTATGTTTGGTGAAGTAGATTGTCTTCCCTTTGGCCCAGGTACCGGCCATAAACGTGTCACAGCAAGAGATAGGTATGTCAGCTTCATGTATGTAAGAGTTCAGAAGGGCACACAGTTTAATCAGCTTCAGCTCGTTCCCCTTGATGTCTGGAAGTATCCTCGAGACGACACCTGTTATATACTCCTTGTTGAATTCCTCCTTCATCACCATGAAGGCAAGCAGATTGTCAGGAATGTAATCTCCTTTTTTGTCTTCGTTTTCCTTGTGTTCCAATTCAATGTACTTTTGCTGACACCATTCCTTTCCTTCTTGGGAAAGCTTATAAGTCAAGGGAATATAAAGGTTGGGATTTCGACCTTTGGTTTTGATGGCTGTAAGGGGATCTGCGTTACGCTTGCAATGTAGCACGACGCACACTGCTCCACCATCCACACGAACATGTTTTGATTTCTCTTCTAAGTCTGCTATCAAATCCAGCACTTCAACATCATCGAGATTGTCCACAAGCACGCAAACTGGGGGGATTTTCCTAGCTTGTTCCTTGCCATAACCGAACTGTCTCACCTCCATTATTTGGTTGACTGTGCGACTCGTAACTCTATTAACTTCCACACATCGGTAATCTTTGTGAAGTTCCCACAAGACATTGCGAGCTAAAGTGCTACCACCAGCGCCAGGTTGGTGTAGAAGTGTCACTGTGACAATCAAGCTGTCTCCACTCTTGGAACTCTCCAGTGGTTTTCTGACTTTCTTGAGAACGTCCCCAAAACATTTTCTTTTCAAAACGTGACCGCAGGTTTTGCGAAGCTTTTTCTCTTTTTCACCGATGGCAAAATTCCACCAATCAACTTTCTCACCGTGGTAGAAGTCTAGCTCCTTTCTTTTAACAAACTGCTGGTAGCTTGGACTGGTATCGTCCATATCGGTGTTTTCACACTCATTCTTGCACACAACAGTAATGTCATACCATTCGTCCTTCTGTTTCTCTGAAAGAAAACACTGCCCATGCAACTTTGAAGGAAGTTCATTCTTGGCGGTCTGGTTCACGCCGTTCATTCGCATCATGATCCTGTTTATCTCTTGCCACTCAAGTCCCACCAAACTCCGTTTGTCGATGTCATCTTTAGAAAACCACCTTGTAACATAATTCACGAACTTGGAATAAAGCTCTCGGTCTTCGGCGATGCAGACGATGCTCTGTATGCTTTGAAAAGACGACGACAGTTTTCCGAATGTATCGCAAAGGATGTCGATGTCATCTTCGGACAACAGTAAGAACATGATCACAGCTCGACCTTTCGGTATCACCGATGGTTTTGAGAAGAATCTCACCGAATCTTCAACGTCTCCACGGCGTTCTTTGTGCCATTCAGGAAGGGTCATCTTAGGCGCCTGGATATTCTGGTCGTCTTCACGCCCATTTGCAAACACCCAGACTGTCTTTTCGGGAAATTCGATTGTATTCCGAAACTCTTCATCAGACTCAATGTCTTTGAACAGTTCCGGTTGCTGCAGGGAGACCATTCGATCGTCATGGTACAGCTTGCATAGCCCGTTCACTTTGGATTGCGAATTAAAGTCTAAGACGGTGGTCCACCTGATTGTCTTAATGAATCCAAATTGACGTGCGATTGCGTCTGTGTCATTCTCAGCTGGCGTTGCAGGTTTGTTTGCAATGAGCACTGGATAAAACGACTGGTCAAGCTCACCACTTTCGTCGCCCGTCAGTAAAATACGAAGCTTGGCCTCGTTAGTCGTTGCAGTCGATGGAGGGCCATCACCTGGTGGCACTTCTCTCTTGTGTTTTTCCTTTGCCTGTGGTTCTCGTGATCTGCCTTCTTCGTCTACAGCCTGTGATGATAGCTGTCGATGCTGTTGTTGATCAGTGATGTTGGAGTAATCCTTAGGTTTATCAGACTGCTGGAGCAACGTAGTGGCTTCTGGATCTTCCTGCCGAAGCCCAGTTGCAGCTCTTTTCTCCTTTTGAATCGACTTGTCACGAATCCTTGGTGCTTCGGGACGAACTGTGGGTTTAGATCTTTCGTCACCCTGAAGGAGTGCCGGTTCCTTGGGTTCCCGTGTTAAAGGCATGGGTTGGTCTTGAATATGCCGTTCGACGTCGCGGGGTAGATTTTGCGTCACTGATAACCAATGCAGAATGAAGTAGATTAATCAAATTAATCAAATTAATTAATTTTACATAAATATTAAGAGCACGGCAGGGTAACATTTCAAATGCTTTACCCGGGTAAGTAATTGTTACTTAATAAAGTAGAATGGTCGAAGATGCCTAATGACTTGACTCACATTTCTTCAGACAAAACTTACAGCATGGCAATGAAAGTGATTTAAAGCTAATACAAAAAAACACTATGTGCCTGTTTTTTTTCACACAGATCCGGTACTCGATCAGTGATCCATGCGTTGGTTCACACACAAGATCCCACCTATTGGATGGAGCGAACCAGCGGCTGGATCACTGATCGAGATCGGGATCTGTGTGAAGATTATTTTTCAGCATCCTCAGCTGGATGTCCGATAACAAGATTATAAATGTATGCACTGCTGCTCTCATGCAGTTATCGGGACAATTAGCAAGAACAATCTTGGAATTTTACGACCGTAGATATCATTTGAAAGAAAGGGAGCGCTGTGCATGATGCTTCAAAGCTTGTATTCGATAGTATGAATATAAACGCCTTTTAGCCAATTTCAAATTAGTTTATACAATATACAATATAATAATTAGTATACCCTTTGGGAGATACTTTAGCGTCATAAGTTATACCTTTGGGAGACACGTCGAATTAAATTCCAAACTCCTATTTAGAGGCAAATTTTGCCGTAGCAAATAAGCTAGATCGATTGCTCGTGGTCCAATTAGTAAAAATACCGAAATTCGTGGAAAAATGACAAGGGAATATTGGGTTAGGGCACATTTAAGTTGGAAAAAAAATTGTGCACAAGTCTAGGGGAATGTCTCCCTAATACACAATCCTCGGTAATTATTATTAGTATTTTTTATTATTACCATTATTTTTTGGGAGGGTGGAAGCAAACATCGGCTTCCATCGCTCATCATATTTTGCAATTACATTTTGAGTTTTGGATAAATTTGAAGGTTGGCATGGTGAAGTAGGCTATTGCGGATGCACTCGTGTGACAAGAGTTTTCGTATTTAAGGGTATATGCAGAAACAAAAACAGTCATTTCTTTTCAGAATCACACAAACTCAAAAAAAAAGAGACTTCTTGGCACAGGGTGCAACCGCAAACTTACTCTTATTAATTGGAGCTTTGCTGGATAACAGTTTATACCTACCGAAGATATTATAAGTAGGCCCATAATTATGTGTAGTTCTATCTCCCTCCACCCTGACGCGGTTTTTATCCCCCTTTATATTGAATTCTTTGTTTCCTCTTCTAGTCGTTGGCGGTTGCTCTCTCGCAGTAGCACCTGCTGCACCCTCTCCAACTGGAGTGTCCGAGCTGCTTATTGAACCCCCTGATGGAAGCCTTGCATCAGCTTCTCCCTCCTCAGCTGAGTACGAAGAAATGGAAGTTTCAAATTCACATGTAAACTGGTTTACTCAAGGCTCATTTTGGTATAAGCTCTTTGCTTAGACATTGAATTTTGCAAGATGCATCCGTTTTGTAACAACTGTACGAGAGAAAAAAAGAAGAGTTAAAAAGCCTGTCAAAATCGTTTTAAAGGAAATATTTACTGCGTTCGTTGCGCAACATGTGCACTGTTTCGTTTAACAAGGTGGTTCTCTTACCCCGCGTCTCGCCTGTTTTAAGTTTGCGATTTATTTTAAAGAGTGACTATTCAGGGCCAGACTGCTTGGTGTACTGTGTATGGTGGCAATGGCAAGGGGTAGTATAATGAAGATGAGAGGGCCCTGATCAGTGTCGAAATCATGTGGGTAGTAACGAGGGTGGAATTGTATAGCAACATTACACTGAATTGCAGTATGAAGTGAAGACTCAGCAGTCGCGCATTCAAGCTTGGAGGATGTGTTCTGTGAAAGTAAAACTGAACTTGGTATGTGACCTTTGACATCATTATCGTAAGAAGGTTGCATGTTGCATCTATGACTCAACAAGTTTGGTTCCAATTGGACTTCAATTTTCCAAATGAGACCAATTTGACATTTTCAGCCTTTTGACAACTTGACCTCAGATGACCTTTGACCTTGGTATGTGACCTTTGACAGCATTATCATATGAAGGTTGCCATGTTGCATCTAAGACTCAAGTATGGCTCAAATTGGACCTCAATTTTTCATACGAGACGAATTTTCATTTTTTTTTTAGCCTGTTATATTGTTGCGTTCCCGCAAATTGCGTAGTTTACTTCTTTCCCAACCAGTCCATTCCACTCCGTGCACAGCGTAATGCTTGCAGCGATCCTGTGTGCCCTCACACAGCGCGAAGCTTTACCACGAAGTCTTAGACACACGTTTAAGTGTGCAGCACATTGTACAGTACCCTATTGTATAGCGCGCAATGCATGTAGCTCTCACTGCTATTGAACATGTACCGCCATGGGACATGTACTTAGGACTTAGCCACTTTCCCTCCACCTTTCCCCGGAGTCGATGCGAATTCCCCTCACACACCTTACCTCGCATCCGACCCACATTGACCCCAAGCATTTAGCGAATGTGGCTCGCTAAAACCTACCCGTGTATTCACCCCTTAGTGACCCCGTACACCCCAGCGAGTGTGTCCCGCTAACCAACTGGCCGAGACCTACGGTAGCTAGAGGTCAGGTTACGTCCTTCGTCTCATAGTTTTACTCCATAGCATTAGTGTGTAGATTCCTACCTAGTCTTAGAGACTAAGTCTTGTACACAAGCCTATGTACCGAGAAGTTATTCCCTTTCCCTTTTCCTTGAGGATCAGTTCCCCGTAACGCACCCACGAGTGATCCTACTTCGCCCGCTAACCACTGCTCTCGGACTTTCTTCCACTAGAATGTCTGAGTCAGTCGTGTACAAATCTCCCATAGAGAACTTTCCCCATGCCTTTGTACACGGATGCATTATTCATAACTACTAGAATCCAATGCTCCCATTGGCTAAGACGCGCCCCCAAAAGTCTATATAAAGCGCGCAGAATTGCCAGATCTGGTCATTGCTGTACTGGGCTCTCCCCCAGTAGGTACTTGAGCTGAGCTCCGACCTACACAGAGCTCCCGCATATGATGCATTAGATTGTTGCTCTGGGCTCTGACCCCGACAGAGTTCCTTACATGTACACATGTACGCCTCAACTTTACATTGTATATAGTGCGCCCTCTATTGACCTGAGATGTAAATAATCCCGAATAAAGTACTAGTGTGTGTGTGTAAGATACTTGTATCTGACTCTTTATTTGATAATGTCTCTCAACCCAGAGAGACGTTACAATATTTTACCACAGATGACCTTAGACTTCGGTATATGACCTCTGACATCATTATCATATGAAGGTTGCCATTTGCATCTATGGCCCAAGTTTGGTTCCAATTGGATTTAAACTTTCAAATGAGACCAATTGTTTGAAACTTACTAAAATCCCACATACATTCAAACGGACAGACCTACTGACTGACAGACATAGTGATTGCATGGTCTCTTTCCTGAACTTCGTTCAGACGAGACAAAAATCATGCATCCAACATTTGAAGCCTTACTCAATACACAATAAACAATTTCCAATGTTTACATACCACGGATGTTTTCACTAATGTTAGTTTGATCTTGCTCCACTTCGATGCGGTTTTGATTGCCATCTACATTGATGTCTATATTTCCCCGGCTAGTCGTCGGCTGTGGGTCTCTTGCAGTAGCCCCTGCTGCACTGTAATCCTCTCCATGTTGTCCCTCTTCTGCTGGCGCTGCTGGAGTATCCGATCGGCTAGTCGGACTCTCGGATTGCGGCTTCGGATTAGGTTTTTCCTTCTTGGCTGTGTGAAAAAATACTGCAAGTAAAACTTGCGACATCCCCCTGGCATCCCGGCAGTTTGTATACATATACATTTATAGGCAGTAAAGGACAATTTTCAGTGACGACCTTGGTTGTCCACCCAGCAGGTACCAGTTCTCAGTTGAATGGAGAGTTTGGGTTGAAAGTTCTGAGTTTGAACAGGGAGTTTGGGTTGAATAGAGAGTTCGGGTGAGACACCGGACTATATAGTCATTAGTATCTCTCCAGAGACCTCGTAAATATCCATATTGGAAAGGATTTTTTTTTTACGTTGGCCTTCTGCCAACAGACCACCTTTCAAGTTTGATTGAGATTGATTACTGAACTAACAGTGAACTGGAACACACACACGGACACACAGATGGAATACGTGATCACAATATCCCCGTCTGGCAAGCCAGGGGGATAAAAATGCGATGATAAAAATAGTTCATTTAAGGTTTATTTTACGCCTACTGGCGATAGCGCGACACACTCACTTTCTTTCTTCAGTTCTGCTTTTAGAAATCCTAGTGTAACCGAATCACAAAAGAAACCAAGTTGTAACTCTGTAGAGAGGCGAGTCCGAGAATTCGCTACATGTAACGAAAGCATAACCCTCTAAGGCCAGGTAAAAAAAAAAACAATTGATCGTCCGGTTTTTTTTCAAAAAGAGGAGGATGAGCGCCTTTTTTAATCATTTTTTCCCCAATATGGCCGCCAAGTATTTAAATTAAACATGGCCGCCTACTTAGGGTCAAATGTTCTATATATTTTATTAAAGCGAAATATAAGAGAAAGTTAGCTTTTTGAGGTGAGAAAAAAATAAGAAATACAAAAAAGGATGCGGCTTCGGGGACGATCAAGTGGTATTTTTTAAACTTGGCCTAAGATAGTCATGGATTTCAGTGTCCCTGCAAGGAGAATACCAACACATGATTATATGTTAATAGTCTTTGCGATGAATAAGGGAATAAATGTGTGTTTGGGAGGTATTATAACACTCTGTTTAAGACCTGTTTGAGTCTGGATGGGCGATAATTACCCGAGGCGAAGCCTCGGGTAATTATCGCCCTTCGCCCTTCGTAATTATCGCCCATCCAGACTCAAACTGGTCTTAAACAGAGTGTTTAATACCGACCGAACACACATTTATTCCCATTCATAAATACCTTTCCGGTCCAAAAATAAAAAAAGATGTCAAAAACTAGACATTGCCAAACATTTTGTCCAACAACTTTACATCACGTTTAACGAAACACCCTTTGACTATAATATGGAATGCCCCTCCACAACTCGTTAACCTATAGGGACATTGGCGTAAGCGTCGCGCGTACTGCGCGATGTCGCGCAAAACGCAGCTGGGCTGGTGAAGTGTGAATTTTAGGACTATGAAATACTGATTCACTGGTAGTACATTGCGCATGCATACAGGAGGAATTTGAACGTTCAACCAATGAAACGTTAAAAGGCACCGGATTTCATAGGAGTCCAAATTTCATGTGACACTGGAAAAGCGTTTAAGACCCAGCCTCGACTCCATGGGCGCGTGCGCGTTCCACTACCCCCTGGCCGTGATGGTGACGTAAATGACGCTGATTGGCTATTCACAGCGTACTGCGCGCGCTAATCGAAGACTGCACGCCGGACGCGCCCATAATGCGCTCGCGTGCTTTGCACGTAGCGTCACGTACAAAAAAAAAAGAAGACGCGATGCCTGTACGATATTGATTATGGCAGCCTCGTTTATCGCTAAAAAAACGGGACGAAAGGGGTACGTACATTTAATACAAATCTTTGCTAAATAACGCAACGTCCAAACGTTTTGTTAGAAAGGATTGATTCTTCAAAATCACAACTTCTAACATTTTAAAGATGGCGTCGGCACGTAAAACGGATAAACTGCAGCCTAATTATAATGTGCCATATTTTGACACATTTAAATTACACAATTCCAGGGGTTAAGATCGCGCAAGGCATGATGGGAAACAACATGGCGCAGCAAGATCGTATCCATGGGGACGAGGTTGTTTAAGACCAGCTAGCCATGTCTTTATCATCCGTTTAAGACCGGCCACGTGACGGGTTCTCGACCAATATGAATGCGTAAACTGTCTGAGGTATTTATGAATATGTAATTAAAGAAAACATTGTGTTACGTATGGGATAAAAAAGGGACCGCGGGATTACCCTGAGGTAAAATGCATTTGTAGTTTTGCATTTCTCTTATTAGCAATATATGGTAGGCCTATATTTGGCAAGGTGCAACTCGATGGCATGGTGGCGGTGTTCCGAAAAAAATTAAATGATTAGACACAGTAAAGCTGTGGAGGCACTGTGTATTAACAATTACTAATTGCAAATGCAATTTACCTGATTTCTTTTTCTTTCCTCCACCCATCAATCCAGCTATGAGGCGCAGCTCTATGTTGGTGTCTTGATGAATGCAATGATCCTCCAGGGACAGTGCGTCACAAAGCTGTTGGGAAATTACATATACATGTAATGTCACAATTATACACCACTGACCCCAGACGCATTTCGGCCTCGGGAAATAGGAACCTCTTCTTGTCACTCACAGTCCCGAGGGGGACATTAACGTGTACTAGTGACCTCATCAGCCAAGTGGTTGCGAAGGGCTATTTCTAATGGTTACGTAACACTCTATTTTGAATTAAATTACATGTACACAGACATGTTCACTCAGGCGGGCGAAATCTTTGAAAATTAATTTCTTCCGTTTGGAAGACCGTATCTTCATGCAACTTTCCGGGTTTATTTCCCTTATAATGATCCAATTATGTGCTAAAAATCGTTGTGATAATTATGTTCATTATTTTTCGTTGATATTGAAAAAATAGGCCTGCGTCGGTGCAGTTTTGAAAGTTGTACCACTGGCGTTTGCAATATCTGTCAATCTTTGTAAGGCTCACGAATATTAGTAAAGTTCCTATATCCATTACGGTGTGTAGTAAAAAATTGCTTTAATAAAACCTCCTTCACGAGTTATTAATTAATAAATATTACCCTTTTTGCCGGCTTCCATTGGTCGATACCGAGACCCACGCTAGTCGCGCCGAGTGACGCTGACGAATATGCTAATATGCGATGGTACATTGTGTTGCCGAGCCGAAATCGGACAACCATAGCGCCTACGGCGCTATAGAATCTTTGCAGAAAACCATGCATGTGGTTTGGCAGGCAAAAAAGTCTCGTCGAAATTTTCCTTAGAGATAAGTCAAGGTGTAACACTAGCGTTTGCAACAACATGAATTTGGAATATACTTAGATGATATAAGTGTTCAACTACTTATGAAAAAACAACTTGATTAGATTCCTGGAAATTGTGATCAATACATATATTTGGGGAAGTTTTCGAACGATTTCTTCCCGACTTGAAGGTCAGCTTTACCAGTAACCAGTATTGACGTCGATGGCATCGATGACGGCGATTTTTTTTAAACTGATTTTAACATTTCAATCATACTGGGCATAATTTTCTGAGAAACACATCGTTCAAAAGGCCACGTTTTTTGGGTTGCATGAATTGAACTGCTCTGTTATAGCGTTTAAGTACGTAATCGGATTAGCTTTGCTTGACAACCGGCCGCGCTTCGCCTTCACAACCATATGGCTGTCATTGCCACTAATAAAGCGGCGCAATATTTTCTTGAGGCAAAGGCAATGTCCTCGAGTATTTCGCCAGCCAAGTTTGAGGTCTCAATTCAATTTTTTAAGGAGATATTTCTTCATCATTTTGTACCCGAGAGTAAAGCCAAGTGATTTCAATTTGAATACTGGTACATGTCAAACTTTTTGAAAACATTGACCTTTCAACAGTCTGGTGGTATGACCTGATGACTATGGAGAGAATGTGCAGAAATAGAGACTAGGCACCAGATGTTTCTTTTGACACAGTAATTGATGCAGCACTACAGATGTGTTGGACTGTTGCATGTTTTCACTATCTTAAGGTTTGGGACTCTCATACACAGTATTGAGAGTCTCAAATTTTTGACTAATTCAATACCAATGATTCTGAAAATGGTTTGTACCGGTACCTCCATTTCATTCCTCATGAAAAGGTGCTGCTTCTCAGGATCGATTCCTAGTCGATCTTGCAGTAATTCCTTCACAGCTGAGATCGAGGTTGACGGATTCAGTTGCAGGCAAATAGTTGATGCCAAGGGGGTCGCGATGAAGATCTGTATCTTCTTCTTCTTTTTCTCAACAGGTTTGTAACTGCGGAGGTTCAACAAAATCCCAGGAAAGAAAATAAACATTAATCTATGCACAACTGCAAACCTGATCATGACCAACAAATATTTAGGCCTATATAGGGGCTGCGGAATGACTTTACCTGCCCTTTGATTTCTTGACATCCATTGTTGACTTTCGACGAGTGGGTGGTGACGTTTTGCTGCTCTCAATTGTGGATGAAATCCCACCAGACTCCTTCACTGAAATCGCGGACAGGAAGGCCATTATCTTTGATTTCCGCACCGTCTTCCTTTTGCAGACCATCCTCGCCTTCGAGTGGTCGTAGACGACCCGAGCAACCCGCACAGCATGTTCCCAATCAGCGTACGTCTTTAGAGCCATAGTGGGTCCTGACAAATGACTGCAGATCTTTTCTGTTGAAATACGAAAAGACGTACTCTCAGCCATATGGTTGCGTAGGGCGATTTCTACGTAACACTTTATTTTGACTGAAACTACATGTACATGTACACAGACATGGTCACGTTGGCGGGTGAAATCTTTGAAAATTTATTTCTCCAGTTTGGCAGACCGTATCTTAATGCAACTTTCAGGATTTATTTCCCCTATAATGTTCCAAGTATGTGCTAAAAGTCGTTGTGATATGTTCATTACTTTTCGTTGAAATTGGAAAAATAGGCCTCGGTACGAGCAATTTTGAAAATTGTAACACTGGCGTGCGCTATATCTATCAATTTTTTCAAGCCTCACAAATATTAATGAGGTTCCTTTCCATTCGGTGTGCAGTAAACAATTGCATAAAAGCCTCCTTCGCGAGTTGTTAAATAACAAATATCACCCTTTTTACCGGCTTCCATTGGTCGATACCGAGACCCGAGACCCATGTCACGCCGAGTGAAGCTAATGAATATGCTAATATGCCCGTCATCATTGTGTGCTGGGCCGAAATCGGTCAGCCGTAGCGCCTACGGCGCTTTGCTGAACAATGCACATGGGTTGGGTCGGCAAATATTTTTTTGATCCTCTTGGCAATTTCCCATGGAGATGATATAAGTGTTCAACTATACTCGTGAAATAACAACTGGGATAAATTCCTAGAAATTGGGATAAATACATACATTTGGGGAAGTTTTCGAACGATTTCTTCCAGACTTGAAGGTCAGCTTTCATTTTTTTCGCTGACATGAAGTTTAGAATTTCTTCTTCAGTTACAATGTTACATTTTAATCACACCGAGCATATTTTCTGAGAAATACAACGTTCAAGATGCCATGTTTTTGGGGGTGCATGAATTTCACTGCTCCGTTATAGCATCTAAGTACGTAATCGGATTAGCTTTGCTCAACAACGGCGACGCTTAGCGGTTAGCATCAATATGGCTGCTCTATAACCATGTACTGTAGACCCAGATCCATTACGACAGGGTGCCTAAAAAAAATGCAATCCTACTGTATAGGGAACCGTGCCTGAGCAAGGGCGACTTCTTTAGTCCTTTCTAATATTATTATGTAAATGACGTATCTGATTTGCATGTTTCTATATGAAACATTATTTTGTTGATGACCTTTGTGCTTCTCGCGCAAGGACGGTTTACATTAATGTTCAACAACATGAGAAGCTAGTCCTTAGGTCCATCTCTCACAATTTAATTGGGGATTATTATTGTATAATTTGCCTTATAGCGTATAGATACTCAGACGAGTGATTAGTCAGCACCTCGAGATGTATACTTTCCTCGGTCTTTTTCTGAAAGATTCTTCAACTGAGCATATCAGCTTTGAAAAAGGAGCCGTCAATGTCGTCATGTTTATTTTTAGCCACGGAGGCTGCCTGACCTACAATTTAGACATCTGGCGACGGGGGAAATTGTCAGGTCAGGAAACCAGACTATTTTGTGCGCCGAATTATATGGGCATGATGGTTCGTTGTGATAGGGAGTTAAGGGAAATTCTGGTAGATGGTAAAGAACATAGACTTTCTCATGTGTTTAGATGGTCACAGAGCGTTCTTTTGATAGAGCCTATAAGATTTTGGGCGATTTTGCAAGTATTTCTGGTCTTAAAGTAAATATTGATATGTGGATTGGTGGTAATAAGAGTCGACAGAAAGGTTCATGATGTGATCATAATTAATGTGAAGTGGGTTGGTCCTCAAGATTATTTTAGGGCACTTGGTATTGATTTTTCTATCAACCTTGATAATATTACGACTGTAAATTATAAAAGGGTGTTTGATTCTACTTGCATTTTAATTGAACAGTGGTCTAGAAGAAATTTAACCGTTCTCGGCCGTGTCACAATAGTGAAGTCGCTTACTTTATCCAAATTTACTTTCCTTATTTTGTCACCCCCTAACCGTCCGCCGTATTTTATTAAGAATATGAATGTTATGTTTATATTCATTTATTTGGAAAGATGATTAAGAATTACAGTCATGGGGGAGTTAAGATGGTTGATTTGCGATCATGCATTAGTGCTCTTCAGTGTAGTTTGATCCGTAGATTATTGATCACAAAGGCCTCAGGTTGGCCCAATTTGTTTCATAAAGATTACTGATATTAAAAATGTGGGTTTTTTTGGGTGAAGGACGGGCACTCCAGCATTGTTCATTCACTTAAGCAGGCAGCTCATTGAAATCAGTTTTGGATTGACGTTCTCAATGCCTGGGGTCCCTTTGTGCAATGCCATGTGCCAATTATTTGGAACAAGTCAAGCAGGTTGGTGCACAATATCATGATGGAATTGTTCATTTGATGATAAAAGCATGAAATTTGGCACACAGTCAGAGTATGTCATGGGAAAGATCATTTGGCTACAGGGCCATCGCAGGTTTGTCCTTTCAATAGGATAACATTCAATGGCTGCCAGTTTGGAAAACTTAAAATTGCTTATTATTCTATGATTTTTTTTCAAAGGACAAATCTGAAATTCAGTATTAGGACTAACTTTCTAGAGTACGGTGGTGTCATCAAGGCCGTAAAAAAATATTTTCGTAATTTATGTTAGAGGTTAAGCCAAATATTTGCTTTCCTTTTATATATCCCATTTAATTTTGAGGACACTTTTGCTAGATAAAAAAGGGTTCTACCCGTATCTATCATATTTTTACTTCAGTAAAAAAGGTTTTTCCCTGCAAGGACAAATCTGAAATTCAGTATTAGGACTAACTTTCTAGAGTACGGTGGTGTCATCAAGGCCGTAAAAAAATATTTTCGTAATTTATGTAAGAGGTTAAGCCAAATATTTGCTTTCCTTTTATATATCCCATTTAATTTTGAGGACACTTTTGCTAGATAAAAAAAGGTTCTACCCGTATCTATCATATTTTTACTTCAGTAAAAAAGGTTGTTTCCCTGCAACTTAATGGTCGGTTTTCTGCAGTATGCCCTTTACGATCACTTATGATAGAAAATTACAGTGGTTTCAATACAGTCAATTCTTATCTGGTAAAGATTGGCAAAGAGAAGAGCGACTTAATTGTGTGCCTTCTGTCATGTAGTTAATGAAACATCGGTTGTAGGTAGGTAAATGTTCGCGTCCATATACAATCACGTTCTCACGCAAGTACGAGATGTGAAAACACGTGAACGACCAAGGAGGCCTGGGAACGAAAATGCCGGATCACAGGTGAAAGGTCGAAAAATTCGTTTTCACCAGATCTCCAAGTGGTTTCTTATCCTTGTTTTTGTAAGGAATACCAAGATAATATTCCAACTAATTGTTTTTTGGGGTTAGGGTGATTACGGTTAGAAATCTCTCTGCCAAAAAAATAGCAAGAAAAAGGGCAACGTAGTGTTATATGTCCACACCTTCCCAAAAATAATCCTGTCCTTTTCCAGCCTCGACTCCAGGGGCGCGATGGGAAACAACATGGCGCAGCAAGATCGTACCCATGGGGAACGAGGTTGGTCCTTTTCTGGATTCGAAGCAATAGGGCGCGCGCGTTATACTGTACGGACGTGTATAAGGTATGTGCCATGTATACATTATGACATAGAGCGAGCGCAACCCAGACTTTAGTCTAGCTCCTTGAATGTTCTGTACTTGACCCCTCAACTTTGGTTATGCGGTTCTTCCCTGTGCGTTGCAATCACTGATCTGGTTGCAATCAAGCCGCCATATTGTGCTAAGGTTCACTTCACTTCACTGCGGGTACTAAAACGGCGATATAGCCATGTTTTTTAATGTCTTGCGCACACATTCGAAACCACTGGCCAACTGTCAACTTATTCCATAACATGTCCCACAGTACGCCTAGTGCCGTCCCCAGGCTCAGCTCGAATACTTAAAATTTTGGAAAATGTGTACATGAATTTGTAAAAGAATCATTCGTTTTCGTGCGAAATAAAATGAACGTTACAACTCCCTGTTTCTATTTAACAAATGATAATTCTATTTCCATGAAGGTGCATTCAGTCGTAAAAAATCAGCGAATGATTTCCCGAATGTGCACGTAATGAATAAATGTCAATATACTAAATGTAGCTGCATTAGTATATTGACATTTATTCATTTTAGCGCGAAATCGAAGGCACATACGCAATCCTTTATTCCTTTCAATTTATCATCAAAACCTATACTAGTCCTAATAATAATGGAAAGATTCCCATATCTAGCCATCACCAATTTTTCCCTTCAGTGACCCATCACCATCAGAAAGTGATAATACGTCCTAAAAAGTCAAATTTAGCACGGAAAATATTGAAGTGTGATCCATGTTTCAGCAATAATGGTAGCCCCATAAGATTAATGTGGCCAATTTACTGGACTACCTCCGTAAATAAAGGCCACACTTCCACCATGTACAAAAACATGTCGAACTTTGTCAAATTTTGATTTTCCCATCATAGGCTTAGTTTGTAGGTTTTTTGGGCTTTAGAAGCATACTCACCCTCTTTATAGGCTAATCAGAAAGGGCTGCCTTTTTTCAGATGTCTAATTTCGTGAAATTTCATGTTGAAATTTTGATACGCAAACGTGTGCTTGTCAAAATGTAGGTAGGCCTAAGTTAAAAAAAAACCACTCCATGGTGTCACTATAAAACTCATACTGAAAATGGGTTATCCGGCGGCCTACCTGAATTTCAGGACTTGCAGTTACCAGGTTATGACGCGTAATATATCCGGTTTTGATGGTCAAGCTGGTGCCCCTTACACCGCTAAATTCTAAGACTTCTCCATACTCGCTTTGGATTTAGTTGTATTTGACACTATTGCCAGACCAGTGCGATCGCATACCGCTAGTACTGAACTATGGCGCCAAAAATTATAGAGCTCTTGGAGCCCAGGCCAGTAAGTCCAAAATTGCCTACGCCGGCCAAATCGCGATTTGCATGCCGTCAAATTCTTCGGTATTAGAGAATTTTGTGGGTCATGAACTTGAGGGTGTGTATTAAAAGAAAGGTGAAAGCCGTGCACAGGACTGTGAACTTGTATTTATGTGAAATTTGGATGAAATTGGGCCCTAAAAGCGGTCTATTTTGCAATGGAGCGTAGGCATCGTTTTTCAAAATGGCGATGGGCTTCAGGACTATTTTTAGGGGTGATCATCTTCGGATGGAAATTTCTCCCTAAAGTCATCGAATTACCCCCAAAAAATCGAACAGAAAATGAAAGATGATGAAATAGGTTTTAATTTGATGCGTGTCTTAAACACCTCCGATAGTTGTGAGTATTTTTAATAATTTTAGGAAGTGCGCATAACTACCCCTGCATATGAGGTCTATGGCAGTCTATTCTGGACCATTTACGTCAGCCGAGTTCGTTCCACCCGGCCCACGCAGTGCTAGTGGTGCAACCCTTGCCGCCTCACAAAATGCAGAACCAAGTGGAGTGAGACGGTTTGCGACGGCGCTTGCTATCACGTGCTTATGATTTATTAAAAAGGGCAAAGTTTATGACCCACTGGAAGGATCGCACTCGTGATAGGCTGACGGTAATGACGTATTCCTTCCCCGTAGTCCGATTGGCCGACCTGAAGTTATAGTGCGCAATGTTATGAGCGTAACAATAAAATTAGGTACATGTATTATGCCTTTTGCAAGAACTGTGTTGGAATTCGCCCTGTGGCAAAATACATCGCGTACGCAGCATGCCAATTAAGCGTGAAATCCACAAAGAAGTAATCACGTGCACAATTCTCTTGAAGGTAATGAACTCAGAAAAGAAGAACAAAAAACTATGTCTGTTCGATGAAAAGAACATAGGGATTTTCCGCATTCTACAATTTTGAAACGTTTTAGGGGCCATTCAGAATGTTCAATGTTTTAAAATTTCGACTTCTTTCCAAATTATTTTGACCCACCCACCCACCCCTAATTTCGATTAATAAAAAAACTGATTTAATACGCAGTATTAAAAAACAAAACATGTACATGCACTTGCATGTACATCATTACATCCCACTGGCGGCCTGTGCGGGTTGCGTGTCCTTTCGGAAAAAAAATTCTTTGCTGCTCGGCGGAGGCAAAAGCTGTCTCTTTGCAACTTAATTTTCGACAACAAGCAAAAGTCAAAAGATCTATTTTTTTGGCTCTTTTTTCCATGAAAAGTGAATTTCGATTTTCAATTATTTAGCTTGATCCACCCACCCACAATTTGGAAAAATAGTCGAAATTTTAAAACATTGAAAATTCTGAATGGCCCCTTAGCTTAAAAATAAACTAACTCGAACTAGGATTGTCCAAGTGTCACACACACCCCGAAAAAAACCTCTGACGTAATGACTAGTGTAATTAACATTTCACTAAATTTACGGGGAAAAGAGTTGCTACAATTATAAAAACTAACAACTGTATTCTCTTGGTTTCCACTTTTCGAATTTATGAAGAGTTTTTTAAATTCTCGACTTAAAAACGTCCGTCCGTGTTTTTTTCCCGAGTTTCACCCAAATTAAATGTTTTGGTATTTTTCTATACATTACAAATTTATTCACTTTTAATTGAGACAATGAAAGGAAAAAAAAAATCAATTATTAGTTTAAAATTTCGTATTATTTGCGACCTGGCAATTTGTTGCAAATGTCACAACAAAGCCACGTTGACTACGGAGCTATAAAATATATTTCCAAATTGCATCATGCCGTGTGCGGATGAGGTTCAGTTTTTCGATATCATATATGCTTCGTTCCGATATGATCCGGCTAAAAGTTTCTGAGGGCCGCGCTTTGAAGACCTCGGGAAATCCGGCTTACAAGGGGACCTGTTTTCTGCCTCATTAACATTAAAGTCTTTAATAGGCCTACAAGATCAAAGTTTAAGTTTTATATTTATTTGAGTTCGTTTTTCTCTGAAACGTCAGCCAAGGGCGGATCCAGGGGGGGGGGGGCCAAAGGGGGCCATGCCCCCCCCCCAAAAAAAAACGAAACCAATTTTTTTTTTTTGGTGACATCGCAATAAAGGCAGGCAATGAGTACACCACCATCTTTTCCTCAAAAAAACATTGGTTAAAGTGGTCAGAAATTGCCTCAGATCGCACCACAGAGCATCTAGAATCCAAAAAATTTTCGGGGCCCTTAGGCGGGCCCCGAACCCCACGCCGTAATTTTTTGGACCCACTTTTTGGGGGGACCAAATTTTTTTTGGGCCCCCCAAAAAATTGTGTTCTGGATCCGCCCTTGACGTCAGCAATGAAGCCCACTGAAATTTTGAAACCCCTATATGATTCACTCGTAGTCGTACCCCCAGCCCTTAGAGCGTTTTCGAAACGACCGGCTTTTTAATCGTCTTCGGCTTAAGAAGATTTTAGGCCCCCCCCCCCCCCCAACGTCTGGAACTCCAGCTACATTTTGTTGCTTAATATGCTTCAGAAACATTCAATCGGTTGATATGAAGCCATAAATTTGAATAGTTTTGTTTAGTTTGCCTCTCGGTGATTCAGAATTGAAGTCGGAGGCAAAGCCGGAGGCAAACTCCTGGCCGAAGCCAAAGTCGAAGCAAAGGTTTCGAAAACCCGGTCCTATATGAACGCCAACTGTACTGACACTTGGTGGCGCTGTTCAATACGGAGAAAAGCGGTGAAGTAATAACATCTTCGGGGTGTCCCCCCCAAAAATCCTTTAATTTCTCAGAAACTACTTGTACTTGACATGAGTATTTCATATTGATGGGGCATATTGATTATACTCTTGTGTATTGTCAGTGAAAATGCCATGGAAATCTGTTCATGCAAACCAGAGAGGGTCAATGTAACGTTTGTAAAATTGTAACTGTAACTCACAGTGTAAGGCTCCTGACACTGCCTGATCCTAATATTATTGACTTACTTAGTCCTAGAACTCACGCAGAGCATGATCATAGTTCTAGGAGTAAATTTAGGAGTAATTGCAGAATACCCCGCCACTCGGAAATACACTTCTAAATTCTCTGGCTACGACTAGTACGAGGTTGGAATCACTGGAAAAGAAACAATTCAAGTCCATGCCAGCTACGCGGATACTGAGTGGGGGTCCATTATTTGAGAACGAAGCAACACAAAAGGAATGGGAGTTGCTGAAAAAATTCTAAGTCCAAACCAACCACCCTGTTGGCGGCTACGCGGTTACGAAGTGGGAGTGCAATGGAGCATGACGCATAGAACATACAAGTAGTGCTGAGAATGTTTATTGAGGTCAACCAACCGTGACCTCGTAGCCGGCTACGAGGTGGATAGATCGAGTGGCGGGGTATTCTGCAATTGTGCCTTAATTTATTATTACGGGTTTTTCACCCATTCCAATGGGATTTACACAGTGATTGTTGCATCTTACATGACTTAAGTTATGGGCATTTTCACTCTGATCTGGTGATGTTCTTGTTGGCAAATGGTTGGGTTGTTAATTATCTGAAACGCCATGTCCGCCAAAAAATTAACTTGGACCCTGCTATAAAAAAGTATTATTAATTGCCAGACCATCCAAATGTTGAAAAGGCGATTAAATAAAGTTAGTTGGGTCCAAGTTTCTCGGACTAAGACGTTGTTGCTGGCGGGCAGCTCGTGGGTGATGTGGTTCGTCGTGACAGCGCCCTTTCGCGGCGGCTGGTTATCGCTAATCCACTAATACAACGACAATGTCTTGACATAAGACTACACAAGAATGTGAGAAGGAAAAAGGCACGGGATATTTCTCTTGCGAATTCCAACAGTGCTAGTGTGCAAAATTACTCCAGTGTTGTGAATTTGCAATAAGGTGTATGGTTTGATCAGAAGGATTTGTATTTGAATTGCTGGCAGGGCCCAGGGATTCTTCATCAGACAGAGAAAGATGCCTCGACACAAGTGGCAGAAAGTTTTGTACAAGGACCAAGGAGTGCCTGACAACTATGTGGATGAAACCTTTCTCGGAGAATTGAAGAACAAAGGTGAGGACACTGTTGACGTTAACCTTGATATCAGTAAGTAAGACACTGTCTTCTTTAAAATGGTTCAAAAACCCGCCGTTTCGCTACCTCTTTTTCATATTATTTTCGATAAGGTCTTTGTCCATTGTCAATAAGCGCAGGCGTACGTGAATCCCGATAGGTGGCTAGTTTTGACTGGGACATGTTAGTTAAACTTGATTGTTGTATCATGTCTGTGATACATGTATTGTTTTTTTCATTGGTCTAGAAAGGCCATGTGTCCAGTCCATTAAAATAACCGTTTACATGTACTTATATACAAATTCGGTTCGTTAGTATGACATCATCTCCATTCAACCATGCATACTTCACACCATGTTGTCATGGTGTAGCATAGGACAGATGGAACCGGAAGTTAACGCAACTCGAGTGTTTATCCTCCAAAAAGACCTCCGATGGAACAAGCAAGTCCAGCATGCATCTGCCAGGGCCTGACAAAAATCCTGAATTTCCTCAGACGAAATTTTCATCGTGCCTCATCCTCCATCAAAGAGAGGTTGTATCTTACCCTTGTTCGACCGCATCTTGACTACGCTACGGGAGCATGGGACCCTCACACTTCCAAGAACATCAAAGAACTAGAAAAAGTCCAGAAGAGAGCTGCAAGGTTCGTTTCAAACACCTATGGACGTGACACTAGCAACTCTGCTATCATGAAAGATCTGGATTGGACAACTTTGGAAGAAAGAAGAAAACAGCACCGCAACTTGTGTTTCTTTAAAATCCTGAATGGGCTAATGGACATCGACTATGCCAAATACATCACCCCAAAAACTGGAAGATTACGAAGAGGACACAACAGGCAGTTTCAACTCAACCAGGCCAGGACCGACACATATATGCATCCTCATTTTTTTTAAGAACACTTAAAAATTGGAATGACCTCCCGGACTCAACGGTGGCGCTTAACAAACCAGACTCCTTCAAGAATGCACTTAGTGACAAAATCTAATCCTGACCACTCTCACTACACCACACCTCCAGTTTAAATTCCCTAGATGGAATATTTCAGAGGACCACCAACCAAGTACCAAGTAATGGGCGCTACTAGTACTACTCAGTGGTGCATGCGCGTGTATGACGTTTTTAATAACGAACCGGATTGTGTATTAATTCCCCCTGTCCTGTGTGGACCATCTGATAAATTCTTTTGCAAGCATTTTATTTTGTTAAGTGGTTGAAAATGTTGATGATTATGTGATTCTCCACTGTTTTGTTTCCCGTTTACAGTCACCACATACAAGTTGCCATATGTGATCCTGGAATCTGGTGTCGTAACACAGCAAATAAGCAGGTATGTACTTCAATGGGAATAATGACATTAGGCGAAACTGTGTTCGTACCCAAGTTTAGGGAAAACAGTTTTCAATACCTGTGAAAAAAGAACGTCGCAGGGACGTTTCTTCAGGATGCCAGTTTTCAGGCCATAGCCTGAGTTCAGGCTTTTTCATATTTTGGAAAAACAAACCCTGGCATATTCTATCTCTTCACAGGCCGGAAACATAAATCCTCGTGTAGCATGCAAAGAGAAAAAAAATGTGCATGCAGTGCTCTGTGGCGATCAGCATGCTAGCTCGATACATGAAAAATTGAAAGTATGAATTAGAAGTTCAAAGTAGACACATGTATATAAGGCCCCAAAAAAAGTCTCCGGTTTGTGGTATGCGCGCGCGTCGCCGTAGCCATGTGCCTTGGCAAAATGAAAAAGTTTTTTTCTCAATGAAAGATGATGTCTCAAAACCGCCAAACTCACTGGTTTGACTGGAATCCTGCTGCTGCACACTTTTAACGTGTTTTTAGATTGGGTTATGGTCGAGAATAAGCTTTATGTGGCCTCTCTGGACTCCCATATATTTGCACTAAGTTTAATCTGGCACTATTTGCAGTCATCAGCCGACATTTGAAGCAAAAAAATCAGTTAAAAAAAAAAAAAAAAGCTGCGTCGCCGCACCACTATTTGGGCAAGCTCCATACCAGAAACCGGAGACTTTTTTTTTGGCCTAAAGGTTGGCCTACAAATGTGTGGTATTGCAATGTGTTTATGGCGTATTGCAATCGTTTTGTGCATTTGGCTGTGTTTCACATGTCAAACTTTTCAGGCCCTGGAGCAAAAAGCCACTGGTATCGCTGGTTTCCCAGAACTTAAATCTGTAACAGGTGTACAACTCGACAAACAAAATCACCAGCATCGTTGTGGCCAAGTCTTCACGGGTCATCACTAGACTATCTCAAGTCATCCAGTGGTTGATAAAAATTTTAAAAAAATAAAGTCTGTCATGAGCCAATGTGGCCCATCAGGCCGGCGTTTATCTCTGGTTTCAGTAGCATGAAACGACTGAGAATATTTCTACTCCCCCTGGATGGGATGCTAGTCCATCGCAGGTTACTCCCCAGCTAACGCTGGTACCCATTTATACTCCTGGGTGGAGAGAGGCAAATGGGGGTGAAGTGGCTTGCCCGAGGACACATCAAATGGCCAGCAGCTGGATTTGAACCCCTGACCCGCTGATCATGAGTCACAAACTCTAACATCGCAGGTTACTCCACAGCTAATGCCGGTACCCATGTAGAGAGGCAAATGGGGGTGAAGTGGCTTGCCCTAGGACACATCATATGGCCAGCAGCTGGATTCGAACCCCTGACCCTCTGATCATGAGTCACGAACCCTAACCACTGGGCCACACTCCCCTCATACACAAATAAACTATAATGATTTATAGTCTACGAGGCTTCGCCTTGCCTGCTACGCAGGGGAGGTGGCTTCGCCACGGGTGCTATGTGTCCCTTGGGTGTTCAAAACTGCATATCCCACATCACGGAAGTCAACACTTGTTAAAGGAAACACGCAGTGAAAATTCTGCTCATCTTGTTTTTATGCAAATTACCATGTGTTGCAACAATACATACAAGATCTTAATACTTGTTTTCATTGGAAGTGAGAAGAAAGTGGTCATTTTTCAATTATTAGCAAATCCTTTCATCAATACATGTAAGAGGGCGCTATTTTGCTTTTGTCACACAAGGCACTCCTTGTCACAAGTGCATATAAACAGTACAAAATTAGTCCTTCAAAATTACCCGCAAAAAAAAGCTGTGAAGAAATATTGGCCACTACTTTTGTCCAAACAAGCTGTTTAACATGGTAAACAAGTAAAAAGTGGAACTTACTCCAAGAAATGAAGCAAAGATTGATATATATTTGTACACAAAGCTATGGAGACACCACTGTTCTGCCTTGAATGACATCACGCTTTTGCTCATGAATATGGAAATTTTCATTAGCATAAAACTAAAATATTGAAATTTCTCCCTTTTACTGCTACAAAGGAGGTGGAAAGTCATAGTTACATGGCAAGAAAGCTGTTTTAAATGTATTTAAGTCATAAAAACCATATTTACATGTCCCCTTTAAGTATCTTCATGCTTACAATCCATAAAAAAGTGCCTTCAAAATTACTTGTTTTTAAGTTGTTTCTCTGTTTTTGTGTTTTTCACAATTCAGTATCTGCCTGTTCGTGGTCCTGTTCATTTACATGGAGCAAGACTTGCTATCGCCGGAGAGTCTCCTGTACATGAATGCTGCTTTGTCTCTGCTTGGATATGTTGCATATGATAGCATCGACAGAGGGCAAGACCGCAAGGAAAGTGGCAGATCAAGTGAGTATTTATCAAAAAAAAAAAAGGGGATCAGAATGAGGAAACTAAAGATTCAAACCAGCAAAATCAATCCCGTAAGCTCGGTGGGCAAGTGGTAAGACACTAGAAAGCAGGGGGTCGTGGGTTCCAGTCCCACCCGAGTGATTTTTTTCAAACCTTCACTCGGGAGGTAAGAAAAACTGAAGGGCACAACCTAATTTGCTTTACATCAACCCAAAGCAAAAGTATCATTTTTATATGAAGAGGAAACTAAAAGTCTTAGTATTGTCGCACGCCATCTAAATACAAATATACGCCATACAAATATACAATCTCAGCTCCCTGGGGAGTATACAGCTCGATGCTGCCATTTCGGTGCAAAGCAGCTTAAATCAACCACAATAACCATCTCTGCCCTCACAGGTACCCATTAACTCCTGTGTGGACAGAAGCAATGAGTGACAAAGTGCCTTGCCCGAGGGCACATGCACCATAGCCGCAAGGCTGGACTCGAACCCACAACCTGCAGAATTACCCGCAGACCATGAATTCAATGCTCCTGACCACGAGGCGACGTCACTGCAAATAATGTGCATGCTCTTGTACAAAGCAACTGCTCCATGTCATATTATCTGAACAATAGTGTGCCCGGTTTGGTCCAAAGCAACTGCCCCATGTCATATCATCCGAACAATAGTGTGCCCGGTTTGGTCCAAAGCAATTGCCCTAGACAGAGTTGGGACGGTCACACAACTATTGTTGAGATGGTCCCAACAATTAGTTAGTCTATAGAATATCCCCTTGCACAGCAGTGGTCTATGATTCCCAGATTCGGCGATAAATTACGCAAAACATGACTGCGTCTTTACCTCGAGATTCTGACCATTCAGCGGGCGCCTTCTATCCAGTCTTCCGTAACCCGCTGTTGTATTACAAAAACATGGCCTCCAAATTGACCAATCAACAGCTTCGTCCACATTTCTGATTGAAATGACATCACAGCCTCTAAATTAAATGACACCTCGTTTGGCTGGCGTGCAAGGGTCGCATAAATTGTTCATGCTACGATATATCAGATTCCTACTGCACTCCTCCACTGTGCATGATTATTTGCAGCAGTGCATTCAATTCTTCGGACTTGAACTTTCACAGAAGTGAGATCCAGAATCCAGTTTCCTTAATCCTACAAAATCCTCCAAAACCATCTGATGGATTTCGAAGGATATACAAAAAGTGTATTGGCTTCATGCTGTCCTAGGGTAGCATTTTCAAATTGGAATGAGTAATTAACGAATGCAACAGTCCTATAATTGGTGACATTGAATTCGTGACATAATTTTGCGACATTCCGGTCAGAGCATACTGACCGGAACGTCGAGTTTATACCTCTGGTTCTTTTCAGAACCATTCTCTTAGTTGAGAAATTATTCGCACATGGTGTTTCCGCAAACCTTTCATTATTTAGTATCTCCACCATGCAAAGCCTCAAATCTTACTTGTGACATTGTACTTCTTCCGCAGGGTGGGATGATGTGAAAAGTACAGCCATATTTGTTGCCTTCTCCTACGGTTTATCGCCAATCTTGAAGACACTCACAGACACTATCAGCACGGACACTATCTATGCTATGACTGTAAGTACATGACTGGATATGGATGGTGCCTGATTTAGCAATGGCCAGCCACTTTTGGTTTGTGTACATTTCTCACAGTGCTTGTGACAGAGTTTGACCGAGCTACCATGGTCACATGACTGAAAGTCATGATTTAATTGGTCAATTGCACTGTTTGACAGGCCGGAAGGGCAAATTGTGAATGAAATTTGAGTCATTGTATAAATTTGGGATCCACCTTTTTTCATGTCCCAATACCGACATCTGTGATTTGATAATTCTGATGCATTCCTTATGCAGTGTTTCTGAATAACAAACTACAAATGTACATGTACCTACCAAATATTGTTTGACAACAGTGTTTTTAACCATAAATCCCTAGGCGTTTTTGCTAGGATGCAACCTCAGTCCTGCAAAATCCTCTAACTGTAAAAATTGCATACAGCCTCAATCCTCCAAAATCCTCATGTTATTTCTTGAATGTGGTCCTTGGAGGGGTGACCACTGCCTCAATCCTGCAAAATCCTCCAGCGATCACTGTCAATATGTTGAGGCAGAGCCAGTGACATCCTGGAGCAGTGCGGAGATTTTCAAGTATAATCTAGGCCTTAATTTATTCACGGCTGAGCATAAACAACACAAGGTCGGCCTAAAGCCTTGACACAGTGCATCCTCCAAAATCAGCCACACATGTTTGCCATATAAGCCTAAATCCTGCAAAATCCTCCATTTTGCAAAGAGGGTATTGGAAGATTTGTGATGGTTAGGGTTAATGATACTTCAATGGCATTATGGCAAATTACATAAGTACCAAGACAACAGGGACGGGAAAATGTCACACTTTGGACCCTAAATTTATAGAATATGACCCGTTTGCAAAAAATCTGCAACAATATCTTACAGGAAAGTTAAAGCACATTAAAATTTATGGATGAGAGCTTTGCCAAAAGAATTGAAGTGTCTGTGTCCTTCAGCAAGACACTTTACAACCAATCACTCTTTATCCACCCATATGTGAATATCTGGGTGGGCAGAAATTGTTGTTTGAATCAGCGTGTAATAATGAAATAATCCCATCAAGTCTCCAATGTATATTTGTTCTCTGTTTATTATCCTTTTGCAGGTTTTTATGCTTCTGGGGAATTTGCTATTTCATGACTATGTCACAACTGAAACAAGGTAAATTAATATTTGTTTCAGTTGAAATTTTGTAGACAGACATAGTAATGCTTCATAACCATCTCAGAAATCAAATATATGAGTTGAAGCAAAACAGTGTGGAGTTTGCAAAACCTGATTCTAAACATGTTTTTTTTTTTTAATGCTGCTTTATTTGTTAAGTTGTTAGTTGTGGGGAGTGGGGCCTAATGGTTACGGTTCGTCACTCATGATCAGAGGGTCAAGGGTTCGAATCCAACTGCTGGTTAAATGTTGTGTCCCTAGGCAAGCCACTTCACCCACACTTGCCTCTCTCCACCCAGGAGTGTAAATGGGTACCGGCATTAGCTTGGGAGTAACCTGCGATGGACTAGCATCCCATCCAGGGGGAGTAGAAATATTCTCAGTCGTTTCATGCTACTGAAACCGGAGATATAACGCTGGCCTGATAGGCCTCATTGGCTCGTGACAGACTTTTCTTACTCACTTTATTTGTTAGTTAAATAGGAGGACACTCTATTTATTTTTGTTTTTTGATGTGCACCCTTTGATCGTCATTTGCTAGGGAATATTTTGGCATTTCTGTTGTGGTAACTCTTGGTTTGCACGGGTTCTGACTTCACAATGCAATTTGAAGTACGACATTTTCCTACAATGAATTTCAGGGCAAGGAGACCAGTCTCTCTCAATGCTTCCATCTTCGCATCGGTGTGTCTGGCATCCCGACTCCCATCCACCCTGCACGCCTTTGCCACTGTCACTGTTGCTATGCAACTCTTTGCACTTTGGCCAGAACTCAGAAGAAAACTTAAGGTAAACATTTCTGGGAATACTTATACAATGCACTTTGCAATTAGGATTTTACTAATGAATATTCATAACGCACCCTAAAATATTTGTACACTTAATGAAATATTTTGAATATTTTAATATTCTGCTAAACTTTCATTAGGATTTGGAATACGGCCACAGACATGATATCCTTGTAGTTTATCTCAATTCATATAAATATACATTTAAGTAGTGCTCACCAGTTATTGCTTTAATAGCCGAATTTTCGCACACTTGTCCTTCTTCAGGGTGTAGCAAGGTTGCAATGAGGAACGCGGAGAACTCGACGTTGATGCCACGCAGCACTCCATTTTGTTAAGAGGTTGTGGAATGCTCGAAGACATTTCCGTCATTTTTCGGGTATATGTAGCCTAAGGTGTGATGAAATAAAAACGACTATTGTTTCTGTCATAAAATGAGTACAAAAGGTACTTTTGAGAGCTGTTTTTCAAGTCCTGTCATGCCTGTTTCGACCCGAACGCGCAATTTGTGTAAAAGTCGTCGTTGCGGGCAGCAAACAAAACACAGTAAATCGTGACGTAATAAACAGGACTCCCGATGCAGAGTAGCATATACGAGTCCTGTTTATTACGTCACGATTTACTGTGTTTTGTTTGCTGCCCGCAACAACGACTTTTACACAAATTGCACGTTTGGGTCGAAACAGGACCTGAAAAACAGCTCTCAAAAGTACCTTTTGTACTCATTTCATGACAGAAACAATAGTCGTTTTTATTTCATCACACCTTAGGCTACATATACCCCAAAAATGACGGAAATGTCTTCGAGCATTCCACAACCTCTTTATTTATCTCAATTCATATTGTTTTCTTGTCTCTAAATGAGCAGAGTAAACGCCTTATGAAAAACAACTTAACCCTAACTCCCCAGCCTAATTTACTAGGAACCATACCCATTCAGGCAAATTCCAACACCCACATGGGAAATTGTACACACCCAGTTGGACTTAGTTTCTGGAGGTATGCCAACCCCAGTGTAAAAGACCATCTGTTTAGGGGAACTGTACCGATCCAAACAGATTTAAACACAAACCTGCTGTTGAACTTTGATGGGTTGTGTTCTGTTAGGGTTAACAAGATTTGTGTCTAATTCTGATACACAGGTACATTTTCCCGGGACTCAGATCCCACTGACAGTGAGCTCTGCCCTTGCTGCTCTGTGTGCTCTAATCTCTGTCAGTCACGTAGGGGCAATCATCTTCATCCTTATACATCTTGCCATTACATTCCTGGTTCCCGTCTGCCTCATACGCTTGCAACTTTTTAAAAAGTGAGTCTCCCTGAACCCTGAATCTTTGAAATTGACGTTAAAGGGAAAATACAACATTTGCAAACATCAAAAAATAAAACTACCAAATCATTTTGAAATACCATGCTGGACTGTTAGTGAATGACAGTGTAAAGCATCCTGTAAAATCATGGCACCTGGTATACTGTCATTTTCAAGAAAAGTGGTATTTTTGTATCAATTTCCAACGCTGGTCGGCCAATCAGCGTTGGAAAAAACTGGCTTTTTTTTCAAATACTGGCCCCAATTGACCATCGCACTTGTTTGCAATCGATTACACACCTATGAACGGGTACAAGCCAGCTAGACTGGTTCCCTGACCTTACAATTCCCCAATGTATGTAAAGTGCTCTGTTTCTTCTTATATGGAGTCAGGGAACCAGACTACAGGAAAATGATTGTTTTTCTTGGTTTTTATAGCATTTTCGAACCCAACACCTCAAAAAAGTCAGTGTAACTATATTTGCTATATATATTTCCAACCCCCCAATTCCATCCATTTCTGAAAATTACAGCAAAAAACAAATGATGTATATTCCCTTCTAAGTGTTTGCAGTGTTTTGATGGAATTAAGGATTGTACTTAGGGTCCAGTCACTTGATGCAGGGGTGAGATTTGTAAGGATATTTCTTAATTTCAGGATATATTTTTTGTCAGGATTTTTCCTGATTTTTTTTTAAAGAATCCCTTATGAATTCCAGAGGCTTTTCCATACACCTATTTTTGCCAATCAAGGCTTATAGAATTTGGTATTTGAGGGGTGCCTTAGTTGACCTATCTCGGTAGAATCGCGTCAACGCAGCTTGTGAAATAGTGTCCAATTGCATGATATGCAAATGGCCGCGGAACGCACAAAATCCGAGGCAAACAAAACTTAACGTACACAAATTCCATAGGGTTGTCTTAGGGGCGTGGCTAACTCGCAAACTGCGATAGGTCAATAGGCAAAGTTGTACAAACATATTCTGTAGACCCCTGCCTTGCTATGCGGCCCTCGGTGACTTTCAAATCCTCTGTGGATTATTTCGGGAACATTTTACTTTCTCCCTATCTCACCCCTGCTGATGTTTACAGCACATGTCAGACTTTGGCAAACTTACGCAAGTGCCTCATAAAGCTGCTGAATACTTGGACAAAATGATAGAGTTGTCTATTTTTCTAATTAAAAAAAGAAAAATAATAATAACGACTACTAGTTCTTGTGGTTTTTGTACACTAGTCTAATCCCTAGTTTTCTATCTTTGGCAGCAATATCCATGGACCATGGGATGAAGCTGTGATTCAACATTGACAACTGCTGCCCGGAGTACGAACCATTGGATCAAGAGCTTCCTATAACGTGTGTGTATGCCACTTGTTGGGCATAGGCATCTTAAAGAGGTTGTGGAATGCCGAAGACATTTCCGTCATTTTTGGGGTATATGTAGCCTAAGGTGTGATGAAATAAAAACGACTATTGTTTCTATCATGAAAGGAGTACAAAGGGTACTTTTGAGAGCTATTTTTCAGGTCCTGTTTCGACCTGAACGTGCAATTTGTGTAAAAGTCGTTGCTGCGGGCAGCAAACAAAACACAGTAAATCGTGACGTAATAAACAGGACTCGTTTATGCTACTCTGCATCGGGAGTCCTGTTTATTACGTCATGATTTACTGTGTTTTGTTTGCTGCCCGCAACAACGACTTTTACACAAATTACACGTTCGGGTCGAAACAGGCATGACAGGACTTGAAAAACAGCTGTCAAAAGTACCTTTTGTACTCATTTTATGACAGAGACAATAGTCATTTTTATTCATCACACCTTAGGCTACATATACCCAAAAAATGACGGAAATGTCTTCGAGCATTCCACAACCTCTTTAAGTATCTTTGATAATAGGCACTAAGAAAGGAAATCAGATGCTATTTAGCACTGTGACAAGCCGTACTTTTAGGCCTGACCGGATGTCATGATGCTAGTATGCATACAGTTGTTTTGCCAATGGAACTGCTGTCCATTTCAGAGATACCGTTACAGTGTGTGAGGCATGGCTTGTCCGAGCCATATCAGTCGCATGGCTCTCTTAATTTGTCAATGGCTACTTGCCCGTTACTTTTAACCAAATGCCTGTCGTACAGATTGATCCAGTCATTTTTTATCCCGTATTGTGTGCATAAAACCATTGGTCTCGTATATAATTAGTACCTTTCAACATGGACTCTAAAAGTATATTGTTCCCAATTGGTTACTGAAAAGATGGAACTCATTTTGCACAAATAGTTCGAGGCCATCTTTTTGTAATAAACAGGTACATGTATTTATACAGCAGTTTTAACAACAGTAGCTTGATGCTGCCCTCTTGGCTGATGTAAAGTGCTTTGATCATAGTTAAAAGCAATACATGTACACATGTATACAATATTATGTACACATGTATACGAGAACTTGTTAATATTAATTTATTAAGGGCTTATTTAGACTCCACTGTCCGATTACACTCACGGGCATCCATCTTTATTATCATAAGGGAAAGCCATCTTGACACAATTGATGTCTTTCTTCACAGTAAGAAAACCTTGCCCAATGCACTGAGTGTAGCTTCCATAGAACTCGGACAGCATGATTTAACTACATTTGGCATGTTATCAATGTTTCACACACATTTTTCTGTTTAGTTTGTTCTCCATTTGTGTCATATATTTATTATTTAGTTTGACTGTGAACAAGATATGCCCGCTGTAGGCTTCAGGATTATTTTATTACATGAGTAAAAGTGAAATAAATTCACATTTTCCTAGCTCTGTGTATGCTGTGTTACATTATTGCAAATTTATGTTACAGAAGAGGTATTGGAATGGACCATAACAATTATCCTAATATGTCATCTGTTCCCGTTATTTAAAGGGACTCTACGTCCTGGAATATGGCCATTTTGGGCTACAAAACGCACTTTAAATCACGTTCTGAACGAAATGTTAATCGGAAAGAACGTTGAAAAGTAGGATTTCAACATATCCACACAACTATCCCTTAAAAATTACGCGTTTTTTGGTGTCATTCTTGAGTTATACGTGCGATACCGTTATACTAGTTTTAATATTCCATCCATAAAGTGTTTGTCTTTTGCAGATGTGTAAGCATTTTGTGCATTGGTGCTGTGTGTAATTTATGTGACACACACAACGTGTATCGTACATTGACTGAAAATGAAAGGAAAAATGTATGCGCACTCCGACGTATCCGATGTTAAACAGCCGTTTTTGTGTGTGTCTCTTCTTGGGAGCTGAAGACATTAGGTTGGTTCCCCAGTCAGACGTTTGAAATAGGATTAGTAAACAATCCAAAACATGAAATTTTAGGGAATTTCAAGACTTAGTGCCCTGTTAAAGTCCATTTTACAAAGAAATGATGCCCTCCTTAAACATGTTTTAATCCTTGTACATGTTTTAATACTAAAGTAAAAAAAAAAGTCTCGCAAATTCTGTACAAATATTACAAAAACTAATATACATATTCACATACAAATATTCAAGTCCATACATGTACATGCTCAAAAAGTTGACCTCCACACACGGAAGACATAAAAAAAAACACAAGATATATTTAGGTGTAGAAATTATATTGAAACAGACAATCGAGTGAATCCCTCGACTTGTTTAAAAAGATGTTCAAATCTATAGGAAGCACTTTTCCCTCATGATGATGCGATTAAGGGATATATTTGTTATCATCCCTGGTTCTACACTACTACTGCAGCTACTTTTGTTATCAAGAAATTCAGTCTTACAAAATCACGTTAATTGACACAGCAGCTTAAAACCTCTGTAAAAATTACATTTTTTTCAGGCTCAGAATTAAAATTTACAGATGACCCTTGTAAAAAAGAAAGTCTTTTACAAAAAGTTTTGTACAAATACAAAAAGTTAGATATCAAAAATATATTACACTGCATTCTGGGTAATTTTGTACAAAACACCAAATTTTTACAATGGAAGTGAGGACCAATTTATTTATAATTGTAAACTTTGTTTATGTGCATAGTTTAGCATCGGAAATTCCTAAAATCCAAAGGGATTTTCCATTCTAGTAAGAAAATACTCACCTCTGTTTACCTACATTTGCATATCAGCGCGCATGCGCACAAACATTCGCTGAAAAGAATAGCGCCCAAGCCACACCCTCATTGTCCACTGCATGCCCCACGCCCACAAAGGACCCTGTAACGTAATAGCTCGTCCTAGTTTTTTTTTTTTTTTTTTTTTTTTTTTTTTTTATAGGGAGGGATGGTAAACAGAGGTGAGTATTTTCTTACTAGAATGGAAAATCCCTTTGGATTTTAGGAATTCCATTACAGAAAATACCTCACCTCTGTTTACCTACATTTGCAGAGTAGCACCGAAAGTTCCAAGGGGGGGGAAGGGACATGCAGTGGTACTTGAAAGTCTAAACTTGGCCTACATGCAATTCTAAATAATATGCAAAGGTTGTCTAGACATACCCGGGAGCTGCCTATCTATTTCAAAGGAGCTGTGCGGGCTGAGCGGGCTGCTGATCGTGCAGTTTCTTGGAGGACTTTCTTGCCCATGCGTCCCTCCGCTTGCACGACATCCTTCAGGTAGCATGATGTGAAAGTCGAAGGATTTTTCCAGCAGGCCGCTTTCATAATCTCTGAAAGAGGAACTCCAAGCAGATGGGCCCATGAAGTCGACATGCTGCGTGTCTCGTGGGCTCCTGATTTCGATCCTCGATGGTCGGAATGGCATTGTATGGCCACCGAAATCCATCGAGCGATCGTGGTCACAGAGGCTTTGTGATGAGGCTGGATGGTCGTAATAAACAGTTGCTTGATGTCTCCTCTGAGGGGCTTGGTGCGAGCAATGTAGTACTTGAGCGCTCGCACGGGGCACCACCATTTATCCTCTGCTACTGAAGAGAATGATGTCAAACTTGGTACAAATATGTCGGGTGGTGAGAAACCCATAGATTGATTCTTGGTGAGAAAACCTACCCTTGGAATTAGTCGTACACCGCCAGGTTCCCATCGAATATGGCCTGGTTCCACTGACAGAGCATGGAGTTCGCTTCTGCGGCGAGCTGTAGCTGCAGCCAGTAAAAATACGGTTTTAACTGTAAGATGGTGAAGGGACGAACTACCTGCTGGTTCAAACGGAGGTTTGGAGAGAGATAACAGGACGGTGCCCAGATCCCATGAAGGTATCAACTTCCTGGTAGGAGGCCGATCATTAAACATACCACGTATCATGTGAGAAATTGATGTATTGGATGAAGTTGTTGTGCCATCATGGAAACCCTGATGAAGGATACCAATAGCTGATCTGTAGCCCTTAATTGTTGAAATTTGCAGGCCTGAATTAAAAAGGTGAAGAAAGAAATCCCCAATCGAGGTTACAGATGCAGAACGGGGATTGACAGCTCTCTCCTCACACCATTTGGTGAAGTGGAGAAGTCTACTATCATAAGTTCTTCTGGTGGATCTCCGTCTGCTCTTGGTTGCCAAGGACGTAGCTTCCTCCGAAAGTCCCGCTGATCGGAAGGAGACTTTGAGAGCATCCAGGCACAAAGATGGAGAGTGGATGGATCCGGATGCAGAATGTGAGACCCGGGTTGTGACAGGAGGTCTGGCCGGTTGGGAAGTATGAGGGGCGAGTGAACCAGGAGATCCAGAAGGCGAGGAAACCATGGCTGTCTTGGCCAAAATGGAGCTATGAGGACTACTCTGGATAGCTCCGTCTCTATCTTTGTCAGGACCCGTTGAATGAGAGAGATCGGGGGGAAGGCATAAGCATGCATTCCTGACCAGTCGAAGCTGAGGGCATCTACCTTCCATGCCAGAGGATGAGTGTGACGGGTGCAAAAGGTTGGAAGCTGGTTGTTCAGGTGAGATGCGAATAGGTCCACATGTGGAGTTCCAAGTACGTTGAAGATGTGTTTGACTACAGGAGGGCGGAGAGACCATTCTGTCGGAGAGACGCGACCCCTGGAAAGGGCGTCGGCGAGGATATTCTTCTTCCCGGCCAGATGGGTGGCTTGAAGAGATATTTGACGAGGAATGCACCAGCTGAGTAGCTCCCAAGTGGCTAGGCAGAGAGACGGGGAGTGAGTTCCCCCCTGACGGTTGATGTAAGACACTACTGTGGAGTTGTCTGACTTGACTAGAACTAATTTGTTGAGGACTTCGGACTCTAGGGAACGTAAAGCCTTGTCCACTGCCAGGAGTTCTAGGTGATTGATGTGAAGTAGACTCTCTTCCATCGACCATGTGCCGGCCCGTGATAGATAGTCCATGTGAGCTCCCCAACCCAGAGTTGAAGCATCTGTTGTGAGGATAGCTGCTGGAGAGGGGCGAGGGAACACGACTCCACATAGGAGATTGTTCGGAGCTAGCCACCACCGGAGCTTGTCGATAATTAACGGAGTAACTGGAACCATCTTCGATATAGGATCCTTGCGAGGGCGAAAGTGGTACAGGAGATGAAGCTGTAAGGGACGCATGTGCATCCTGCACCAGGGAACCAAGTCGACCAGACTTGCCATGAGACCCAGAAGGCGGAGCCAAGCTTTGGCTGGGAGGATTGGAGATGACCTGAAAATTCCGATGCAATCCCAGAGTGTCTGACATCTTTCCCCCGATGGCATCGCTCTGCCTGTTGTCATGTCTAGAACTGCTCCAAGATAGGTCGGTTGTTGAGTTGGAATCAGAGACGACTTCTCGACATTGATGATGAAGCCGAGATTGAGGGTAAGTTGAACGGTCTGTCGGAGGGCATCTACCGTGTCCTGGAAGGTCGGACCTACTATGAGCCAATCGTCCAGATACAGAAATATGTGGATCTGCTTTTGACGCAAGAAAGCTGCAACTGCTTTGGCTATTCTCGTAAAGACCCGAGGGGCTGTGGAGAGGCCGAACGGTAGGCAACGAAATTGGTACCCGGAACCTTGGTATAGAAACTGGAGAAACTTCTGATGATCTGCGTGGATAGGTACATGAAGGTAGGCATCCTTCAGATCGATGGAAGTAGCCCACCAATTCCTTTTCAGGGACTGGAGGACCGTGGAAAGTGTCTCCATGCGGAAGTGTTTGGGTTTGATGTAACTGTTGAGAGGTCGTAGGTTGATGATGGGTCGCCAATCGCCCGACTTCTTCGGTGCCAGGAAAAAGGTTGAGGTGACGCCAAGGGTGGACCCCGTTGGAAGCAGAATGATGGCGTTCTTGTCGATCAGAGAGATTATTTCCTTCTCCAACGCCACCCGGCGTGCAGAATCTGAGGGAACAGGAGTTGGTCGTCTTGGGGGTTGTAGAGGAGGGTTGCTGGTGAATTCCAGACGGTACCCTGTCGAGATCGTTTGAAGAACCCAAGTATCTGAGGTTACGTGAGACCATCTCTGACTGAACTCCCCAAGACGACCACCTACTGGACCCGAAGCTGGAGGGATGAAAACTGTGTTGTTGTCATAGGCCCTTGTTACCTCGCGACCCCCGGGACTTGAAGGGACGCGAATATCTGGGGGGCTGTCTCCTGGTGTAGCTGGCAGAAGACGAAGAAGCCTGATGCCCCTGAAACTTGGACTGGTTGGAGCCCTTGTCGGTAGAAAACGGGCGTTGATTCTTCTTGCTGGGCTGACTGGGGGCAAATGTAGAGGGGCGTTTAGTTGAACGCCGACGAAAATCGAACTTGTCTTCAGCTTTAAGGCGTTTGGCTTCATGTAACATAGTCTCATCAAACTTGTTGTCAAAAAGATCACGCCCAGCCAGGGGAAGGCCTAGCATGCGATCCTTTGCACCAAGTGAAGGGAGAGACAACTTGTCTACAACAAGGGAACGTCGCAGCAACGAAGTCGAAGCGAAACCTAAACTAAATTCCTTGAGGCAAAAACCTAGGCAATCATCCAAAAAATGGAACATTTCGGTTATCTTGTATGGCTCACACAAGGAAGGATCTCCATAACATCGAGCAAGGGTATCCGATAACAGGATGGAGAAAGAGGCCACTTTGGCCCCTTGACGCATATGGCTATCCATGTAGGCGAATCTTTTGTTAAGTGTATTCGTCTTAGCATCAAAAAACTTTTGAGATAGCGGATTCTCACGTCTCAGCAAGTCTTTGGCCTCAGAAGACAAGGAAGGGGTAGAGAAAAATCTATCAGTGTCCGCTTTATTGGTGTTGAACATGCCTGCAAACCTGCTCTGGCCACGAGAGAGAGTTTGTTTGCTATGCACCTGACTAAGGGACTCATTCATAGTGTCAGCACACAATCTATCAATAGGAAAAGAGGGCTGCGAAGGCTTAAATTTACGTGTACCAGAATCTCTGCGAAATGAAGGACGAGTAGATTCGTCTGGGGAAGGGGGTGGAAACTGAAGGATCTTACCCACTTCCGTCATCGTAAGATTAGCCCGCTGGGCATTGGAGAGACTATCTTCATCCACTGTCCGGCCTGAGGAAAAAGAAGACCTTGAAGGAGATCTAGAACGTGAGTGTCGGCTTCGATGACCAGAATCCGACCGTGAGTAATCACGATCATGACGAGAAGAACGATGTCGGCGCCAATGTCGATCGTCGGAGTCCGAGCGGGACCGCGCACGAGACCGGGAACGGCGCCGTGAATCGCGGCGTTCTCTCCCCGCCCGGCTGGTGTGTTCACCGAAGCGTTGCGGAGAACGGAGTCTTTGTCCTGTGAAAGGTACGCCATGATCTCGCGGAGAATGTGAAGAATTACCCTGATAAGGTGGGTAATGGTGTGAAAATCCCATCGGAAAAGTCTGGGGATAACCCCGCGGGTCGTAGGATGGTGCACTGAGTGGATACGGAGTGCGAGTATTGTGGTCGAATTGACGAGGATCGTTCGGGAAAAAGGACCACGTGTGAGGCTCCGAATGATGAGGAAAATCTCGCCGAGATTCGCTTGTAAAACTAGGTTGTGAATACGAACCCGTAGTACGGCTGAATGAAGATGATGGTGGTGGTGGTGCCCCAAGCCTCTGTGACCTGGCGGGGCTGGTCGAATTACCGAGGGACCGCTGGGTTTCGAACGCCAAGTCCCGCCGTCCCGCCTGCACATGCGAGTCGACCTGTTGTTCCGAAGCCATGTGCTCCTGTAGGCTGCCGTAAGAATGCGGGATTTGTCGGGGAGTGGCCGTAACTCTCGTTGGAGAAGTATTCGTCCCCGGAGAAATTCCAACTGTCGAACCCGGGAGATTGGACCCGGTCGTAGCAGAGGAATTATCACGCTTGGATTGACTAGTAGAGGGTGACTTTCCGGTAGAACGGCTTGAGACAGTTTTCTTCTTGGTTTTGGCGGAGTCCGCCATTTTGTAATCACAGCGAGAACAGCTAAAAAATGTACGTCTTTACACTACGCGTCGCTGAAAAACTAGGACGAGCTATTACGTTACAGGGTCCTTTGTGGGCGTGGGGCATGCAGTGGACAATGAGGGTGTGGCTTGGGCGCTATTCTTTTCAGCGAATGTTTGTGCGCATGCGCGCTGATATGCAAATGTAGGTAAACAGAGGTGAGGTATTTTCTGTAATGGAATCTGATTTTTATACCAGACAAAATGCAACGGATTTCCCTGATATAAGCATTTTGATTTCGAAAGACATAAGTACTGTGTTCTGTAGTTATTCTGTTTCTGTTAAGCACTTTTCACGGAACAAGTTTCACAGTTTTGATCTGCATTTCGATAAACTAGGTCATGGATTTTTATAATTTGGTCTTGGAATTTGTTACGGCTGTTCATTTTTGAATAATTTAATATTCAATATTCGAAACTGCATTAGACCGAATATTCAAATCTCGCCGATCACTTTTACACGCGCCAGCTCAAACCGCATACCACACTGTTAAAATATTGTAGGCAAAGAGTGCAGGTGTTTTGCGTGCGGTAATCAATGATGATATGCTCACCGGGCCTATTACAAGGACGGGAACAATGAACCGTCGTCGACAAGAAGTGACTGTAGACAAAAATGCGGCATTTGACAACAAGCACTGGTACTTCACTGTTAAAATAACATCGCAGTCGTGATTGAACCTGCATATATTTTTTTCCGGAATATTTGAACTGGCAAAAAGCTATTCGAATAAATGGTTGATATTTCGAATAATTCGAAGCAGCCCTAGAATTTGATTGTTCTAAAGGTGGAGGAATCTTGTGGAAGTATCTCATAACCCCAAATAATACTGGTAAGACCTATTCAAACCAGAAATTCATACTCTTCCGACGAGTGCGGCCAGAGAATACCACACAGACTGATCTTCATGTACAGAATGCACAAATTATGTAACAACTCTCTGCAGGAGTAAATGCTGGCAAGGAGTGAGCACATGCTACCGAAACCTGTTCCTCTGCCAACTCAAAATACTTCCAGAATACAGCAAAACGCTACATTTTGAACGACCCATGTGGGTCCAATTACTCTTGCCCATACTCTACAGACAAGCCATGAAAAGATGCTAAACAGTTTGTTCCCCCTATTTCTGCACTACTCACTACTACGAGAGTGATCCCTGATTGATCACCACCTACTCAAGGTCATCGATTTCTTCCTTCAGCCAACTTCTCAAGAGAGAAATACTTCTATAACCCTGGTGAAAAAAAGAAATGTTCAGCCACACACAGTGGACTCTGTGAAGAGATGCTACTGCATGGCCTGCTGACGAGAGCTAGTGAAGTGCATGGAACTCAGTATAAGTAAGTGTAGGTGAAGGGTCAAGGGGGATGGAACCTGTGTTCACAGGAACGGAGTGCCCATCTCTCTTTTGAAGCGATTGGGCCAGACTGGAGTCCATGAAATGCTGCTGTGGGGGTGGGTGGGGGGATCACCACACCTCCACAGCGAGTCTGTTACCTTCCCAGCATTGAATAATGTCGGTACCCATTTAACACCTGGGTTGACAGGAGTAATTGAGGTAAAGCGCCTTACTCAAGGGCACAACACGCATGGCCACAGCGGGGCTCAAACCCACAATCTCACGATCATGAATCCTGTGCCCTACCGCTAGACCACACGTGTCTAGGTAAGTGTACTTCAGGTAATAACAAGTGGGAGTGCACAATAAGCTCTGGCCATGTTACAGAAAGTCTTGCATGAAAGTCTTGCATGAAATTGATCAAAATGATCCCTCCAGAGCTGAAAAATGTGACACCGAAAAATGCGACGCCGAAAAATGCGACGCCAAGGGCACATATAGGAACACCATACTTTTGGTCAATTTTCCAGGGACAGACAGACAGACAGATCATCTGACTGACCACCAACTGACACGTAGAAGCTCCTGCCAGAGCTTAAAAATACACTTTTCTTTTGCCAAACTGCGGCTTTCATGATGTGAAGGGAAGAATTAGACACAAATAGCTCAGAAGGTTGGGTGTGGTCCAAGTTGGTGGCTCTTCAATCGTCGGACGCCTTGGATGGTGAATGAGGGGTGGTGGACTGCACCCGAGGAATGCCCCCATCGTGGATTGTATGTACCTGGGCCTGGAGTCAATTCTAAAGATAAAGAACAAAATATACAATAATCTTACGCAGCTAACTCCTCTGGACTCTTTTTACATAACTCTACTCGATAAAAAGATTAAAGATATTTTGTGGATTCTAAGTTTCCATAATGACATCTTCAGCAAAATATTCTGCAGAAAAATGTTGCAACTTGACGCCACTTCAGCGGTTGTGTACAAAGTCTATGGAGAATCAAGAAGTTTTTCCTAACAAAATTGGAAATGTTTCTCAGTCCCAGATTCATGTCTTATCATTTTTGCAATGTATGACTTTCATTGAGATGATATAATGAATAAAAAGGTGGCGTCAGGTTACAACATTTTTTTCCTATTCTGCTTCCATAATTCCACATATCTTACCTAACCATGAAAACTCAGCCTTGGGTTAAGTGCTACTGAAAAACAACTACTGAAAACCAGCCTCGGTGGGATGGTCCCAAACGGTTGACTAAACTGGTCTTTTTTTTTTTTACAAATGTTTATCGAACTGTTAGACAACATAAATACAGCTCAGCATCTGTATTACATTGTATTACACTGTGTTTATTCACTAAAGAATCTACAAAACCAGAGAATGCTGGGGCAGTTTCGGGCACTTCAATGAGTAACAGGCAGGGTGGTTTAGGGTAAAACAGTGACTAAATGGTTAAAGCTACAATCCATTATTTGCAGCTATCCAAAAGTAACTTGACGTAATTAGTGTTGATAAAACATACTTGGTTGAAAGATAGTACGGGGACTAAACTCCTAATGAAATTATTATATCTGGCAAACTGTCATTTTGAAGAAATCAATGAAAGAAGGTCTTTCCGTTCTGTTAGTAGTTTGTTCGTAGTTCGTTTTTTATATTCGGTGAAGCACGTAAGCACGTGATAGGTGCGCGACATCGCGTAGCTGCATTTGGCTCAGTGAGAACGTGTCTCGGCTGCTGAATTCAGGCCCAATTCAAAACATGATTCAGCGACTTTTGATTTGAAATCGAGATCCTAGAATGCTGATTTTCTCGGAATATACAGCTGAAGCTGAGCTGAAACTTCATCAAGTTAGATGATCAGCACCCTTCTTTAGATTTCGAGCATGTTTGTTGCTGCAAACGAACAAAATGCACCAATTACAAATGATGGACTATACCTTTAACTTGCTTACTATTAACTGGATTGTCCTAAATACGCAAATCGTAAAAGTTCAAGGGGCCCGAGGTTTCGAACCGAGGCAATGGTTAACCACAGTTTTGATCAGAGCTTATTTTTTTCATCGGAAGTAGTAAGAGTGATGCATAAAAATGCAACCAAGAATAACCACACTTGGCAATATTGCTTCAAGTAAGTCTCACCTATTAACCCTCCGAGCAGCGAAGTGGTGATTTCATTCTCCACATTTTCCAAATATGGGCATAATTTTTTTTTCAATGGGCCAATTAGGCCAAGCTTTCATGTAATCCTCACCCCTACTATACCCCACAAGCCTGTAGACTCCCATTGGCCAGTCCCTACACACTCTGGAGTAAGGAGTGTTGAAAGACAGAAGCCAAGATGGCGCCCAATGCCTTTGTGCAGTAATGGGAGATCTTAGTGGCCAATCCCTCAGTGCCGCCGATCCCTTTGTGTCAACCCCTCGTGCCGCCCAGAGCCCAGACAGGTTGTAAACAATCCCTGGCCATGTGAATGACCTATATCTTGGGCATGTACAGGCATGCCAGGGTTATTGACCTGTAAACACAGGTGGTGACCAAATTCTCCACGTGTTTCCACTGTGTGATTTTTTTTTGGTAAGCTGCTCGGAGGGTTAAGTCTGTACCCAAATACTGTCTACCTGAATTTCTTGCATTACTTACCGTTGCCACTCCAGAGCTTTGTGCCTTGGTGTCTACGGCTGATGGTGTAGCTGGGTGCAGTCCTTAAGGTGGCTACATCTGACGTGGAGCGATTGTATTCATTAGGTCCTGGTTCATTCTCTGAGCCTGGTCAAAAAACATAAAAAAATTAACAAAGAATTAAATTTTTGACATGCAATGAGAGGATAATTTGTACACACTGTATTGGCCATTGTGTAAAAACCTACATTTATCATTATACAACGCTGAATATATCCTTGTCATCTGATTGGTAAGTCGTTGATCACGTGACATTGAACTATTCTTCCCACAGCCACAGAAGTTCCATTCCACAGTAAATGGTAGGGCTGTCCATTTTTAAATAAACAGGCTGTCCTGTTTTGATTATTGGGAACTGCGTTTCAGCGAATATTTGATTATTCAAAACTCTCTGAACCAAGTTTTACACACGCCAACTGCAACTGCATGTTGCGCCGGTCAAAAGTTGCACACAAAGCGCCAGTTAAAAATTTGCGCTCGAGCCTTTTACAGTAAGTATTTTATAAGAGTCAAGGACTTTAAAGCCCGAGTCCATCATTTGCAGCTATCCAAAAAAGTAACCGGCATAATTATTGTTGAAAAACATACTGGTTGAAAGATAGTAAGGGGACTAAACTCCCTGTGAAATTATCCTTTCTGGCAAGCTCTCATTTTGAAGAAATCAACGAAAGAAGGCATTTCCAACGGTGCTTCTTAAGAAGCACCGTAGGAAAATTTAAATTAGTTGTTCGTTTTGTTATTCGGCGCAGCGCGCACAAGCATTGGCACAATGCACAGGCATGTGCGGTTGCTATAATTCGTTGGATCAGTGCGCAACATCGCGTAAAGCTGCAATTCAAAACAATTCGAAACATGATTTAGCAACTTTTGATTTTAAATTGAGATCCTAGAATGCTGTTTTTCTCTGAATATGAAGCTGAAGCTGAGCTGAAACTTCATCAAGTAAGTTGTTCAGTATCCTTCATTAGATTTTGAACACTTTTGTTGCTTCAAACGAACAAAATGCACTAATTACAAATGATGGACTATAGCTTTAACCTGCTAAAAGGATGGGAACAAACCACTGTCAACAAAAAAGTGCTATCTGACATTAAAGCGCCGCAATTTACGATTAAAATAACATCACAGTCACGTGTGCACTTGCGTATTTTTTATATTTCGATTATTGAAAGGTATTCCAATATTTGGTTGATGATCGGCTTTAATATTCAATATATTCGGAGCAACCCTAGTAAATGGAACTAGGCCACACTATTGGTGGCGCTATAAAACGGCTCTGATGATAAGAATTTATTCAGACGTTGTATGAACAAAACCGAACACTTCACATTCGTGCAATTACAGTATATCCTCAACAGATAATAAGAGAGAGGGGTTACCACTGGGTGGGATATTTGAATGCATTTCCAATAGTGTCGGATGCTCACGCTAAGATGCCATGGGGTTATGCACATTCAGAATAAACTTAGTCGGGCATACCTCGCGCCACACGTGTGGTGTGCCCCCCACACCGGAGCCCTCAAAAAAAGTAAAAACTTGCCATCAACCGTTCATGCACCAAGTCCATACCCTCACCGTTCTAATCCTTACTATAATTCCAGGAATCTCTGTCTGTCTGTCTGTCTGTCCGTCGATTATCTCCAGAACCGGGCACCGTATAAAGTTGAATTTTGGCAGGCACACTGCTGGGGACAACAGAATGTGCAGTGCCAAGTTTAAAGTTGTTTGGACGAGCGGTTCTCAAAAAAAATCTGCTATTATATACCTAGAACACGCGCAGTCCTTTTCAATTGTTTACGTCATGTTTGAGCTAAAGTGCGCGTGCTTAATATGACGCAACAATGGAAAAAGGATGGGCACACGCATTGTAGGGCAATTATTGTTCAGAGTATTTCTGGAGCTCACGTACGTGAGTAGCTGCACGGGCGTATGGGTGAATATCAGTGCCGGGGATGGCCTGGCAAAGTGTGCTCAACCTATGGCCTGTACAAAGTGCGCTCAACCTATGAGTGTGAGTTTAACCTGTGAAAACAACACAATTGAATCGTGTGCGTTGTTTGCATGATATGAGCATTTTGAAATTGCCCCTACCGAACAGGTGCATTTTTTGACGGGCCCTGCACTAGTGTGTATCAATTCGCAAATATATACAAATCGGTGATCAAGCTTTATTGCTATTCAATGGTTAGGCTGTTGTTGGAGCGAGTCAGTTTTACACGTACCTATTTTACTGATGCTGAAATTGCTTCGCACACCGATGGTGAAGGAAGGATAGTCGACCATGGTGGGTTTGCGGCGACCCAGAAGCGGGCGGGTGCTGTTGTAGTGTGCTGGTGAGGGCCACTGAAAAATAAAATAATAGATGAAATGGCCAAGAACAAAGAGATGAAAACAACAAATTAGCATAACGTTCATTCACATTTCCTTAACAGATCAAGTGCTTGTAGACCTTTGATGTGAGTTCTTATTGTTAATGGGCCTGGTCGTCTTCAAATTCTGAGTAAGGGTTAACCCTCTTGCCATTTAAACAGTCACAGAGAGTCAAAATTTCCATCCACTTCCCCTGCTATACTTTTAACAAAGGCTAGTCACCAGCAGTCAGATCATATGTCAAGCATGCACTGTGACTAAACTGAGTCACCAGACAAAAAAGCAGGCAATTGTTGTCACAGCTGTTTTGTCACTCACCCAGAGTCAAAGCACAGCTGTCAAGCTATCAAGTTGCTTAAACAGTCCCAGACAGTCAATCCTGCTTTACATAGGCTGGGAACTCTTTAATTGTGGAAAACAGTCACTTGTTTGATTTTGACTGAAGGCACTACTTGGCACAGAATGTATGTTTGCATAGGAGGGTTAATGAAGCTAAAATTCATGTTGTTTGGGCAATACCAATATTCATGAAAAGCTTGGACATGGGCAGAGCAAGAAAACTGGCATCTCATCTTGAAGTTAAAAAATAAAACCAGAAGGTGTGTACCTCAAGTGGCAACTTACCCTTTTCTCATACTGCACTTTCTGTGTGAACCCGTTGTTGCTGTTGAACCATGTCTTAGCATACGCGGTTCGACCTCCGCCGCCTGTAGAGTTTTAATAAAATGGGGATCAGTGCCAACACTAACAAACCAATCTCTTCTCTTGTCATGTGTGAACATAGTACCAAAACCACTATGTCACATTATGTTAGCTTTCATTACAGTCTTTCCCAAGGCCGGAGTTCTACCACAAAACTTCACGCCACTTCTCACAAAACCTTACACAAATCTTGTAGCTTTCTTTGTTCTCAATTTTACTTTACTAAAAATAGACACAGATTTTGATTTCATCTGAATTACCCGTGAGAGTTTAACCCTTTACCATCTTTACAACATAGGGTTACGTTGTCTTTTTCCCCTTAACCCTAACCTCCCAAACTCCATCAAAACCCATCTCCCCATTTTGGTGGATTTGGAAGGATTTGGTCCTGCAGGCCTGGTTTGACTTAATATTGATGGAGTATGATGGAGTATGGAGGCCTGAGGCAGTGCTAGGGGCATACGATTGATTTTGCCTAGCATCCTGTACTGCTGTTGTCATGTAAGCCATATGTACTAAGTCCATCAATGTCCACCAGTAGGTCAGTGGTGGATTCCATTATGTCATGTAGCAGAGCGAGTGATGGATTTTGGCGGACTTGGTACTTAGTAAAAGACAGTAGGGAGTTAAGGTTGAGAGTTTTTAAACAAGCGTATCGACTGCTCAGGCTGTACAGGTACAAGGAGTAACAGACAGGGTAATTTGGGACAGTACAGGAACTAATGGCCTAAGTTTATCAACAGCAAATTGGAGTAAGGACCAGTGGTTAACTAGTGGTTGGTTTGTGACGTACCTAGCGCATGCGCACTGAAGTTGAAGTGCAAACGACTTTAGTCGACCTATTCGCAAATATTGTGACATAATCGTAAACTAACATGGAAAAACTGTGCAATGAAAATGAAGTTCACCGCTCACAGTTTCGTTTTCCGCCTTTTTTGTTGATAGTTGGTTCCCTCTGCACTATGCTATGGAAATTACTATGGAAAACCAGCTACAAATCGTTGTGCGACCAGCCGCGGTAGGCTGGTTCCAAATAGTCGACTAGCGTAGTCAACCATCGTCGTCTAGACAGAGTTCGGCTAACTTTAGTCTAACTACAGTTAGCCATTGGTCAATAATAGTTCTTGCGCCAACTTGCCCGAAGCTTCCAGCCGACAGAGCAGAAAACTATTGGGCGATTCAGACTTACTCTTTTCATTGAGTTTGTGCCCGAATGTGTACTCTGGAGAATTATCCTCATTCAGGGGCTTGTTTCTCGGGGAGTAACTCCATGGTCCGGGGCCATCCAGGTCAAAGGGCATTGGAGGGCGGCTATTTATTGCCTGATCCAGACCTGTTTAGGAGAAAAAGACAGCTTTAAGGCCGGTTCACATTTCATGCTAAAAGCAAAAGCGAAATTGAAGTTTCATTGTGACGTTTAATGTCAAGATTATGAATTCACTTTTTACTAATCACGGCTCTGACTGGTCGAAACAACAAAGGGGCGGGGCCTACTGGGTCAATCTATTGGCAACCAATCAAATCCAGCCAGTTGGGATGTTTTGCATAATTGACAGGCTCCATGCATTGTTCTTTCTACTTACTGATTACTTTACTCTGCTGTTTTTCCTCGTAAAAGACACTGGCGTTTCTATTCAGTACAGCTCGCTTTCTGTGAAGGGAATAGAATGGAACAAAGTATTTGTTTATTAGTCTAAGTCCTTGAGTACGGAATCAATTGCCTTAATGAAAGAGAATTAAAACTTGATGCACTATGAAGTTCAAGCCAAAACATCGGGGCGGGTGCCACCTTGAACTGATGCATCAGCTCACAGTATGCAGAGTTGAGCTATATTATGTGTGGATTAGGCCAAAAAGAAAAATATTCGGTCTCAGGTCAGACCAAAGTTCCGGAATTGACGCGGCCACGCGGCTTTTTTTTTTTTTTTTTTTTTTCCTTTTTTTTTTTTCCTTCAAGCTTGGATTGTACAGACAAGGTGGGTACTATTTTGCTTTTTTGGTGTCCTCATGTACATTGGTGTCCTCCATAATTTGCCTTGGTGCTTTCGATCATTTGCCTTGGTGCAATTTCCCATTCCTTGGTGCTCTTTGGTAAAAAAAATTGAGGGGGTGCGGAAATAGAGGGCGCTGTTGGAGCTACCGCGGAACATTTTGGGAAAAAAAAAGATCGACGCGCATGCTTAAAATCGACGCGTGCGCTGACCAGAGACCGACTTATTTTTTGTTTTGGCCTTAGGTTCAGATCATGAAATTTTTCCTTGTCAAGAGTGAAGTCGGTGTAATAATACATAGGATAATTATTCACATGATAAAACGTGAAAAGAGCACTGAACCGACGAATGATAGCAACCGCGCGTGTGTGTGCATCGTGTCAACGCCTACGCGTACCACTTCATGGCTTTGCCGAATTAAAAATGAACTACTAAGGCCAAAAAAAAAAAGTCTCCGGTTTCTGGTATGCGCGCGCGTCGCCGTAGCCATGCGCGTCGGCAAAATGAATTTTTTTTTTTTCAATGAAAGATGATGTCTCCAAACCGCCAAACTCACTGGTTTGACTGGAATTCTGCTGCTGCGCAATTTCAACGTGTTTTTAGATGGGGTTATGATCGAGAATAAGCTTTATGTGGCCTCTCTGGACTCCCATATATTTGCACTAAGTTTAGTCGGGCACCATTTGCAGTCATCAGCCGACATTTGAAGCACATTTGAAGCAAAAAAGTCGGGTAAAAAAAAAAAAAAAAAAGCCGCGTCACCGCACCACTTTTTGGACAAGCTCCATACCAGAAACCGGAGACTTTTTTTTTTTGGCGGAAATGTGGCTATAGACACGTCTATGGAAATGACCTTCTTTTGTTGTTTGCTTCAAAATGAAAGCAGACAAGAAAGAATAATTTCACAGGGAGGTAGTGTCATTACTATCTTCAAACCAAGTATGCTTTTCAACAATAATTTTGTCAGTTACTTTTTGGATAGCTGCAAATGATGTACTCTAGCGTTAAAATAGGAGAACATCATGCCTTGAAGACTCACCTTGCCGACACCATCACTGTGGACATCTTCATGACAGAGTGTGGCAGCTTGGCCGAACTCAGGGCCCTGCGGACGTCCCCATCTCGCATCTCGGCCTTGGCCGAGCCGCTAGCCGAGGGGATGCGCGGTATGTGGCTGCGCGTCCGATGGGCTCCCACGCCCTGGTGATGTTCAGCGGGGAGGCTGGAGAAATCCATGACTGCTGGCAGGGAACGGGCCAACCGTGGGTCCGGGTGGACGAGTGCTGGCAAACGATTACTCTTGGAATCTAGAATTGGAGATTACCATTCGCTTGATCAGCATAAACAAAAAAAACAACCTCAATTTGTACTGTTGCCAAGTTATAAAGAGGTTGTGGAATGCTGAAAGTCGTTTTGTTTTTTATATTTTTTTTATTGTAGAGTAGACCCATATATATCCCATTCTTTTGTAATGTGCGTTTATATGTTTATAAAACTGAAATTGATCGAGTAATTTGTGACCCGCTCCACAAAAATGAGTCTGTTGTGGCAAAACTGAAATTTTGAGTTAACTACATTAATAAAATGGGAATGAAGTAAGCTTTCATTTGGTATATCACGGACCTCTCTAGGACGTTTGGTTGCACTGTTGTGCCTTTTTAAATTCTGTCAAGTTTTTGCAAAGCAAGAAATGTCTCAATGAAGAAAAAAAGGGTTTAAAAATTACAAATACACTGTAACTAACCAAGAAAAGCACCAAAAATCATAAATTTGTTAGTCTTTTTCTTACAATATTTAAATTTCTGTGTAAGATATCTGAACTAAAACAATCAAACAACCAAAATAAAACAAAAACAAAAAAATTCAAATTTTGAGCAAATTTTCACTGTTTCCATTTAAAAGTGGTAAGAGCTGGAATTCAAGCTATGCGACATCAGATTCATTTTTGCAGAGCGGGTCACATTTGTTGGTCAGCGAGGGCATAATTGAAATCAACAGTCGTCAGGTTCTTCGTAAAATGAGACAAATCGTGACGTAATAAACAGGACTCGTTTATTCTACGCTGCATCGGGAGTCCTGTTTATTGCGTCACGATTTACTACGTTTTGTTTGCTGCCCCCAATGAAGACTTTTACACAAATGGCACGTTCGGGTCGAAACAGGACCTGAAAAACAGCTCTCAAAAGTACCTTTTGTACTCATTTCATGACAGACACAATACAATAGTCGTTTTTATTACATATACCCGAAAAATGTCGGAAATGTCTTCAAGCATTCCACAACCTCTTTAACAGCTGTATCCACACGGTGTAACCTACATGTAGTTAGTCCATTAGCATCTATAATACATTGTTCACTGAAGCATCCATTAAACCTTGAGTGCTCAGGCGGTTTAGCGTAGTGCAAGGAGTACTAGGGCAGGGTGGTTTGGGGCGGTACACGGACTAATGGGTCAATTAGTGCAGACGCACTGCAGAGTACATACATACATCACACTAACAAGGTAGTAAACAAGTCAAAGACGTCAATTTGTCCAAGGTAAAGTTAAAGGGAAAATACAACATCTGCAAACATCAAAAAATAAAACTACCAAATCATTTTGAAATGCCTTGCTGGACTGTTAGTGAATGACAGTGTAAAGCATCCTGTAAAATCATGGCACCTGGTATACTGTCATTTTCAAAATGAAAACTGGCTTTTTTTTTTAAATACTGGCCCCAATTGACCAACGCACTTGTTTGCAATCGATTACACACCTATGAACGGGTACAAGCCAGCTAGACTGGTTCCCTGACCTTACAATTCCCCAATGTATGTAAACTGCTCTGTTTCTTCTTATATGGAGTCAAGGAACAAGACTACAGAAAAATGATTGTTTTTCTTGGTTTTTATAGCATTTTCGAACCCAAAACCTCAAAAAAGTCAGTGTAACTATATGCTATATATTTCCAACACCCCAATTCCATCCATTTCTGAAAATTACAGCAAAAGCAAATGATGTATATTCCCTTTAAAGGGAAGATACAACATTTGCAAACATCAAAAAACGAAATGACCAAAATATCTGGCAATAACCACTGGAATGTTAGGGAATGATAGTCCAAAGCATCCTGTAAAATCGTGGCTTTTGATGTGCTAACATTTTCAAGAAAACTTGTATTTTTCCAACGCTGGTCGGCCGACCAGCGTTGGAGAAAACTGGCTTTTTTCAAAAACTGCCTCTAAATTTTCATATTTAGTTATTTCGCATTTTCTTTGCAATTAATTACACACCTGTGAAGGAGTACAAGCCTGCTCGACTGATTCTCTGACCTTACAGTTCCCCAAAGTCTAAAATTGCTCTGTTTATCTTAAGTGGGGTCAGGGCGCCAGACTACAAGAACATGATTGGTTTTCTTGGTTTTTGCAGCATCTACAAGCCCAAAACGTGAAACAAGTCATTGTTTATTTTCTATAACATACTAATCCTTCTAATCTGTTTATGACGGAAAATTGCAGCAAAAGCAAATGTTGTACATTCCCTTTAAACGTGAAACATACAACAGTAAAAGAATGCTGAATGTGACCCACTCTTATCCACCTATTCAATATGTACACAAATTCAAGAGCATTCAGTAAATTGTACACATTCTTTGGGGAATAAGCCATTTGTGAGTGACCTATACCCTTTTGGATTTAAATTTGAAAAACATCTGGTACACTGACTTGCTCAGATATGCTTGGCAAATTTTAACTTTGAAGTCTCCAGACCAAAGACACTGTTGCTAATCACATGATTCGGGGCAAGCTCTTGCATACTTTACGTAAGAGATGTTTAGCACCGATACATCGTTCACAATAGGTGAGAATGGCACAGACACCAGACCATGCCGGAGCTTGGGGTTGCTAGCATAAGGCTTGCCCCGAATCACGTGACGTAACAGTCTCTTTGGTCGGGAGAATACAAAGTAAACACATGCAAAGCATTGGATTAAGTCAGCATTCCAGATTTTGTTCAAATTTATCTCGCAAATGGCTAATTAAACATCCATCGACGAGGGTTTTCTGCTGGTCCCAAAGGGCCAGCCTACAGTCCTCACTGCACTTAAGTTTCATCAAAATCCAAGCATGTAGAAGTTATACATTTTTTTCAAAACTGAACCGAAACTTTAACATATACATACAGGGCTACGCAAAAAGCAGGTGTTGGATTTTGGAGGAATTGGGATAGTTAGTATAACAAGCACTAGATACATACCACCATATGCATCCACAGGAAGTGAGGACCTCATCTTGTACATTGCTGGCTCCCGCAGATCCTCCCGTGAACCTCTGTTGGACAGCGACTCCCCCACGTCACCTTGGGCGGTAGGAATACGCACCGATTCACTGGAAAACTGCCTGCCACTGTTAACTTCATTGTTATTGTTCTCCTGTACTGCATCAGGTGTGTTGTTTGATGATGCAACGGGGGGAGATTGCGGGGCAGGGGACGATCCACTGAGATTCTCAGCTGCACCCTCAGGAGTATCTTCGACGGTTGGCTCCTGATCAGGAGGTTGTTGGGATGCGGAGACCTTGTCATGGGCATCTTCTGGTGCAACTTCAGCATCTTCAACTTGGTTGGCACTTGTATTCTCTTCAGCTATTGCCTGATCATTATCCAAAGCCTGATTCTCTTTTGAATCATCACCTGCTGGGGACATCACAACTACCTCCTCAGTCACTTCATCATCTAAAACTTGATCTTGCTCTTGCGGCTCGGACTGTCTGGCATCAGCCTCTTCAGGGTCACGTTGTGCACTGTCAGGCTTACTGTCCTCTGGAACTTTCTCTGCATTTTCGGGATCACTCGCTCCTGGGCTGCTCGAGTCCTGCCCAGGTGGAATGGATTCCTGGTCTGTTGGTTCAGTGTCTGGACCCTGATGAGGCGCTGCACTGTCCGAGTCCTGGTTGAGTGAGTCATTGTTGGTGTCCTCATTTATAGATGGGCTATTAGCATCAGCATCTTGATCCAGTTTGCTGGTGCTTGCATCCTCATTGGATGGACTTGCGTTCAGGTTCTGGCTCACGTTGCTATTTGCATCCTGGCCGGGGGAGTCTGGGTTCGAATCCTGGCTTTGTTGATTGTCGCTTTGGTCCTTATCTGAAAGTGTCACGTTCCTTTTTGCATCTTGGCCGGGGGAGTCTGGGTTCGAATCCTGGCTTTGTTGATTGTCGCTTTGGTCCTTATCTGAAAGTGTCACGTTGCTATTTGCATCTTGGCCGGGGGAGTCTGGGTTCGAATCCTGGCTTTGTTGATTGTCGCTTTGTTCCTCATCTGAGAGTGTCTTGTTAGCATTTGTTTTGTTCTCATGATCTGGGCACTGATCTGTTTCTGCAACTTCTGTAAGAAATGTGAAAACATGAACACATAAAAAGGATGATGGTTGAACACATTTTGATAAAGTTTCGAAGAAACAGTCAATATTTTATAAAATTCCCCAAGTCTAATGTAAAAAGTCGAAAAAACTAAAACAAAACACAAATTGCGTCCAAAAAACTGTGAACAAAATTAATGTAGTAAAAAAAGTCTAATGCAAAAAGTCGAAAAAACTAAAACAAAACACAAATTGCGTCAAAAAAACTGTGAACAAAATTAATGTAGTAAAAAAAGGTTGATGATATAAATTAATGTGTAAAATGATGGATTTTAAAGACTAAAAGCTACCTGGTTCTTCTGCTTCATGTGCCTGATGATTTTCTGCAACTACTATCGACTCCTCTGGAACATTTTCTGCGATATTTTCTTCAGCCTCGTTCACCGTTATCCCTGCACTATCATCTTGCTCTGTATCAGGCTGGGCATTGCCAACCACGTCAACACTGGTATTGTCAGGGTGCTGTTCAGCCATTTGCCCACTTTGCTCGGCAGACTTCACTTGTTCCTCAGCCATCATGCCTCAAGTGCATCTTCTTCCTGCACTATATATAATCCATGGAAGGCCATCTGTTACGTTGGAAAACAAATTGAAGGGGTTAACACAAGCAGAAAAAAAATTCATGTGACGAGTGATGTTACTAGTAACTCAACTGGGGAAGAATTCTATACATGGTCATGGACATCACTAATTTTTACCTGTAGTGACCTCAGATTCAGAAAGTGATAACATGTCAAATTTAGCAGGGGAAATATTGAAGCATTTAGGGCCTCCTGAGAAAACACTTGGAATTTTTCAGACGTCTCCTACTGTCCTAGGATTTGTGCACAGGGTGTCAAGTGATGTCCGATCCAGGTAGGCCTATGGAACTCTTTCCCTAAACCATGTAAACTAAACCAAATTGAAAAAAAAATAAGGCCATACATGCCATCATGGCCATAGGCCCCCTAAACCTGAAATATAAAACCAGCTGAAGTGGCGTCTGGACGCTAGGGCCTAGGCCCCCCCCCCTTAGTCTTTCCCAAGCAATATTAAAGCATTGCATACACAACAAAATCTAAGTGAGCCTTTCACTAGGCTAACCCGCAAGCCATTCTAAAGTGCATTTGACTGTTGTTTTGAGCAGCCATGGCATGGCATTGCAATTTGCATTGACTGACTGGGAACCCATTGATCGACTGATGCGGCAGTCTTGTCGAGCCGTAATAAACGTTGTCACTTGAAGACTTTTGGTTAGGATATCGAGCAGTAAAATCCGTTTGTTGCAAGAGCGATTGCACATACGATGATGCACGTATTTATGCCAACTCATAAGTGAAATCAAACATAACGTTTCGCTTTTACCTAGCTCAAATAAGAACTACCACGGACTTTAATGCAGGCAACATCGGTCATGTCAGTGAAATATCCGACTCCCGCGAGACGCCATTTTTTAGTTGCTAGGCACCTTATTTAGCTGGTACTCTGCAGCACGATAGTGTGCGAGAGCGATGAACTTTCGTGTACCATTTACTTTCAGGACGCGTGGTGGCGCTATTCATCTTATTTTGCAAATCGTGGTGTCGTCTGCTTCCCCAAGGTTTTGCCCAATGTGGGACTATAAAATTTCACTCGAAATCTGCAACAAGTTTTCCTTTTGGTATGTGAAAATGTGTACGATACGATACAATTCTGAACAAATTTACACTTGTGCGAGTGCAATGTAAAAGGGCTTACTTCTTCCACGGATAAAATCGACTTGTACCAAAGTGCCATCACCTCTATCTGCCGACTTTAGACGCGTGCCGCGTCAAGTTTCGGCGCGTTGGCAGACGCAGCCGCAGGGCGCGCTAACCGGTACCGGATACGTGCGTGTGTCAGCTGCAGCTGGCGCAGTAAAGATGAAAAAAAAAAGCTTTCGTATTAAAATGTGCTCTTTCCCGTCGACGCTTTACATCCAACGTTTACTGTTTGCTTCATTTGTTCTACAAATCGTCGCCAGACGATCAGAAAGCTGAAGTCAGTGAAGATAACATTGGTACTCCAATTACATATTGTTGCAATAGTGGGCCTTAAGCTTGGTGCTGAAAATAAAATGAGCATCAGTTGCCAACTGAGGGTTATCTACCTCACTTGGGTGATAATGATGAGCATAACTACAACCAGGAAAATGATAGAGGCAACAACACAGGGTAGGTATCTCTGGCATTTCCTACCAAGTGACAAAATTCATCCTAAACTAGTACCGAGGTAAAGGTACAGCCAGCACTTCGTCCTTGTTTCCTTCCATCTTTATTATTTTAGCAACAGAAATCGAGAGTTTATAGATATAACTTGTCTCTGCCGACTCTGGCTTTTTTTCATTGACTGGACACTTCTTTTCTTACCTTTTCTTTTTGCCAACGTTAGTTTGGTTCATCCAGTGGTTTTTGGAAGTATTAAAAATAGTTATGAATAGCTAATTGAATTTGAAAAGTCGGGCCTAAGTCCTACTTTTTGTGTGTGTACCGATTTTGTATTGCAAATTTAAGTTGAATTGGATTTTCAATTTTTTTTGTTCAGATCTGTATCAGGTATCTGCCCCATCGGAAGTCAGCTACCTGGACCCTGTGTTATTTGTCTTCCAGGCTGACTATACAAGGAAACCTCATATCATGTGCTCTTGGGATTTTGATGATGGGCAACGCATGTTCACCACCACAGCTGAATTACAACTGGGGATATCGCACCAGTACTCTAATCCTGGGTATTACACTGTGAGTTTGATTTTTGTCCTCATCATTCCTTCCAGTTGTCCACCTTGGATCAAGTGCTATCCTCAATTAGTGCTAAAAAGGATAATTCCTTTAAAGGGAATACAGTCGACTCTCGTTAGTACAAACTCTGTTAATACCAAATTCTGGTTATAACAAACATAAAGCCTTGGTCCAGACTGTGCATTTATGTGCACAATGAATGGGACTGATGTTCCTCTTAATACAAAATTCTGATATAACAAACAATTTGGCTAGGTCCGAACGAGTTTGTTATAACGAGAGTCCACTGTATACAACATTTGCAAACATCGGAAAACAAAACTACCTTTTTTTTACGAAAAACCTTACTAGGATGTTGGTAAATGACAGTTTAAAGCATCCTGTATAATTATGGCACCAGATGTGAAGTCATTTTCAAGAAAATTGGTATTTTGTATAAATTTCCAACGGTGGTCGGCCGACCACCGTAGGAAAAACCTGACTATTTCTCAACTACTGCTCCAATTTACCAGTCCAAATTTTGTTTGCTATTGGTTACATGTTCATGAACGGGTGCAGGCCAGCTAGAGTGGTTCCATTACCTTACAATTTTCTGGCATCTATAAATTGATCCATTTCATCTTTAGTGGAGTCAGGGAACCAGACTCCTCGAACATTTTTGTTTTTCTTAGTTTTTCCAGCATTTTCGAACACAAAACTTCAAACATGTCAGTGTAACAATATTTGATCTATTATACTAACCCCTCAAATAGTTCATTTCTGAAAATTACAACAATTGCCAATGATGTACATTCCCTTTAAACCCAAAAAACAAAACAAAAACAACAGCACCAAAAACGAGGGCTGAGGTGTTGATTACAAGTTACTACGAGTGCTGCACTTCTACTAATGAGCTATCAAGCCGACCCTGTTATGCCAGTCACTTAGTTTGTCAATAGCTTTGCCCATGGTCAGGAAGGTATCAATATTAGCAGTATTTTTAAACCTGGGGTAGGGAAGTCATGGGTCAGTGAGAGAAGTTTTAGCCCGAATGCCTCTGGCCGTACACTATCACAAGCTCTGTTGTACGTTGTGATAGTGTATGGCCAGAGGCATCCGGGCAAGAGAAGTTTCAGCTTTTTTATTTCAAATTGTCAAATAGAACCACTTGGTGAAACTGACTTGGTCATTTTTTTCCCCCACCCGTACACTAACAAAATATTAATTTAAATATCCAAAATAGTTTCATAAAAACACAAGTAGGATAGAATTTGAAGCACTGAAGAGTCATACAGCTGATCTGTTTGGTCAAGATTCAAAATACACTGATCTACATTCTTTTAAAATTCTGAAATTTGAATTTGGAGTTTCAATTTGAATATTTTAAAGTTGAATTGTGATTTTTGCATTCTAGGTCTTGACATCATGTCTCACGTCACGTGGCTTGATTTATCAAAGCACCACAGTGACCGTTATCAATGATATTGACTGGCTAGAGTGTGTCATCACAGACACCGATGCAGTCCCGCAAGAAATCTACCAGGAAGGGAGTAACATTGTTGTCCACTACCGGCACGAGTATACGGTCGGGTTAGTCTACAGCTTACTCATAGATGATGTGAAGGTGTATGAAGCCACTGCACCAACCCCTAGCAATCCGACCCACGTGGTGCAAGAGAGTCTGATCATAACAAGCCAGCTGCAACAACTGATCCCGCTTGGTAGTCACAATCTGACGCTACGCGTCAGAAATGACCGCGTCGACCTACGATGCCAGAGCGCCTTCACGTTGATGAGCCCTATCTCAGGAGTCAGTCTGGTGTCTAGTCATTCACTTGCGGTCCCTGGGGAAGATGTTGTGCTGACGGTGAAGGCCGAGTCAGGGTTCCCTGCAATGATTGAATGGAGCATCAGGAACGGCTCATCCATGGTCTGGCAGATGTTGGCGGCGAGGCAAGGGAGATTACCTCAAGATGCTGATCAGATAACAACATCCTTATCAGAGAGTGAGTTGAGAAACATCAAACTTCACTTGTCTGTTATTCATTCTAGCAGTGCCTTGTAACACATGAAGCACAACAATTTTCTGGGAGAAATTACTACAATGTATTACATTTTTAAATGTTGTTTTGATATGCCTACCAAAGTACATAACTTTAACCCTAAAAGGGGCGGGGAGGGGGGGTGGGCGTAATCCGCCCCCCCCCTCAACATTTTTTGCGATAGCCTCTAAAAAAATTTTTTTCACGACCCGAGCTGTTATGACTTTTTAGCCTCAAGCTTTGCGCATCTTTTGATACCAAAAACATAAAAATGGGACCACGGGTTGCTGCGTAGCGAAAATTTTTCCGGCGCTATGCGCCGTGAAAACTGAACTTTCACATATACGTTGTGTACACAGAGCAGAATTGCCATTCGTACATATGAATAATTAATTAGCCATAATTCCAAAACCCTTTGACCTATAGTCATGAAATTTCTTGGGTATGTTTAGGAAGAGTTGCTCTATGCATGTACTGAGTTTCTTTCGTCACTCTATGGCCGAGTTATTGGATTTTGATGGGCAAGTCCGTCCTGGCTAGCTTGGTGGCTGAGTAGTAAGGCTTCCATATTAGTAAGCAGGAGGTTGTTAGCTCGAGTCAAAACTGATCTTCTAACAAGTTTTTGAAAAGCACTTTGCAGTCATGCCAGTTAACTGCAAAGCCAAATACAAGAAAGCAGTCAGAGAGCGCAAACCTCTGCCAAGGCTAAACAATTCCCTGCCATATTGTCAGTATACCTGAAAGAAATACTCGCATAAATGGTGACGAATCCTTAAAAGAAATCCTGGATCCAGACCCAGATCCGGATCACTTCCAAAACTAATCGATTTGTACTTGTACCAAGGACCACCCCTAAAAAATGTTTTCATGTAAATCCGTCCATAACTTTTTGAGTTATCTTAACAGACAAACCAACCAACAAACTAACCAAATCGGACGAAAACATAACCTCCTTAGCGGAGGTAATAAACTGTAGGTACTCCAGCAAAATAGCATGGGTTGTAGTAGTTTTCGAACATACAGTGATTGCAATCATCCTCGATCCACAGTTGGCGAGTTCCAAATCTGTGCCAGGGTCTACAATAACTTCACTTCCGAGGAAGCCTGCACCGACATTGCCTCCCAGTATCCTGTTACGTCCATAGTACTGGCATCAAATGCTCCCATTAACTTCGCAGTGGAGGACAGGGTTGACTTCTCTGTGGAGTTTTTGGATAGACCCATTCCTACTAGTATGAGGTACTCAATGGAGTTTGGAGATGGTACAATTGGTGAGCATTCTGAAACAGATCTGGACTTGATGCTTAAAGTAGTGCAAGTTAATATCATTTTATGAGAAAGATTTTTTTAAGAAGCATATTCAGGAAGTCTTATGAAGCTTATTCTATGGAATTAATGGGATATTTTGCAGAGAGAGAAAAAAATACAGGATGAATTTGTTCATTGCCAATTGTGCAAAAAGGCCAGCAGTCTAGTGAACAATACGGGGGATGACCTAGCTTTCAGGAAACTGGGGGTTGATATGAAAGGGGGGGGGGGAGGGTTTTGAGTGAAGGTGTTCGAAATGCATGCTCTGCTAGGGGGTCTGGGGGCATGCCCCCTCCCCATGCCCTTTTTCAGAGAATGTTGAAATCTACGATGCTTTCTCCTGCATTCTAAGACACTTGGAGAATAATTTGAGGGACTTTAGCAGTCCAATTATTTTTTGTGGCCCAAGTTTACTAGTTTCATTACATTATTCAACGGGGTTGCAACCCCCGTACCCCCCCTCCCAGATCCGCTACTGCACTGACATGTACTTGCCTTTACGCAAACGTGTGATTTGTCCTTTTATTCAAGTAACTTTATTCCATATTAAACAGGTTTCTTCAGCTTAAATGGTGTATTCTGAACTTACTTGGGTTTCATACTGTTACCATGAATCTTTGTTCGTCTATATTTCTCTGTTTATGTTCATCTGTTCAGATAATTCCTCAGTGGTCGGGATCACACCCGTGAGTCCAGTCCTCACCACCCCCCACACCTACACCACAGCAGGCATCTACCATGCTAAACTGCATGTCTACAATGACCTTAGCTCTATCTTGGATGACATCAGTGTGGCAGTACTGCAGCCAATCACACACCTGAAAATACGTCTCTCCCATCACAGTAAGTTGGTCAATGGAGACATCCTCACTTGCTATGTCCATTTTTTTTCACAGTGTCTATTTATCTATGTCTACTGAAGAATTTCTAAATCGAACCTGTATAAAGTTAAAACCAATTTCAATCTTAGGGCTTACATATGTTTTACCCCTCCTGCTGTTTGAACAGTCACAGACAGTCAAAAAAATCAATCCTCTTCCCCTGCCGTGCCTTTTACACAGGCTAGTCACCAACAGTCAGATCATATTTCCTATATAAGCACTGTGACTAGTCAAATTCAGTCAACAGACAAAAGCAGACAAGAAGTAGGCACCTCAAGCTAAGCAGGCACCAGCATCCTTTGGAAGGGGTTAGAGTAAGGCAAATGGTTGTAAAGCGTATTTATTTGATACAGATTCATCTTTACAACATTACATCTTATGGTGTGATATACCAATGGAGTCACATATCGAAGGCACAATGAAACTAAAAGCAGTTTATGTATTCGAAACAAACCCCATATGTACATTGCCAGCTTGTTGAGTAATTACCCTATGTGTCCAAATGATGTATCATTGGAATGGGTTAGGTATGGTTTGAGTATGAGTGAATGGAAAGAGACTGGTGAGTAATTTGAAACATTTGTATCAAAATGGCTAGTTAGTCTGTTGGTTTGTTCATTAAAAGTTAGTATTGCCTTCAATGTCTTACTATTGGACCATTATGACAGTGTTTGTTTTGTGTGAATCTCCAATGGTTGATGACAGACTTCTGTTGTCTTCCCTGATATAGGTGGAATCTACTTTCCAAGTAGCGAGACGGATTGGTTTTGGCAGGAACCACCGTTCATCCATCCCCTGGTGACAGAAAATGAATATTCATTTCAGCTACAAGGAACTGGCACTGTACAGTACGTCACCTGGACAAACGCTGGGGCAAGCTACGAGAACCACATCAACACTACTAGTAGATCCCTGTTCTACAAGTTTCCCTCCAACGGCACTTTCACGGTACAAGCGACTGCAGGAAACGTCTACTCTACCTTTACAACAGTCGAGGCATCGGTGATGGTACTTGATGCCATTGTGAGTCTTTACCTGATCAGCAACAGTCCCAAAACTGAAGGTGAACCAGTCACATTTCTAGTGCTTGCGGAAAAACTTGGCTCCAACTCGTCGTTCAGCATCAGCTTCGGGGACGGGTATTCGGAGCCGGTGACTGAACCCCAGCGTGACACCGACATGATGCGATTTGTGCCAAAGAATCTCGCCCTGCCGACGGACCCGGCAAAGTCCTACGTCACAGTTATGAACCACACTTACGAAGACGTCGGAGTCTACGCCCCAAGGGTTACCGGCTTAAACGCTGCGATGGAATGGATCGCTATCACCTATGTGTTTGTACAGGATGCTGCCCATATTTGCAGGATACCAGTCATTCACGTTAAAGATGGTGGTAGTAGCTACTACCTGGCAAAGAAATACAGCCGAAGTAAAGCATTCATCTTCGGTGCAGACGTTGAGATAAACTGCCAGCAGGCTAAGAGGGCTCACTACCAGTGGAAGGTATGCACAGTCGACAGTTTATTCACGGTCCCCAGCCCATCCAATGAGGTTAGCCTTCCGCCAAGCGTCAACACACAGGCTGCCGATATGTACATTCCGGGGTTCATCCTGGGCTACGGCATGTACATCTTTCAACTCACCGTTACCTTGGTGATGAAGGATGCGGATGCAGCCAGTGTGGAGAACGTTGCCCATAGTTACATCGAGGTTACCCCGGCTGACCTTGTGGCTAGGATCGGAGGAGGTTCAGCACTGGCAGTTGGTGAGTTGATGTCAACAGTTTTTTTTCCTGGTTATTAATGAAAATCCAAGCTCCAACTTATTATACCCAGATGAAGGTAAACCTATGTACTACATTATACATTTTTGTAAATAGAATGGAATAAAGTTTCCTACCGGTACCTTCTTTGGACCCCAAATCTATTTTTAATAAGCTATTTGAGCACACGATCCCAAAAATACGTTTTCCTAATGCATGACCAGACTTTGTCACATACTCAGCAACCAATGGTAAGCTGGAAAGTTAAACTGGAAAGCTTGTCAGCTTACATAAAAAAAAAGACAACCAAAATTAGACAGGTTGGACTACAAGACTAAATTGGGAACAGCCTTAAATATTGGACAATTAATTAAATAATAATAATAATAATAATAACGGCAATTTATAATGCGCCGGTATCCGCCGTTAATGATGCTCATGGCGCAATACAGTAAGAACAAATCAGAAAATCAAAAACAATGAAATACATGTATAGCTAAACAAAAATATTGAGAGTATTCTGGAACAAGTAAGTCTTCAGGGTAACTTTAAATTGAGAAACCGCTGACAGATTACGAATACCGAGAGGCAGTTTGCTCCATAGATACACTGTGTGTAAAAAGGATCGATCGCCCCAAGAGTTGTGAGTGTGAGGGACAACAAGCAAAGCAGCGTCAGCAGATCTCGAAGTCAGCTGGATATCCAAGCTGAATGGCAAATTCTTCACAGCTAACTTGGAACCTGAACAGCTAAAAACAGAGGCTTGGGCACAGGCATGCTTGGTGATGATGAGCTTCAGATCCGCAAAATTACCTTCTTTTCTATTGATGTTCAAGCAGTCTAGTACCGGCTATAATAAGCACTTTCACGGTAATATGCGCCATCTTGCTTACGGGGAAAATTTACACACGTTGCCGTGTACGCATCGTCAATCGCAAACTTTTGCACTTCCAAGTTATCATGCGTTCATTCTAATATGCGCCCGTGTCTAGCAACGCGTGTTCTTTTTGCCCGGTGATCAAGATGACGCATATCACCGTGAAAGTGCTTATTGCCAGGCAGGCATTCCAACATGCAGTTTGATAATAAATTGATGTTGTTTTCCACCAGGCTGGTATTCCAATATCACACTGGATGCCTCAGACTCCTATGATCCAGACCAGGCACCAGGCACTGCGATGCAGGGCTTCAGTCACGCATGGTACTGTCGCCAATCCAACGAGTCCTTCCCTGAGAACATGACACTAATTTCTCATCAATACCTACCATCAACAGGTTAGCATCTTAGAATCTAGTCATAAGATTTGTTTTCTATCCGGAAGTGCAGCTGGTGATATTGGTGTAATACTTTAATGCTGTGATGCTGGGGTGTTATATTTAGAATTTGATGCAAAGTTGTGTATTTACAACAATTTTAAAACGTGACCGGTATTTTTAAAGGGAATGTACATCATTGGTTTTTGCTGTAATTCTCAGAAATGAACTATTTGAGGGGTTACTATGATAGATCAAATATTGTTCCACTGATATGTTTGAAGTTTTGTGTTCGAAAATGCTGGAAAACCAAGAAAAACGCAAATGGTGGAGTAGTCTGGTTCCCTGACTCCACTAAAGATAAAATGGATCAATTTATACATGCCGGAAATTCGTAAGGTATGGGAACCAGTCTAGCTGGCCTGCACCCGTTCATGAACATGTAACCAATAGCAAACAAAATTTGGACTGAAAAAAATGGTGAAGTTAGAGCAGTAGTTGAAAAATAGTTAGGTTTTTCCAACGGTGGTCGGCCGACCACTGTTGGAAATGTATACAAAAATTCAATTTTCTTGAAAATTCAATTTTCTTGAAACACCAGGTGCCATAATTTTACAGGATGCTTTAGACTGTCATTTACCAACTTCCTAGTAAGGTATTTCATAAAATCTTGGTAATTTTATTTTTCGATGTTTGCAAATGTTGTATATTCCCTTTAAGTATGTGATGACAACTTAACAATTATGAGATATGCCCAACATGTGACTTAAGATCCTTTAGATGAAGTTGCACATCATTATAAAGAGGAGGTAGTTGAAGTGAAGTCCTATTCCAGGGTTTGACTTGAGCGGTAGCCAGCTAGCCAAATACTTGTCATAACAGTGGTGGGCTAGTCAAACTATTCCCTAAGTAGCCCGGCTGCCGAGTCAAAAATGATTGGGCTACGGCAAAGATGAAAGGACAGGAAGAAACAATTAATTAAATTCAAAAAGCAAACCTGTATCAATTTGTGTCTAATTTTATTAACTGTTTAGGCTTAAATTATTAGATCTGTTTATTAAAACCACTGACAAGATTGCCTCAGGATACACATTTTAGATTTATGCACCTTGTTGTTTATAAGACACCTTTTAAAAGGAAAACATGCGGGCTAGTGAAAATGCCTGTGGGCTAGTTAAGAGTCTGTTTCAGTAGCCCGGCTGGCTAGTGAAAAAAAACAAGTTGAGGTCGAACCCTGTATTTCAGATTTTTTGTTTTTTACAGAATAATGTGCATCATATCGCTGAAGTACTGCCGTTTATGTTGCCAAACTTCTTGTGTAGATTTTTCTCATAGCAAGTTGACACAAAGGACATTTAGATTGAAAACATCTGAATGTTCTTTAACTTACTAAAGCTTACTTTAACAAAAATATTGCTCATCACTATTTCAATTATGCTAAAACCATGATTTCAGGTGGCTGTTTTGGGAGAGGATTCCTTCTGTCAGAGACCAGTAATCACTCGGTGATCATTCCAGCACAGACACTGGAAGGCAGCCAAAATTATGTCATCCTTCTGAAATTGTCAAAGACTGGTCGCAGGAATGCATACGCTGAGCAGACAATTACCATCCTCCCTGGACATCCAAATACCATTTATATCAGGTAAATTGAAATGCACATTCATGAATTCGGAATGCGGAATTCCGGATTTTAAAAAAAATCTCACAAAATTCCATTTTTTCCGGCCGTCAAATTAACCAGAAAAAGAGAAGAAAAACTGTGGAAATGCGTTGATTTTTACCTCGATTTAGTACATTAGGCGTGCGCATGGCACAACGTTGTTCGTTAAAGTAGTCTTAAAAACAGTCTTTGTGTATGTTGTTGCCGAGCCTGCATGCGATACAAGATGCCAACGTACTTGCACGCAGTATACAACGGCGCCTCGCGCGTGCTTCACTGCGTGCGGGCGTGTTGTGTGCTATAAGCACACGTAGCATTCATCAGCCTGGAAATCAAGTCTATCATTTCAGCTATCGGTGGTTTCCGATCGCAGTGATATATGTGAATACAAAAAATGCGGGTACCAACCATGTTTTCGTTGAGCGCATCGCGTAGTGCCAGGATCATGTACACCGACAGCAGTGTTGTGGAATCGTGCATGTTTCGTGTCGAATATTACGTTGGAAATTCGGGTAGGCAGAATAAATATTAGGAATATGGAAAAAGTCAAAGTGATTGAACGAACCGACAGCTTTAAAGGCCATAGAAGCAAAATTAAAAAATAAACAGAACTTGGCTTGGCTACAAGATAAAAGACACAAAGTGGCTTTTTCACACACAAAAAAAGTTCCGTTTTTTCCAAGCAGCCGTTCCGTTTTTTTTCAAGCAGACCCTGTGGCATCTCTGATTTTTGGAAAGTGCATGCTCACAATATCCTCCCTAGCGTCCGCACCAAGGGGCGTGAAATTGGCGAGAAAGTTTTTATCACGCTGAGAGTTCATTGAGATGCTTTAACCAGGCCCACTACTCCAGATGCATTAAGGTTTAACTATTCAGTTTGACGTTTAGAGCAACTGACATGTTATAGACGAGCTATTACCGCACTTAGTTCAATTAAGTTTGGCGTGGCAGTAGCACGGCGTCCTAAGAACGGGCCCTAAGGATTAGACCACCGGGAGGAACTTTTGAATGCACGGCCGACAGTGCCAGATGCTTATGCCTGATGCTTTGTGCAGATTCAGAATAAAATTAGTTGTGCGTATGTACTGTGCGCCAAACACACGCAAACCAGTAGTGCAGCAATATGTCCCTCTCACTGGTATGGGGCTGTCAAAAGTGGTCACAATAATGCCATCTGCTGTTCTTTCACGGAATCCATAGTGCAAAATAGATCCAACCGTTCTTACTCAGTGAGGATCCTGTAGTGAGTGGCCCTTGTCATTGCTGGTGCATAATATTATTGCCGTGCTAACACCCCAATGTAATGACGTAAATGGCCAACAGACAGTGGGCAGACCAGCCCCATAGAATCCTTGTTGAACACATTTACTTGTATAAATCAATATAAGGTTTTGCCCTTCACCGATGTATAAACACTGTATACTCAGAGTGTTACTTCCTTAGTAAAAGTTGGAAAAAATCACTCGGGTGGGACTCGAACCCATGACCTCCTGCTTTCTAGTGCAGACGTCTTACCACTCGACCACCGAGCTTGCGGAATCCGTTGGCTGGTTCGAATCTGATGTACATGTAGCAGCCGGTGCCGCAATTAAACTATTTATGAGATGAATTTGCGTCGGGGTGATGTAAATCAAGATTAGGTTTTGCCCTTCACCGACGTATAGACACTGTATACTCAGTGTGTTACCTCCAGAGTGAAAGTTGGAAAAAATCATTCGGGTGGGACTCGAACCCACGACCTCCTTTCAAGTGCACATTTACTTGTATTGTAATTTATCCCAAAGGGAGTTTGTGCACAACGGTAACTGTGGTTCACATGTGCAAGTTTACTCCATATCTACCCATTGAATCAGAGACAAAATTATAAGTCAGCGCTGTATTAAAATTAACCTCAGTGTAAACTCAACTCTGTTTTCACCATAGAGCTATATTAAATTACTAGAGCGCGAACTTCGTGTACAAAGTAATGCCTGCTGGGTGCATCCATGTTTGTGCACAAACCTATGGAGACCTAGAAATTTTGTACGGCTTTTGTACGGCTATTTGCATATCTGCGTTTGTATTCCATACCGGTGCGTTATCGAAGCCTATACGCCCAAAACCGAAACGCACGATCAGCAAATGAGCGTGTTATTTTGCTCTACACAAACAGCGCAACGCGTGCGCGTATTCGATGCAGATGCTTTTTTGATCCGTCAATGAAACGCTTAAGTTGTTTGCGTATGTCCTACTTGCGCGTTGCATGTAGAATACACTTTCAAAATTCAATCCATCTAATTTCATTATGTTCTACAAACACGCACATGAATTCAAAATGTCTGCGCCCAGGACGGCTTCAAAGCGTCTCCGCACGCAGAATGACAAGTTAGCGCTCTAGTAATTTAATATAGCTCTATGGTTTTCACTCACCCACTATGCCTTCATGATGAGCAGGTGCCTGATGAACTGTGGATCCCAGCTCAACCCATCGGCCCGACTGGTCCTGGCTGGACTGTGCCCTGACTGCACGGCTTCCGCACAACCTTACTTTGAATGGACGCTGAGATCAAGTAACCAGACTACAGCGGTGCAGACCTTAGACTGGGCCAGGGACACCACAACTGGACAGCACGGCTCTTACCTTGCCATCAATGCTGGGGTTTTTGCTGGATCTAGCAATGAGATGTACACCATACACCTACAAAGTGAGATAACTTGGACTCTGAAATGGTGAACCCGTGGTATAACTGAAGGGTGGCATGGGGGTGGCCTTGTGATGCCACTCAGAAATTGGGGAAGGCGTCAATGAGTTTTTAATGGTTAAAAACGCAGTGTCTCCCCCTTCAGAAAATGAGTTTTCCCCTCCAGAAAATAAGTTCCCCCTATAAAGTGCCCCCCCCCCTGCAAAATGGACCCCTTTTACACTACCTGGTGAAAAGTGGTGTATGGTTGCTTTTAAGGGAAGTCTCAAGAAGTAATGAGAAAATACCAGGATCAATCCTAACTATGCTGCGATCAACCACAGTAGCATCAAAGTGATCCGACAAAAAAAAATCTTGATTTTACCTTAATTTTTAAGTTGAACAAAGAAATTGACTGGAGCGGGGTTTGAACCTGCGACCTCTGGATTGCTGTTCTGGTGCTCTACCAACTGAGCTTTCCAGCCCTTTGTTGGTGGTTCCTCATTTAATCAATGTCTTTGTTCAAGGGTTGCTAGTTTAAAGCCACAAACCTGTATATGCCATGTAGCCGGGGATCAAGCCCGAAGTCTCGATGCTAGCAACAAATGCTGCAAACCTGGGAAATAGCAAACGGGGATCACTTTTTCTTTAAGATAATTATATTTTGCATTGATGTATTGACTGGAATGAACGCTGAAATCCTAACATGTGACTTAAAGGGAATATACATCATTTGCTTTTGCTGTAATTTTCAGAAATGGATGGAATTGGGGTGTTTGAAATATATAGCAGATATAGTTACGCCGACTTTTTTGAGGTTCTGGGTTCAAAAATGCTATAAAAACCAAGAAAAACAATCATTTTCCTGTAGTCTGGTTCCCTGACTCCATTTAAGAAGAAACAAGGCAGTTTACATACATTGGGGAATTGTAAGGTCAGGGAACCAGTCTAGCTGGCTTGTACCCGTTCATAGGTGTGTAATCGATTGCAAACAAGTGCGATGGTCAACTGGGGCCAGTATTTGAAAAAAAAAGCCAGTTTTTTTCCAACGCTGATCGGCCGATCAGCGTTGGAAATTGATACAAAAATACCACTTTTCTTGAAAACGACAGTATAGCAGGTGCCATGATTTTACAGGATGCTTTACACTGTCATTCACTAACAGTCCAGCAAGGTATTTTAAAATGATTTGGTAGTTTTATTTTTTGATGTTTGCAAATGTTGTATTTTCCCTTTACATTTACTTACATTTACTTAACATTTACTTACATTTCTTATTATACAGTGCAGAGCAGGAGTGGGTCTATCAGCTTTGCAGAGTACACGTTCACAACAAACACCCCACCGACGGTGGGCAACTGCTCCATCACGCCAACAGAGGGGGTTGTCCTGACAACACGCTTCTCCATCATCTGTGAGCACTTCGAGGACATCCACACCCCGTTGACGTACGAGGCGCACACTGTAACGGGAGCGGAGAGGTCTGTTGGGGTCAGCTCGCTTGATGCGTCGGTGGAAGGTTGGTTTCTGCAAAAATGGAAGTGACAGTTATGATTATTTAGATTCAGATTTACTTGGTGCTTCTCCAAACTGTCAACTATTTCAACCGTCTTAAAGCCAGAGTCCATCACTTGCAGCTATCCAAAAAAGTAACTGGCATAATTATTGTTGAAAAACATACTGGTTGAAAGATAGTAAGGGAACTAAACTCCCTGTGAAATTATTCTTTCTGGCAAGCTCTCATTTTGAAGAAATCAACGAAAGAAGGCCTTTCCAACGGTGCGTCTTAAGAATTAGTAGTTCGTTTTGATATTTGGTGCAGCACGTGCAAGCATTGGCAGGACGCACAGGCGCGCACGGTTGCTATAATTCGTCGGATCAGTGCGCGATATCACGTAAAGCTAAAATTCAAAACAATTCAAAACATGATTTAGCAACTTTTGATTTGAAATTGAGATCCTAGAATGCTGTTTTTCTCAAAATATACAGCTGAAGCTGAGCTGAAACTTCATCAGGTTAGTTGTTCAGTATCCTTCATTAAATTTTGAAAACTTTTGTTGGTTCAAATGAACAAAATGCACCAATTACAAATGATGGACTATGTCTTTAAGCCGTTTTGATTTTTGGAGCCTTACAGTGCAGTGTTATCCTATTAAAACTGGAAGCCGAATTTGCTATCTTCTCATTGCTCCATTTCCCTTCATTCAGGTACTCTACTGTTCTATGGAGTAGACCCTAACATTCCATCAACCTTCCTCCCTCTCGGCCGACCCAGCCAAGACTACAAGGTGGACATCAAGATTAAAGTGACGGATTCCCTAGGTGCAAGTGTCTACACTTGGTTATCTGCAAAAGTGAGTACACTTCACCCTTGACATAGGGGAACATCTCAAAAGTCGGAACGTTCCCGGAACGTTCCTTTATTAAAGGAACACTGTGTTCCCATCGGGAAGGCACTGTGTTCTCAGTGTGTTCCCAACTGGAACATGCCATTCCCGGATAAGCATGCACGCGCATAGACCAAGGTTCCTAAACGGGAACAGCTGGCATTCCCGGGCTGTTCCCCAGTGGGATCAACACATGTTCCCAGTCGGAACAGGCGATGTTCCCCGTTGGAATGTTCCTTTAATGGGAAAATACAACATTTGCAAACATCAAAAAATAAAACTACCAAATTATTTTGAAATACCTTGCTGGACTGTTAGTGAATGAGAGTGTAAAGCATCCTGTAAAATCATGGCACCTGGTATACTGTCATTTTCAAGAAAAGTGGTATTTTTGTTTCAATTTCCAACGCTGATCGGCCGATCAGCGTTGGAAACAACTGGCTTTTTTTCAAATACTTGCCCCAATTGACCATCGCATTTGTTTGCAATCGATTACACACCTATAAACGGGTACAAGCTAGCTAGACTGGTTCACTGACCTTACAATTCCCCAATTTATATAAACTGCTCTGTTTCTTCTTAAACGGAGTCAGGGAACCAGACTACAGGAAAATTATTGTTTTTCTTGGTTTTTATAGCATTTTCGAACCCAAAACTTCAAAAAAGTCAGTGTGACAATATTTGCTTTATATTACCAACCCCCCAATTCCATCCATTTCTGAAAATTACAGCAAAAGCAAATGATGTATATTCCCTTTAATTAGGATTTAACTTGGTACTACAGATGCTTGTAAGGTATCCAGAAATTGAGGAGTGGTGCAGTTCAGTTGGTCATATTTTCCATTACCCGAGGCCATATCATGCATGCAAACCAGTGCACACACACAATGCATCCATCTTGACTCGTGACTTGGACTTGATTCTGACTCGAGTCCCAAAAATACGTATTTAATTGAAACCAAAGGATTTTATATTAGACCGTACTGTGTGTCGTCTTTTGAAGTTGCGCAACCTTTGCAAAAACACTACACCGTTCTCTTCATGCATCCTTGTAGGATTGTTTTCTTTACTCTACCCGTCCACCGATGAGATTTTGTGTCAGTTTTTTCTTAGATTTTTTTTAGTGACTTGATCATGACTTGGACTTGGACTCAACTTTTTTTTTATTATTCTGGTTTATTCAAATAAAAACACGAGGTAGGCAGCCATAAAAGAGTCGCTGATATAACCACGTTTACACTTTACAGGAATTAAAAAATGGTTAAATAGCAGTTAAAAGGAGTAGAAGCATACAATTACAACAAACAAACTTTCACGAACAAACTTTCATTCGTGAAACAAACTTTCACGAATCGTGACTTGGACTGGGACTCCAGCTAAATGACTCAGGACTAGGACTCGACAATGCAGGACTCGGACTCGACTCTGAGCACACGGACTGGAGGTTCCAGGACTTCAGAGTCTATGGAGTCCACATGAGAACATAAAGTAATCTCTCTGCTTCGACAGGTACAGGAGGCTGAAAGCAGCGACGTAGAGGCACTAGCCCTGCAACTGACCTCGGACGAGGACTCCCAACTGAACCAGCTGTTGGGAGAAGGCAACATCCAGACAGCTACACAGGTCATCACTAGTGTCAGCTCCATGTTGAATCAGGAGTCCGAGAGGGACAGTCAGCATGAGGACGAGGGGGAAGATGAACAGACTGACGGGGAGCAACACCAAGTAGAACTAGAACAGAAGAAACAGAAAAGAGTGCAGGTGAATCATCCATCAAATTCAAAATAAAGATACAGTTGAACATTGCTATACCGAACATAGTCCTTGGCTACCTATTTTTTTGTATAAAACGTACCGAACATTGTAGGTGAAAAATGTCAACAGAAGAGCGACAAGTGGCTATTATTTCCCCATGGAATAGAAGGGAAATGCCACCCATTGCTGTAGGTACTAAGCTAAAAAAAACTGTGTAATTACATAATTCAATAGTCGGCACGTGTTCAAAGTCGTCTTTCAGTAACTACAAGGTCGTGCATGGTGAAGTTCTGAAGGGCGCTATATTTATTGAAAAGTGAGCACTGGCAGCTTAAAGCTATAGTCCATCATTTGTAATTAGTGCCTTTTGTTCGTTTGAAGCAACAAAAGTGTTCAAAATCCAATGAAGGATACTGAGCAACTAACCTGATGAAGTTTCAGCTAAGCTTCAGCCGTACATTCCGAGAAAAACAGCATTCTAAGATCTCAATTTCAAATCAAAAGTTACTGAATCATGTTTTGAATTGTTTTGAATTGCAGCTATACGCGACGTCACGCACTGATCCGACGAATTACAACAACCGCGCGCGCGTGTGCGTCGTTCCAATACTTGTGCGCGCTGCGCTGAATAACAAAACGAACTACTAATTTAAATTTTCCTACGGTGCTTTTTAAGAATCACCGTTGGAAATGCCTTCTTTCGTTGATTACTTCAAAATGACAGCTTCCCAGAAAGAATAATTTCACAGGGAGTTTAGTTCCCTTACTATCTTTCAACCAAGTATGTTTTTCAACAATAATTACGCCAGTTACTTTTCGGATGGCTGCAAATGATGGACTATAGCTTTAAAATCGCTATACTGAATGATCGCTGTTACAAACAATTTCTGTGGATCCCGCGATGTTCGTTATAGCGGCGTTTCACTGTGCATGTAAATCCAGGGATGTAGTTGATGAGTCCATTACAAGTCCACCACAAGTCCAGTCACAAGTAAATCACAACTCCGGTCACCAGTCACAAGCAACACTGGGTAAACAATATGAAAGGAATGCCTTTGTCTCAGTTTCATTTGATGAGCTTGAGATTTGCATTGGGACTGGAGGACTAGTGATGGACTTGGAGGGACTTACAGGGACTTGTGATGGACTCAACTACATCGGAGTATCAAAATAATGTATCTAAGACCTGGGTAATATTGTGAGTAGGCACACTTAGCACACAGTGCAATAACTGAGATCCTGCTAGAAGCCAATATTAAAACACTGTCACTATATGTTTTTGCTTACCCCAACGCTCTGTACATCACTTTTCAATTTGGGTTTTTCTTCCAGGCTAGGGAGTCACTTCTTGACATGCTGAGTAATGTGGAAGTGAATAGCTTGGAATCCATACAACTCACCTCATCTGCCATCTCTCGGGTTACCAGTGAAGTGGAGGAGATATCTCCTCATGCGCAGGTACCATATTCTTCTCATTGAAATGTGCTGACTGGTCAGTGCAGCTTGATAAATATTGACATAGACATGTCTGTTCAGTAACCTTTTGATTGTTGCTTGAAATTAAGGGCTGTTGGAGGATTGCAGCTGTAGTTACATTGAGGACCCGCTTACTCTCTACTTAAATACATGTAGATCCTTCTTAGTAACCCAACATTTTTGTTTCCAAAAGGTTTCATGTCGTCTTTCGTTCTATTACCTTCATATTTGTGAATGCATTTAATCTATATAGCAATTGACCTATTTGCCGTTTGCGAGTTAGCCACACCCCTTAGACAACCCTGTGGAAGTTTGTACATTAAGTTTTGTTTGTCTAAAATTTTGTGCATTCCGTGTCCATAAATTGGACAATATTTCACAAGCTGCGTTGACGTGATTCTACCGCGATAGGTTAATTAGGCAGTTTATGGTGTGTGACAACTTCGTCACAGGAACAAACACCCGTCAGTTCTCAACAATTTCCCAACACGTTACAAAAGCGTATTTTTAACACACACGGCTGGATGGCATCTTGTCTTACAGGTGTCTACTGCTTCTGCCTTCTTGAGCATGGGTTCCCGGCTGAAGGAGCAGGCTGATACGGGAGTGGGCGGAGAGGCAGTTGAAGGGGCAGCGATGTAAGCTACCCCTGTACATGTAGCTGTGTCCTTGCAAATCTGTATGCATGCAGAGCGTTCATCAATAATAATAATAATAATATTTATTTGTGCACAAGTCTGGGCATGTCTCCCAAATGTCCAAACATTTGGGAGACATCCCCATTGACTTGTGCACAAAACTTTTCAAACTTAAATGTGCCCCAACCCAATATTCCCTTGTCCTTTTCCCATGAATTTCGGTATGTTTACTTACTAGACCACGAGCAACAAATATAATCTAATTGCGGCAGTAAAATTTTGCCCGGGGCTGTGACCTAAGGGAGACATGAAAATGTCTCCCTAATGACCGGTGTCTCATCTTGCGAATAAATTACGATAACGTGTCTCCTTAACGGTACCATTACACGTATAATTTGGGAGGCTAATCATCCTTACTCGCAGCTGAGAAGCTGAATTGCGAAGGGCACGGCTACAACGTAGTCGAGCCGCTGGCAAGTAAAGACGCCTATGGCAGCCAGCCACATCAACAAATATATGACCACGGAGCACAGCCTGAGATTGAAAGTGTTTGATCAATCTGTAATTTCAGGGGAAAAATTGAGATAGTGTCCAAAAATGTAGATACATGTATCTTGCAAAAGTTATAAAGACTGGTGAAAATAATGCAGCCTTCTTGATGAGTTCTCTAACATGTAGATTTGAACATAAGAGCCAAATTTGATTGTGTATTGTGGTCATCTAGCAGTGAAAAGTGGATTTAGTCTGTGCTTAAGAGTGGTACAATTGTGCTATACTGCATACTGCTCACCCAGAGACTTAACAGTTATGCAGGTGAGTAAACAGCATGATCCTGGTAACATGAATCTATCTATCAACTCTCGCTGTATGACATACTTTTTAAAATGCTCTATCTGTGAGTGTCCCTTTTTGTCTCATCAGGTTCATGGTATCGGGATTGTCCAACATCATGACTTCTGCCAACTTCAGACAAACTGAAAATGGCTCAGACGTTCAGCTGCTATTAGATAACGAGAAGGCTGAACAGGTAAAGCTTCACCACCTACAGCAGTATCATTTATTATTTCTGAAAACCTATAATGAATTGACCTTATATTTTTATATCAAAGAAGTTACAGACTAATTTTTATTTGTTAGAAAGTGATTTCACTTGACCTGAGTTGTGACTTAAGCTTGAGCTGGCATAAGTGACTTAACTGGTGGCTTGAGCTGAAGTTGACTACAAATCTGCTGAACCACCAGGATCCAATTCCCAAAGCACACAGATTAGCCTCGCCCAAAATATGAACCTTACCAACACAGGTTATCAGCCACATTGCTTGTGAAAGGCTCACAGCTAGCTTTCACCAACAGCCTCAAAAACCTCTGAGCCAATCTGCCTGCATATGGGCGCCATGCGAGAAAAAGCGAGGGTGTTTTTTTTTTACCACTTTCGAGAGCCCAGTGGACGGAACACACTGCATGCGCGTACCAGTTTGCACGCACGTAACATGAAGCGCACACAACTTATTTTACAATGTGCACATTGCCAGAGTGTCTTCGCATGAGCGTCAGGCGTCGTTGACAGTGTGTTGATGCCCCTCCCTGTGGTCATCCCCAAACTCTCCCTTTCTTACAGTTGAGTGGGTACTTGCGCATTGAGCCCATAGACTCAGTTTACAAGTACATGTTGAACAGTTAAAATGAAGAACATTGACAACCATTGCCACTGTGTGCCCAGGGTCAGGAACGTATCTCTCATATGAAGATGCCTTAGGTTTATATTAGTGCAAATTCAGAAGGCACATTTCCCTCACTGGCTGTCACCAGTCTGCCACACAGCACTCTGTACTTTTCCATCCATACACTGCCAAGTATTCTCTTTCTCACTCTTCCTTAGACTCGTAATGTTACCCTGGTCTCCCTGCACGCGCTGGATGACGTCCAGACAGCCATCCTTCTCAACAAGGTGCCCGGGGAGCAGCCCACCGTCCTACAGACCGACTCGCTGTCAGTCATCCTGCAGAGGCAGGAGAAGAGGAATCTTGACGGACTGGTGCTGCAGACGGAGAACTCAGACGTGGTCTTCAGATTGCCAGCTGGGTTAAGCACAGCTATCGACCAGCACCGAGCATCCTCATATGATGAAGTCATTGATACACAGGTGTGATGTGTAAACTTTGAATGAAATATCATGAAACGCATTTTAAACATCTTACTTACAGGAAGCATGTACCTTTTTTCCAGTACAAAACATGTTAAAGGGAAGATACAACATTAGCAAACATCAAAAAAACGAAATGATCAAATTATCACGTAATACCTTACTGAATTGCTAGGGATTGACAGTCTAAAGTATCCTGTTAAATCATGGCTCCTGGTGTGCTGACATTTTCAAGAAAAACTGTATTTTTCCAACGCTGGTCGGCCGACTAGCGTTGGAAAAAAACTGGCTTTTTTCTAAAAATTTCATATTTAGTTATTCCGCATTTTCTTTGCAATAGATTACACACATGTGAAGGGGTACAAACCTGCTTGAGTGATTCTTTGACCTAACAATTCCCCAAAGTCTTTACGTTTCTCCGTGTCATCTAAAGTGGGGTCAGGGAACCAGCCTACAAGAAAATGACTGGTTTTCTTGGGTTTTTTTCCAGCATAAACAAGCCCAAAATGTGAAACAAGTCAGTTTAACAATATTTGCTATAACATGCTAATCCTCCATTCCCTTTAATAATAATATCGTGCTTATATAGCGCTTTATACCAAAGGTCTCAAAGGACTTCACAATTATCACCCCGTTCATCAGGCCATGAGACCAGTTTATGCAGCAGCTCGAGATCAGTGCATCCTGGTCTCTACCTTCACAGGTACCCATTTATACTACTGGGTGGAGTGAGGCAAGTGTCTGATCCAAGAACACAACCACCAGGGTTCCCCGTCAGGGTTCGAACCCACGTACTGTGGTACGCAAGTTGAACACTGTTACCAATGGACCACAGTGCTCCACATCATATGTTGATTGCTGATTGTGATGATCGATTTTAACCAAAGACGGTTCAACAAAATGACAAAGAACATCCCTCGAGTAATAGCTACCTTTGTTTATACGGCCTGCACCCGATTTCACGAAGCGCTGCGACGCGTCGCAACTCGAGTTACGACTTGTAACACGTCGCAACTCGCGACGCGTCGTATCTTCCATTTCACGAAAGTTGCGATGTGTTGAACACGTCGTAAGTTCCTTGACAACGGCTTAAAACACGTCGCAAGTTACGACGTGTCTAGTGGTCGTTGCAAAATACGAAGAGTCATTTCTAAGCCAGTTTTATGCCATAAACATTACATTTACGAGATTACATTACATTACATTACATTATGAAATTTCAAAGTAGCTACACAGTCCACTGAGAGCTTGTTTTCCTTCAAAATTGCATCGCACGACCGCCATTTTGTTTTACGTTTTAACAAATTTCGAGCTGAGATCCGACGACTCTTTGTTGAATATCAGACGACTATTTACTGTACGCCGACTAAAGACATAAAACAGTCACCGAGTTGTGCTATAAATGCACTTACGACGTGTTGCACTTACGACGTGTTTAGTGAAATGGATCGCAGGACGCGTCGCAGCTGCGACGCATCGTAGAGATACGACGCGTCGCAGCGCTGCGATGCATCGTAAGTTACGAAGAGTTTGATGAAATCGGGTGCTGGTCTTGTAAAGGTCTAGTCTTAGGAGCTTTCCGAAATGGTTCATGATGTGCCAGACCAATTTCTGACCGATATTTCACAAAACTATAGTGCATACCTGCCCTCTCTGAAGTGCAATCCTATGTGAATGCAAACTAATACAATCATATGGTACAGGGGTCTCAGTTTGGATATAACATTTGCACTGCTTGTGCTGAACATGCAAGGATATGTGTAGGGACCACAGAACTAACCTATCGTTTTCACTTTCAATGTTCAATAACATATATAATCTCACGCAACTTGTCAAGGTGTTTTCATTTTCTCCCGTAGATTCACCACTTTCAACAAAATCCCTTTACTTGGACTGAGAGTAGCAGCATGGTGACAAGTCATGTGACTAGCCTGAGACTGGGACACGGCAGCGACCAATCAGATATCGCCGTCCAGAGACTGCCACAAGACGTGGAAATAATAGTGACCAATGGCGACACTGCCAAGCCAGTCCTCCTCCAACCGCTGACCAATCAGCAAGGCAATCAAACAATCTATGCATTCAATTTGACCAATCAGGATGCAGCAGTCATTGTCAGGGTCCAACTGAACCAATCATCGGAGCTGACAGAAATACCCCGTCTGAGTTTATGCCTTCAACTTGAACTGGCAACTAACGACACCAGCTCACAATGCAATGCTTCAGTGACTATGCCGCAGAATGTGACAGACTCGCATTTCTCACTGAATAACACAAACATGACCTTTGACCCATACCTTTGGGTCATTCCAAGTGAGAACCTTCCTGAAGCTGGGGGGTATTTCTTGACTTTGGTTGGAGGGGATGTTATTGATCTTGCACAGCACATTCTTGTGTATGCTTTCAGCACACAGTGTCTGTACTGGGATGAAGCAAGGGAAGAGTGGCTAGGTGACGGCTGCCAGGTGAGAAAGTTTTTAAAAGTTGAACAAAGAAATTGACTTGTGGGGGTTTGAACCTTCGACCTCCGGATACCAGTTCTGGTATTCTACCAACTGAGCTATCCAGCCCTACGTTGACGATTCCCTATTTTGTCAATATCTTTGTTCAATTGGGGGACTAGTCAGAAGCCATAAACCTGTATATGCTCTTCAGCCAGGAATCCTGCCCAAAGTCACGATGCTAACAACATTATCGATGCTGTAAGCCTGGGAAATAGCGAATTAGAAAGTTTTTTTTAACAAACTATTTCTCTTACTCCAACTCAAAGGTTCTCAAAGATGGATCCATCCTCTTCATCTCAATGCATTCCGAACATATCTGGTCATTTGTAAACTTCTAAATGGCACACAAATGTGTCCTTTGTTGTAAAACAAACTACTTGCTTAAATTGTATATAATTAACACTATGAATAAACTACATCATCATGATCCGAAAACACTCTTGCAGCTAGTATATGGTTGATGTATGGGCGGCAAACCATACTAAACTAACATGCTAGCTTGTTTGAAATGCAGTGAATAAATCTGTGTTGAGGGTGTTCTGTATGTGGTTTCCTTGTTGACTACAGTCGCATATGGTAACTATGGTAAGCAGCAGGGGGGGGGGGGTTCTTGTCAACATAAGTTGCCAGTGGTAAAGAAAGGGTTGAATGGTGCACAATTAATCCACAAAACCTCCGATTTAATGCACAATAACCGTTTGTGTCAGTTTTGTAATCGCCAATGCACCAACTAAGCTAGCTGCCAATGTCACATTGAGCTAGTTGGCAAAATAGCCATATTCACCAATTTGCTAGGACAACAAACTTAATGGGGTCCATGCGCAAGTACCCTCTCAACGGTAAGGAAGGGAGAGTTGGGGGAGACCACTGGTAGAGACTTTTAAAACGATTGTCAAAGTTCAATGCGAAGATGTTATGGCTTTGTGCACATTCAGAATAAAATCAGTCTTGTCAACTTTGTGCCATACGCATGCAAACCAGTATGCACATGTGGTGCGTCACGTCCCGTCCACTGGGTTCTCAAAAATGGTCAACATGGTCAAAAAGCACTCTCATTTGTTCTTGCCCGGAGCCCATACATCATACTGGAATAATCTAGATGACTTCTTAAAATCAGCACCCTCCTTCTCTGTCTTTGTTAAAAACCTTATATCTCTTCTACTCCACTCTTATGTGAATAATTAGTTATGAATCTTGATGTATGCTCTCGTCTCATACCAGTTACTGTTTTTCTAGGTTGTGTCTTTGTCATGTTTGTGTGTCTGACTGTTGTTCATTTTGTCCTTTGTCACTGTCTGTTTTTTTTGGTCATGTCCACTTGTCTGTCGATAGCTTAGGGTACAAAAGCACTTCGCTTCACCTTATACCTAAATGTTGTCGTAAATTTGTTTTAGTATTGATCTATGTACGTTATAATAATAATAAAGGACATTTATATTGCGCAAAACCTATATGGATATACTCTTCTGCGCATTACAAAAAAAAAAACCAGAAATGCAGAAAAATACAAAATACTAGAAATACTTAATTACATAATGCATTGTATTTTTTTAAAATTAAGTTTACATGACATTATAACATTTAACAGTGTGGAAGTGGCAACATTGAAATATTATGTTTCTTCTATTATACTTAACAGTACATTCATTACCTTTCGTCAAGGTTGGACCTTTCACAACTGCAGCCCAGACCCACTGTCTCTGCAACCATCTCACGTCCTTTGCTGCCAGTATCCTGGTCCTCCCGAATGCAGTTGACCTGACAGACTTTTCCCTGTTTGCAACTATTCCTGAGAATCCCATCACCTTAATAACAGTTGCCGTTGTGTTTGTCCTGTTTGTGCTGTGTGCGGTGTGGGCACACCGGAGAGATCGACTAGAAAGAGAAAAGGTGGGTTTATTATTTATTCATAAATACCTCAGACAGTTTACCCATTCCTATTGGTCTAGAGCCTGTCACGTGGCCGGTCTTAAAGGGACACTTGGTCCTGGAACAGCCCAATTGGGCTACAAAATGCGCTTTGAACGAGATTATGTTAACCGGAAAGAACATTTAAAACTAGGATAGAAACATCCACACAACTATCCTTTAAAAACTGGGCGTTTTTGTGTTATTCCTGTATTATGCGTGCGAAAACGAATTTCGGGGTCCACTTTTGCGACCCCATAATTCGAGCCGTTTGGAATGCTAGTTGTGATGCCTTTTGCGGACGTTGAAACCACAATTTTTTTTGCATTGGTGATTGGTCACCGCTGTTCCCGAGACACACGACGTGTATATTGTACACTGTATGAGAACGACACGAAAAACGTATTCGTACTCCATCGTGTCCGATGTAAACAAGCGTTTTTTTTATTCTTTTCTCAGGAACGGTAAGACATTAGGTTGGTTTCCTTCCAACCACATGTTTGAGATAGGATAAGTAAACAATCCAAAACATGAAATTTTCAGGGATTTCAGGACCTAGTTCCCCTTTAAACGGATGATAAAGACATGGCTGGCTGGTCTGAAACACTTTTCCAGTGTCACATGAAATTTGGACTCCCATGAAAATCCGGTGCCTTTGAACGTTTCATTGGTTGAACGTTCACATTTCTCACGTAGGCATGCGCAATACTACCAGTGAATCAGTATTTCATAGTCTGAAATTCACACTACACCAGCCCAGCTGTGTTTTGCGCGACATCGTGCAGTACCGCATCGTGCACGCCAATCTCCTTTGGGACATTCCATATTATAGTCAAAGGGGTGTTTATAAAACATGAAGTAAATTGTTGAACAAAATGGTTGGCAATGTCTAGTTTTTGACTTGTTTTGATTTTTAGATCGAAAAGATTTGTTTTTTGGACCGAAAAGGTACTTATGAATGGGAATAAATATGTGCTTGGTCGGTGTGAAACACTCTAAGACCAGTTGGAGTCTGGAGTGCTGATAATTACCCATCCAGACTCCAACCGGTCTTAAACAGAGTTTTTAATACCTCCCAAACACACATAGTTATTCCCTTATTGTAACTATGCCGTAAGTGTTCAAGATGCCAAATGAAATAAACGTTAAGTTTTGGTTTCTTTAATCTCATACACATACAGTACGGATTTGCACACATTCAGCTACGAAATATCATACTGTGTGTCATTTGATATTTTCAAGAATCAGTTCTCTGGAAAAAGCTGGCTTGTGCGAGGAGTTTAGTCAGTGTTACAATTGAAAACTAACCATTTGTAAATGAAATTAGCCAAGACACTGCTATGAAGGTGTACATCCTTAAAGCTATAGTCCATCATTTGCAGCCATCCGAAAAGTATTTGGCGTAATTACTGTTGAAAAACAAACTTGGTTGAAAGATAGTAAGGGGACTAAACTCTCTGTGAAATTATTCTTTCTGGGAAGCTGTTATTTTGAAGTAATCAACGAAAGAAGGCATTTCCAACGGTGATTCTTAAGAAGCACCGTAGGAAAATTTAAATTAGTAGTTCGTTTTGTTATTCAGCGCAGCGCGCACAAGTATTGGAACGACGCACACGCGCGCGCGGTTGGTATAATTCGTCGGATCAGTGCGCGACGCCGCGTATAGCTGCAATTCAAAACAATTCAAAACATGATTCAGTAACTTTTGATTTGAAATTGAGATCTTAGAATGCTGTTTTTCTCGGAATGTACAGCTGAAGCTTAGCTGAAACTTCACCAGGTTAGTTGCTCAGTATCCTTCATTAGATTTTGAACTCTTTTGTTGCTTCAAACAAACAAAATGCACAAATTACAAATGATGGACTGTAGCTTTAATGGATGTCTTGCTTGGGCACAGGCTCGACTTATCATCCTGGATGACAACAGTCCAGATGACACCTACCGTTACCACGTCACCGTCTTCACCGGCATGCGCAGAGGAGCCGGCACGACAGCAGTCGTCACCCTGACTCTTGAGGGCATAGTGGGAAACAGTGAGCCCCACGTCTTGTCTGCGAACGGTCATCACAAGGTAATGCAGAGAGGTGGCATTGATTCCTTCCTTCTGACGACAAAGGAATCGTTGGGAATACTCCGATCCATCAGGCTATGGCACGACAACGGAGGTAGCGGCCCTGAGTGGTAAGACGTAAAACAATGCAGAAACATTACAAGTCTGCTAGTTAATATTTTATTCTGGTATTTTTTTACTTTTCTTATCATGGGCTAATCCATGGAAAGTTATACCCAACTGGTAACAGAGTTTTGGAAGTCTTGGGCCCTGTGTGTCTTTATTTTTGTTTTTGATTTAGGTACCTTAGCCGCATCCTAGTTCATGATCTGGAAAAAGATCGTTGGTGGTATTTCCTGTGCCACACATGGATTGCCATCGATCTTGGCGATGGCAAAATTGACAAGACGTTTCCTGTGGCAAACACCGAAGACCTGAAGGATTTCCATCATCTGTTCTTCACTAGAAGCGTTCGCGACATGAAGGACAACCACCTGTGGTTCTCTGTGCTGTCCCGGCCACCCCGTAGCAGCTTCACCCGACTTCAGCGCGTCGCCTGCTGCTTCTCCCTCCTGCTGTCCTCCATGCTGATGAACATCATGTTCTACAAGGTCGGGGAAGGGGAGCCAGATGAGACGTACAACTTTGGGGTGATGAGCATCTCGCTCAAGACCATTGTGATTGCTACTGAAGCCAGCCTCTTGGCTTTGCCTATCAATCTAGCCATTGTCCAGATTTTCAGGGAGGTCAGACCCAAGGAGGATGACATAGAGATTGTGCCAGCCAGCGAGTCGGAAGATCCACAGGATCAAGCTGATCAGGATGTGGAGTGCAAAGAGAGCTTAGAACCTCAAGGAGAAGTTCTTTCAACCGTGGGAAGCAACGCGACAGGGACTTCCTCTGGGTCTTCAAGTATCCAGTCACAAACCTCCACACCAAATATGGCATCAAGAAACTCTCCTCTTCAAGAAGCAAGTAGACCGCAAAGCGCCATGAGGGAAGACACTAAAACGTCTGTCAGCCGGGAGTCCTTACCAGAGAGGGACATTTTCAATAGTGACAAGGCCTACGAGGAGTACGTTGATAAGTATGCAGAGTTTGTGTATCTGAGGAGTACTTGCAAAGGCGACAACACGGGCAGTCACAAGTTGCTGGAAGCTGGCAACTTGCAGAGTCTGGTACATGTACCTTTAGAAAGGGATAGTTCAAGCCAACATGCTCAGCAAGATTTCAGGCCAGACCTGTTGCCCGAATGTGACCAAGCCTTACTCTGTACTAACATGAGGCAACTGACTGAAACTTCCGGAAATGCCAATGTAAACAGAACCTCTCCCGGTAGTGAATCAAGCATACTGCCCCACTCTTCTCAGTCCAACCAGAGTTCTCGCAGTTCCAGCAGCATCCACATCCTGATCTCCCCAAACGAGGAATCCTCTGTTGATCTGAACCCTTCCGACTCGGTCATCTACACATCCTACCAGGACTTCCTGAGCTCCCGCTTGAACCTGCTGTACGAGCAGCTTCACAATCCTCCACCAAACCTCTTCAGGAGTGAGGAGGACCGCAAGAAAGCCTTGCGTAAGTTTAAACTGGCCCTGGCCCTGCATGGCTGGAAAGAGGAAAGGGAGAGAGAATCGGGGTCGGCAGGCTCAGAGGAGACCCCGTCGGAGCCAAAAGACGAAGTGCAGAGACTGTTTAGTGGACTGGGACACCTCCCGTGGTGGTGCGTCTACATTGCCTGGTTCCTCGCCATATCCTCTAGTCTCTTTGCTGCCTATTTGATCATTCTGTACGGCCTGACCTTTGGCAAGCAGAAGTCCATCGACTGGCTGATCTCAATGATCATCTCCCTGATCCAAAGCGTTGTCGTGATCCAACCGGTGAAGGTCATTGCCATAGCAGCATTTTTTGCCATAGTTCTCAAATCCTATGATTATGATGAAATTGGAGTGAAGTTCTTCAAGCAGCTCAAGATAATTGCAGGTTAGACTTGTGAAAATCTTAGTCAAGTCACTTTCTTTTATTTACAATGCAGTGCCCGCTCAAAAATTGTTCCCAAGAAGAAAATGACATGAGTTAGGAAACTGATCAAGGAGTCAATGGAGTACTGTTATGCGAATCATTTCTGTGGTTTTAGACGTGCAGTCATATGATTGAGACATGATTTGCTGAGGTACTGCAGTGTTAACCATGTCAAACCTCACCTTTGTCTTTACATTCCATGCTACAACGAAAACAGCCATGGTACAATACATGTCGTCGCATCAGTGCAACAAGGTTGTATCTCCTAAAATGGCATAAACGCAAAATGCGAGTTTTAGAATGTCAAAAGGTCGTATCTCGCTTAAAATAACCCGGATGTACACGCAAAGTCAATGGACGTCGAGATATGACCTCGTTGCACGGAGCGTATTCGCCCAAGATACGACTCTGTTGCAGAATCGAGTTACGACCTTGTTGCACTGACGCGACGATGTCTTCTTCCAAAATATAACATTCATTGGGACAATTATACATTTCAGAAGATGCAAATTTTCATTCACAAGATATAAAGTCTGACATTTCCATCAAAGCGTCAATGATCAATACTCACATCTTCTTTACGAAGGTGTCCAGCAATCCAGCACCATGAGCACCCAGGGCAGTACCTTCTCTGCTAAACGCAGAGGCACCCACTTCTACCGGCCTCCTCCGGGCACCGCTGTGGAGCAGGCTCGGGAGAAGCGACACGCAGAGAGGAAGATGTACTCCCTGATCAAGGCCTTCATCGGCCAGATAGTGTTCATCTGGTTGGCCCTGCAGGTCAGCAATGCCCAGCGGGATCCTGGGAGTATCTACCTCAGCCTGGCCATGAGCAATAGCTTCACGACACAACTCCACCAGGTAGTGTGACATCAGGATACATCTAGAATTTAAATAATATACAGCGTTTTTGAGTCCCTTGTGCATGCTTTCAGATTAGGTCATGAAAAGCACGTACCTTTAGCTACTGCACTGCTCGGATGTGCTTTTGAGGTACAGGGACATGCAACCTTGTGCCCGTCTTTATTCCTTACTTTAGAAACCCTTTTAATGCTTTGAGTGCTTTCATTGGTTGACTTCATGAAATAAGGAGGAGTTAGATTAATCAGGAGCAATACTTGAAGTAGTACTTGCAGGACATGAATGTCTTTTGTTCAAAATCAAACACCTGCTTAATTGATGTCACTTGTCTTTCCTGTGCATGAGGTAAATAACAATAAACGTTTACGGTTGCACCATGTAACAAATCTCTTTGTGAGTTTAAGAGGTTCTGAAAGGACTTGGGAAACAACATTTCCGAAAGTATGCTCTGCCCACAGCCTCCTAACGACGGGCAGTGCACACTGTCCGAAACACTGAGTTTCCCCCAGTTCTTTTCAGAACATTACAAACTCACAAAGATATTTGTGCTTGGTGAAACCGTAAACGTACTCTTTAATAGTGCTCTTTCAAATCTTATCAGATAAATGACATGAACCAACTACATAACATGGCAACGATGTGGAACCAAAACAGTAGACACAGGCATTATACAAATATAACATGGTTTGAGGGTGGACAGTCGATATTCGCTCCCCGAGGTATTGGAAGTTGACAAACTTTCGCCTCGGGAACTAGTTTGTCAACTTCCAATACCGAGGGGAGCTAATATCGACTGTTCACCCGAAATAAACCATGTTATATTTGTTTTACTATACCCCATAAATAAGCAGTTGCCAAATTTTTTTTATATATATATGCACCTAAAACAAAATTCGGGGAAACTTGTACAGCTCACCAAAAGAATATTGTTGCTCAACTTCAATTATTAGTTCGGTTCGTTTGCTTTTTTTTTTTGTACAGGAGACATCTTTACACGGTCCATACATTTTCTCCAGTGCGGCATCATTGAGCTCTGGAAATTAACATTTACGCGAACCGTGCAACCATTCATCTCTCTTGGGCGATGTTCGCGCGTGTAGACTGTCGCACGGGTAACCCATGCGACAGTCTACTACGCGTGCGTATTTACCAATCCTCGCGCGCGCATTTGTTAAACAGCAAGAATAGCATCTGGCATGTGATGGTGAATTGACCAGTGAGAGTTCTGCTCTCGATCATGAATATGTATGAGGTATAGTAACATGATATAATCCACAAATCATGTTTCTGTACCGGGTACATGCATCAACTAATCTCACCTAACATCCTCAATGCACATCCAGGTGAAAACTATGCCTGATGTCTACACATGGATACAGGAGGAGTTTGCACCCAGCCTGTACGAAGTTGAGCCAAGTTCAGTTCTGCAGGAATCGTTCCTTGTGGGAAGCCCAAGACTGCGCCAGCTGAGGGTAAAACCAGGTGAGTCCAACTTTGGTTAGTTCCAAGCTATTACCTAGTCACAAACTTTTATTCTTGATAGTCATTTAAGTGCTAACTTACGTTTCCTAGTCACAAAACAGTAGATCGTGTTACGGGGAGTAAGGGGAGTCAGGTTGACATAGCGGTACTTTCCTCGACTTCCACCGCTGTGACCCGGGTTCAAATGCCGCCTGGGTCAATATGTGGATTGGGTTTTCAGTCCCTACCTGATTCCGTGGGTTTTCACCCAGAATATCTTCTGGGCTTTTTCTCCCACCTCTGAAACTGTAATTTCTTCTCATTGTCTTCGCTTTAAGTTGGTGTGATGTTTCCCCTAAGATGCTTTGGCAACTATAAGATACAGATGCAGATACTGATACAGATCCTTATTTAGATAGAGTAAAATGTTACCTATCTACATCTACATATTGGCCTGTTCGGGCGAAGTGTATTGTAACTGTAACAGCTGTGCATTTGTATTGTTGCGACACTGAAATTACCGAAATAGAAGTACATTGTGTTCTATGATTCTAAATTTCTTGATACGCTATATATCATACAGAGTATTGCAGTGAGCCAGCCACTTACCGAGGTATGCGTCCAGGATGCCACGCTGTCCCCGGCACAGAATCAGAGCAAGGTGCTTACAATGGCTCCTGGACTCGGCCTATGTCGTCTTTCAATGCATCTCAGGACTGGTCCATCAATCCTTGGGTCTACCAGCCCCGGTGGCAGGCAAAAGGCAGCTACTTCCTGACGGGCCTTGGACCCAACGATCGTGGGGGATTCGTTGTCGATCTAGGTCCATCCAGGGCATCTGCAGAGAACCGGACCAACCTCCTGGAAGACTCCCGGTGGGTCGATCAGTACACCAAGGCAATGATCCTGGAGTGGGTGGTGTACAATGCCAACATAAACCTCTTCTGCGCCAGCACTGTCGTCTTCCGCGCCGAAGGGACCAGCGTTGTTCCCTCTTACGAGCTTGCCACCCTTCGCCTGTACCGCTACACCGACAAGTACGACAAGTTTGTGTTGACTCTAGAGGTGCTTTATCTCTTGGTTGTTGTCGTCATCATTGGGATGGAGGTGGTGAAGTGGAACAACGATCGTGGAGAATACTGGAACTTCTGGAGCTGCCTTACCATCGCTATTATTATTCTATCCATCTCAGGTACACGTATGCGACGTATCTTCACTGCTTTGCAGTGTTGTAGTAGAATCCTCAAGAAATCCTGACAATTTCTTCACAAGTCAATCACAAGTTATCAAAATCTCACGCCAAGTCAAAAACTATTCAAACGAACTATAACAAAAGCATTCCTTTGTTAATGTTCACCCCCTGGCTTGTGACTGGCTTGTGTGACTGACTTGTAAATTTAACTTGTGACCGTACTTGTAATGGACAATCCTACTTTTTATTTCCAGGAAGTGGATGAATTTGGCAGGTTCTTGTTTGGTTTGATTTTCAGCTTCTTCTATCAAAAGATTGTTTGTACTTGTGTACATTGTTTGAGAGCAATCACACAGATATACATGCATTCTTAAACTAACAGCTGAGGGGTGCCCTTGCAGTTGATGTCATTTCCTATTAAACTTACCCTTCTTCATTTTTTTCCGCAGCAACAACGGCTTACATATGGCAATACGTTCTCACAATGAGGACCATGCAGCTCTATAAAGCTGATCCAAGCGTACACCACAGCTTTGCAGACCTAGTCCTCTTGGACTCGGTCCTTGTGACTAGTCTGGCTGGCGTGGTCTTCTGCAGCATCCTCAAGTGTCTCAAGGTCCTCCACTACAACGACAGCATGTTCCTGCTTCAGAACACCGTGCACAGGCTCTCCGAGACCCTCGTCTTCTACCTGTCCATGCTTGGAGTCGCCCTGATGGGCTTTGCCTTTTTTGGCTACCTCAGCTTCGGCCGGCAGTTCAGGGACTTCTGCGATCTGTTGCAGTCCATACAGTCCGTGTTTGTGCTCGTCCTGCGCAGGTACAGCGACATGCTGAACATCATGGAGTCCTTCGGAATACACGCATACGTATTCTTTGCAGTCGCCAACTTCTTCCTCATGGCAGTCGTCGTCAATCTCTTCGTCGCAATGCTGTTGAATTGCTACTCCACGGCCAAGAGCAAGTTTGTCCGGTACAAGGACCACGACGTGGTCAGCATGCTGACAGAGTGGTTCTTCTCAGCTTTTTCCATCAAAGAGCGGCCCAAGCCCTTGCACAAGCACAACAGCATTGTGTCGCTAGACGAGTTGTAAAAGACTTGTGGTGTGACATGGAAGAAACCACATGTACCTAATTTAGGGGAATTTTTGTGTTGATGAAAGTTACTGGAGCAAAATTGTGTTCCTCTCTAAGGACTTTGTATAAAACTTCTCTTGAGAATTCATTTAACAGATGATTTGCTGTTCACTCTTGTACAAAAATCAGTAGTAAAGGGCAGATTTTTCCACACAGAATTGTCAGGGTTTATTAGCTTGTGCTAGGTGTTGGATATTATTCAGATTTGGGGAAGTTGGGGTTAACGCAGTCTTAACATCTTTGCAACAAAGCAGATCTCGATTTTCTGTATTTGCTTTATTTTTCATAACAGAACATGATCTTACTGATCTTCTGTGCATTTCATAAAAATAAAGAAGTTTGTTTTTAAACTACAGCATTTCCGCACACTGATATATAATATTACAGAGCTGTTTTTCTCAGAGAATTGAGGGGAATGTTGTGTTGCCTAAAGACACCAAGTTAAATAATCCTATAAATAGCACAGCTTACAAGAGAGCATGTCAAAAATATTTTTCAGCATGCTCTGCATAATAACAACAGTGATACGGTGCTTATATAGCGCTTTATACCAAAGGTTTCAAAGCACTTTACAATTATTATCCCTGTTTATCAGGAATCAGACAATTTTTCTGCAGCAGCTCGAGATCAGTTTCTCTGCCATCACAGGTACACATATATACTCCTGGGTGGGGAGAGGCAATTGTAGTGAAGTGTCTTGCTCAAGAACAGAAACACCATGTACTCTGTCATGGGTTCAAACCCACGTACCACACGTGGCTAGGCTAGATATGCAAATCAGGTGGTGCTGAACGAATGCCTTGGAACATCCATCGCAGGCCTATCTTTTTGGGTCAATTTTTTCGTTATTTTGTTGAATTTATATTGAGTTATATTTGGTTTGCAGACTCCAAAGTTGTTGGAGAATGTAGCCATACTATCCAGCGCTCTGTCCAGGTAAAATATCACCTGATTTGCATATCGTGGCCTAGCCTTGTGAGGTTGCTGTTCGCGCTTTGTGCAGTGCGTGTGCGCGCATAGCATACGGCTACTGCTGTTCGTGGTCGACCCCCTATGTAGATCTCAAGAGTGGTCAGAAAGTGCCATTTACTGTTCACGAACAAAGTCCACAGATCTAGACGGTTTCATCAACTGGTCTATCTTATCAAACGTGTGAGCCAGTCACTACGGCAAATCTAAAACCATCTCAAACTTGAAATCAGCATGTCCATTCAGGTTTCACGTAGTTGGTGCGCGTTTGTCTGCATCACAATGACGCTAGCATCACCTGCATTTGTTGATTTCTGCCTTCAGCCGTTGCATGGTTCCGTCTCGCAATGCCTTTCGGACGCTTTGAAAGAACTGGAAGAAGTGATGAAAGTTGTGTCTGGGAGAAAAGCAAATAACAAATATGTGTTAAAGAAAATCAGTTTATTTTCTACATAAATATACCTGATTTTGTATAAATCTGAAATAACTTCTTTTAATGAATATACATATCCAATGTTCTTTTCCCAATGATTTCTTTATTAACTTAATGTGAAAAAAATCTTTGAATAAACTCAAACTAGTGATTTAACAATTTGTATACATGCTTTCATGATCAACATTTAACCCCTTGACACCGACCGATGTCTATAGTCGCACTCCGGAATGCTAAGGTCAGCCGAGGAATTTTGTCAGTGGCCAGCTGCGCTGCTAGGCATGTGACCGGCAGTGCAGTGCCGCTACTGCGCAGAGGCTCTGTGCAGTGATGCGTGTAAGCCTGTGTAGTGAGGCGTAGAAACCCGGCAGCAAGGGGTTAATATCGTTTTATCCTTGTTGATGTATTTGTCATTTATTTGATTTCAGCTGCACGAGTCCATGGTAGAAACTGTATAGTCGGGCTTAGTAAATCACATTAACCATTTTAAGTTTTTGAAATGTGCAGATGCCATTTTGTTAACTGAGAACACTTCATGGACAATCACCCACTCAACAACTGGGAGAGTTGGGGGAGAACACTGGAAGTGACATGAGAACGCATTTCTGACTGTTCCTGATGCTCACGTGAAGACGCTACAGGTTTGTGCAGACTCAGTATATAATTGGTTGTGCGTGCTTTGCGCCATATAAATTTATGGAGACCCTTAAATGAAAGACTCACATCATGAGCAGCACACCAGCAAGCAGCTCTTTTGCATTGATGAGATGGTTGATGTAGGCTCTGGTGTGATTGACACAGCAGTAACATTGACATCCCTCAACCACTGCAGTGAAGTCCTCCACAAACCTAGACGGAAAATCAGACACAAAGGATCTATAACGCTCAAAACGTGTCGTCTCGGACTCTGTGTTCTTATCAGCGGTTCACGATCAAGACAGGTACTTAAAGGTAAAATGGACCATGTGTCATTCGTGCATTTTCCATTTGAAGCAACAAAAGTGCTCAAAATCTAAAGAAGGATGCTTAACAAGGATGCTTAACTAACCTGATGAAATTTCAGCTCTGTGAATGTTGTATGTTTCGAGAAAACACAATATTCCGGACCTCGATTTCAGTTCAAAAGTTGCCATGTCATATTTTGAATTGCGCCATCTCGTGACACAATCCCGAAATCAGCATTCGGGACCCAACTACAAACAGAAATTTCCAAAAATGTGTCACGTGACATCTTTGGAAATAACCTTCTATTGTTTTCTTCAAAATCACAGCATGCCAGAAGGAATAATTTCACAGGGAGTTGAGTCTCATTACCATCTTTAAAACAAGTAAGCTTTTTTTAACAATGATTTGGTTGGTTACTGTTTGATAGCTGCAAATAGTCCACTCTACCTTTAAAGCTGTAGTCCATCATTTGCAGCTATCCAAAAAGTGACTGACGTAATTATTGTTGAAAAACATACTTAGCTGAAAGATAGTAAGGGGACTAAACTCCCTGTGAAATTATCCTTTCTGGCAATCTCTCATTTTGAAGAAATCAACGCAAGAAGGCCTTTCCAACGGTGCTTCTTAAGACACACCGTTGGAAATTTCCGTTAGTAGTTCGTTTTTTTATTCAGCGAAGCGCGCGCAAAGATTGACACGACGCACGCGCGCGGTTGCTATAATTCGTCGGATCAGTGCACGTCATCGCGTAGCTGCATTCGGCTCAGTAAGAACGTGTCTCGGACGCTGAATTCAGGCCCAATTCAAAACATGATTCAGCAGCTTTTGAATTTGAAATCGAGATCCTAGAATGCTGTTTTTCTCGAAATATACAGCTGAAGCTGAGCTGAAACTTCATCAGGTTTATAGTTGATCAGCACCCTTCTTCAGATTTTGAGTAGTGTTGCTTCAAACGAACAAAATGCACAAAATACAAATGATGGACTATACCTTTAATGAGAAAACACTACTTTGCCACAAGTATCATAGGTGGGCAACAACAACAAGTATTTATATATGTGTGTTTATTAGGAAGGAGAAGTTTGGGTGCTTGAACTTGGGCCAGGATGGCTGCATTTTTTTGCATTTTTGAAGAGAGATATCCGATATATTGTTATAACCAAGCAATTCAACATGGGCCTGAAGATCAAGGGTAATAGTGCCTATTTTCACACTATTTTCACTAAATCGGTACCTTTGATCAGAAAGTTTCATTTCATACACGGTCCTGCTGTTCAAATCTCCGTTCTCTCCCTGTCCGTCAAAATCACACACCGTTCCTCCATCGTCACCAAGACAATCATCAACAGATGAAGCAGATGCAGGGGTGTGTCTTGAGACCGCATCATTTGGCAAGGGCGATGCAAGTGCGTATGAAAATACCAAAGCGCAGCCTCGCTCTGTGGCTTCATATGGAAAGCTGGTTCAATACCGTTAAGGCTCAATATATTCATGTATTGTATAAAGTAAAAGTAAAGTCTGTCACGAGCCAAAATTGCCCACCAGGTCGGTGTTCATCTCTGGTTTCCTTTGCATGAAACGACTGAGAATATTTCTATTCCCCCCTGGATGGGTACCGGTCCATCACAGATTACTCCAAGCTAATGCCGGTAATAATAATAATAATAACAATAATAATAACAAAGCATTTGTAAGGCGCACAGTATCTGACAATAATAGTCATTCAAAGGCGCCGGTCAGTGAAAAGTCAGTGTGTGTGAAGGTAGAGGTCATTATTTATGAGAGAGAAACTGATTGAAGAGGTGGGTCTTTAGGTGGCGTGTGAAGAGAGATAATTGGTGTATTGCCCTCAACTCGTCTGGTAAGGAGTTCCAGAGATGTGGTTCAAAGCTGGAAAATGCTTGGTCTCTGTAGGTCGCCAAACGAGTCTTCGGGACAAACAATATATTGAATAACGACATCAGACCTGGTCTCAGTTGAGGATGTTGAACCATTTCCTTCAGATACAGTGGGGCTAAGCCATGAAGAGCTTTGAAAGTAAGAAGGAGAACTTTGTAATGTATGCGGTACTGGATTGGTAACAAATGAAGTTTGTGCAAGATGGGTGTTATGTGTACTCATTTATTAAACTTGGTACTCATTTATTAAACTCTTTTGGGGGAAGGGGGGAGCATGGCACCATGGCCCTAAATATCCTACTGGGGACACACCCAATGCACGGATGCTACTTCTTCTAATGGCCATTCTCTCATGCTTCTGTATTTTTTACCATTAAGTGGTGCATGTACGTGTTCATCTTTTCAAACCGTGGACGAAAAATACCAGAGAACAAAAGAGAACAATATCGTCCACAATTCCCAGCATGTGTCCGCGATTGGGGTCGTGTACAAAACCAGGCATGCAACTGCGAATTTAGAAAAAAAAACGAGGAAACTCCAAACCACACAAGACTTTGTACAGTATTTTTCAATTTGTAATGGCATTCATGAGAAGTAAAAAACGAGGAAATCAGCGGATCGGAGGAAAAGTTGCATGCCTGAAAACCTATGGGAGTCTTTCTAAAAAGTTAGAGTACAAACAAAAGAGGGACAATAGGACGTCTACGATCGACGGTGAACACACGTTTGTATGCAAATTCAGTGGTGGCAGAAAAACATGCATCATACAACAAACACACGTTGCTCTGTCTTTTCAAATATTCAATTCCCCATCCAGGCCACACCACATGTTGCTCACTGCCTACAGTTTGGGGTTTGGGGTAATTAGGCTGTTCTGGAAGTGGCAAATAGGTAAGGCCACACTGGGTAACAATGACCTAAAAGTTTTAGGCCTAAAAACAAATTCAGAAACTTTCAAAGGATACGTTGAATCAAAGATGTCAACTCCTAGTTCCACAGCACGCAGTACCTCATCAGGTCGGCCGACTCTAGGCAGGAACCTTGGCTTGTCTTCAGGGATTTCATTCTGTTTTCAACATTGCAAAAATATTTTCCCAATCGGCAAAACTGGCCAAAATTTCAGGGGAAACGTTGAAAACTTCTAGCTTGAGTATCGTCCATTCACAGCACATTTTGTGAGGAATGCTACAAAGGCTGTTGATTGGTCAATAGCTGTCAGCTGACCCCCTACATTAAGTATGGACTTCTTCACTGTACTACAATGGAGTACACTTAGTGCACAAGGAAGAAAGGATACCTGTAGCCGATTTCACAAAACTGACGTAAGTGAACTTGCGCCAAAATGTATTGCGCACGTTGCGCAACATTCCACGTTGCACAACATTTCAGTTATTACAATTTCTCAAAAGTTTAATAGTACGCAAGTGTCTCACCAGAACAGCCTTCATAATGCTCCACCTTGTCCTTTCCTCCATGGACTCTTCATGGAAGCCATCCAGAACGTAGCCAGCCACGGGTCGCTTGGCTGTCTCCCGGGCCGACCTGAGTCTCTCCTCCAGCAGCTCACTGCCTTCTATCACGCCGAGCACTTCAACGTCTCTAAGCTCCTGTTTGGCAAAATCACAGGAAAACGTTTTGCATGCAGAGTTTTTGCTCAATTTCACGAACCCAGGATAAAACGGAATCCGGCGACCAGAATTAGTATTGCAGTTGTGCCACACTCAGGCGAATGCTGAACGCGTTCTTAAAGACGAGGCTTGCGCGCATTTTGGTAACTCGGTTGGTTGAAGAAGCCCGAAGTGCGTGCGTATTACCTGAGCGCGATTCACACAAGCCTGGTGTCACCTCAGAAATGGCTGTCGCCAGATTAGTCTATAGCAGTGTAAAATATGCTTTAAAAGGTCGGTGTCAACTTGGCACAGTACTGAGGTATGGACATTCTGCACACAAAAGGTAAAAAGGCTTTGACAAAGATTTCTGCTGGGATCGAATTGTTAGGCACTCTTACTTTTTGCATTGTATATTTCAGGTAAACCCAGTCAGTTAGCAGTTTTATATATTTTCATTCAAAGTAGGTAACATGTATGTGTTGCTCCCTAGACCAAGTACCACCCCAAAACTGCACTGTTAGATACTCCCCGTGTTGCCCTATTTACAACACAGCACTGTGGATTCGTAAGAACATAAATATAGGGCAACACAATAAAATATGTGACCTGCCATAGCATAATGAAGAATAACCCCCACCTTTGACTTTTCACGTTATGTACATCATGTTAAAGCGCAAATCATTGGCTTTCCAATGATACCAAATTTATTTCTGTAGCTAATTTTTTTCCAAAGATATGAGGCAGGAACTTCAACAGTGTCCTGCCAAGTTTCTCTAACTTCATTTTGAGAAAAACGGCTTTGAAAAAAAAAGACACACATTGCGCCGCCAACGAAAGTGAAAAACGTTCTTCATTTTTTCCACTTTTGTGGGTATTTTTCCCCAACAAAAATGCATAGGGTGATTATTGGATATCTTGGCTACTCAAAAATATAAAACAATAAAAAACAATTTTCACAAGATTTTTAGAGTATATCTGACTTCAGGCGTCGATTACTCAAAACAAGGTTTTGGGGGACATTCCTCATTTTGCCTCAGTAGGTCACATATAACATACCGCAAGTTACAAAATGAGTTATAATGCGTTAACTTGATCTTGGCAAAGCTGAACAAAAATTTGAAATAAAGTCTATTTGATGGAGTTCAGCAGTCTTTGGTTATTAGGAAAACTTACCTGTCTGCTTTGTTTGGCATCTAGGCACCCGTCAAGGAATTCCAACGTCCTATCAACTGACTTCTTGACGCGTTTGGAGGAGGAGTCAGCTGGAGTATCCCCGTCCGACAACGCTTCCATCAAATCTGGCTGGAGCACTTCTTGAAGATCCAGAAACCCCTCCAAGGTCAGCTGGAAAACACAGAAAACACACTGGGTCAAGGGAGATCTCATTGATTCCTCAACTTGGCCTCAATAGTGTGATTTATTTGTCAATAAAATGCAAGTCTGCAAGCTTGAATATTCACATTCAACCAATGCGAAAATTGTTAATCTGCATGCTACTCAATCCTCCAAGATCTACTTGTGGTTTTTGGCAGATTGTGGAATCAAGTGCAAACCATGATTTTGGCTAAGTGGATTTTAGAGGACTGAAGTAGAGAAGTATAGACTCCGTAAAGAGTGCACTAGTGCAGAAGAATGCACAGGAGCAAGGATGTACATTTGTACACACCACACACATTGAACATCAACAATGCCACCATCTTCGCTAGCCAGGGTAGTCTTACTCACATACATCATAGTACCCTGGCAAAACAAGTCCTTATCCATCCTATTTTGACCTTATGAGATAACTATTTTTTTTTCATGAACACTTCCAAATATGGACTGACATAATTTCTGACCAATCAGATTGCTCTTTTCAAAAGCTGACCCAAAATTGTCCTCCTAGCAAATAAAATGGCAGTATGCTGTGCCACCCTGAAACATGGCTCTCCTGTTGCATTGCTTACCGAAGTTGATCCTAATTCCCGACCTGAACATTCAGCGCATAGGAAAACATCATGAAATCTATGCGGAGAATTTCCAATTGGATGACGGTGAGTGTCAACATAGTAAAGATTCAGACTCGGTTTTGCCATGGCAAGCTCGTTTTTTTTCTGCAAAATTATACAATGGAAGCATACTATAGGACTTGTCAGCCTTTCACTGCCATGTACCGACCTTTTTTCTGCCACCAGCGGCCCAAACAGACACGCTCTTCTTGTCATTGAAACCAGTCGGTGTGGACTTGCCAGGATCCTGCGTGCAGGTACACACAACGGTGTCGGGCCGCCCTGAAAATGCTGCCACGCCTTGCCCAAAAGCTTCCAACACGTCACTGCTCTCTACACTGCGAGCGCAATGGAATGCCACACACAATTGTTTAGATGGGCAACTTATTCCACGGTTACTCACGTTACATTTTCATAACGTGAGAAACTGATTTTGTGCATCTTGTTTATCATACATAACACATTTTTCTGGATGTCACCTTTGGTGCTTAGGTAGGTCTAGGTCTACTCTATCTACCATGGGGATAACAGTTATTAAACCTTTTCAGTAAGGTAATTACAGCCCAAGGAAACTCAAAAGTACATCAAAAATGTAACGTGAGTAACCGTGGAATTGCCCAGATATATATGATAACAATTTTCTTTCTTTGGTATCACTACAAAAGATACATAAAGTTTGTACATGCTAAGAATGAAACATTCATGGTATCTTCTTTCAGCAGCACAAAGGCGGATCCAGAGCAAGGGCGAATCCAGAAAAAAATTTTGGTCTCCCAAAAAGTGGGTCAAAAAATTTACGGCGTGGGGTTCAGGGCCCACTTAAAAGGGCCCCAAATTTTTGTTGACTCTACATGTAGATGCTCTGTGGTGAGATCTGAGGCAATTTTCTGACCACTTTGACCATTTTTTTTTTCAGTAAAAGATGGTGGTGTACGCAGTGCCAGCCTTTGTTGCAAAGGAATTCGTGTTCAACCGTTGTTACTTGTGATGAGACTTGTGATTCACTTGTGACCGGACTACAACACTTCTTTTTAGGCGTTTTAGCCTCTCAACAAAATTTGTGCACTAGGCATGCTAGGATCCAAGTAAATTCCGAGCATACATGTACCTCCTTAGCTTGAATATAGTGCATGTGACGTATAATGTACTATATTTCTCGGAACCAAGTGCCGAAATTCCCAAAACTGAATAGCGCCACACTGGGGTGGCTTGTAAACTTGCCATGTCTGGAAAAAGGTTGCTTAACCCTAACTGAACTCAACCCATCAAAGCCCAACAGCAGGTTTTGTTGAAATCTGTTAGCATGGGTACAGTACCCCTAAATTGATGGTCTTTTACATTGGTTTGGCATACCTCCAGAAAGTAAGTCCAACAGTGTGTGTGTACGATTTCCCATGTTGGTGTTTGAATTTGCCAGAATGGGTATGGTTCCTAGCAAATTATGCTAGGGAGTTAGGGTTAAGGTAGACCTGACCTCATAACACATGTGTATATGAGGACAGGCCACGGCCTCACGCTTCTGATATCTTATTGGTTGCTACATGTATATGCGCCGTGTTGAATTTAGTACCTGTAGATCTTACTGTTGAGCATACAAGGATCAGAACACAGTCCCCCGACACATCCGGATTTGCTAGCGGGTCATTCCATGCCATTTCAACGGGCCAAATGGCAACATATGTCACAGATTTTATTCAAAATTCTTTGAAAGGTTCTCACATTATCTCATATGGTATCCCATACAATTTGGGGGGTATTTTTGCAGCTTTGATTTTTCATGAAAATGCCAGATACCCAAAAATTTGTTTGGTTCCAAGACTAGGGGTCTTCAAAATTTGAAAAAAATGCTAGTGACGCATTGCGATGGATCACTTGTGACCCCCCCCCCCCTAAAATTAAGGTGTGAGGCATGATGGGTATTATTTTCCTATATAATAATAATAATAAACAACGGAGTCTTATATAGTGCACGTATCTACCAACAATTAGGTACTCAAGGCACTGGAAATTATGTCAATTATTGAAGAAAGGTAAAGTTTATGAGAAATATGAGACCCATTATGTAGCACCTACATGTATGTTTACAAGGTGCTGCGGCGCACATTGCAGCCACTGCCAGAAACACCGGGGCAAACCCCTTCTCTTAGCGATAAGTGTTACTGGGTTCTTTAACGTGCATTACACAACACACGGGACCTACGGCTTCACGTCCCATCCGAAGGACGAAGCAATAATGGTAAAGTGCCTTGCTCAAGAGCACAAGCACCATTTCCCACGGTTAGGATTCGAACCCATGCACCACGGCACACGAGTCGAACACAGTAACCATTGGACTACTATAGTTGCACCCATGTAACACTGCAACGGAAAGCTATTTGAATTTTTGGTTTCAACCTCATCTTCATGCAGAACACAATTGAGAGAACCTTTCCACCAAGTTTGAATAAAATCTGTGACATGTGGTGCCATGACCTGTGGATATGGCATGGAATGACCCTAGATTTCAATTTAGGTTGGACCCTATATCATAAGTCAACTTGACAATCAAATCGACACACAGGTCAGTATCAGACTTTAAATTGCCATTTTGATGTGCAGACTAGCATTAACATAACAATGCAGTCTTGGACCAACGGCCCCACATTGGCTTACAGGCGTCCTCGAAATCTATGGGACTTGATTGTTCGAGCTGAAGTCCCTTCTTTAGATGCATCCCCTCCCACGCAGCATGGTACTTTCAAGTGCAGTTCTAGATGTGTTGTCTGCCAGATTCATATCCAGGAGTCTGACTCCTTTTCTGGCCACTCTTCTGTCACTACCCACAGAACCATTGGTAACATCACTTGTAACACCTCTAATGTCATATATCTCATTTCTTGCAGGGTCTGTGGAGTGCAGTATGTAGGTGAGACTAAGAATACGCTCAAGAAGCGTTTCTATGCCCACCGGTCAACGGTCAACACCAAGAAACTAGACACCCCTGTTGGTCATCACTTCAACCTGCCTAACCACTCCATTTCTGATATGATTTTGCAGGGCATTGAATCTCTTGGCCACCACAAGGACTCAGTTCGCCTCAGCAGAGAGAAAGTGTGGATGAATCGTCTTCGAACTATTCAACCACATGGTCTCAACATCCACCTTGGAAATGATTAATCCTTTTCTTCCTCCATTGTCTTCTGTTACAGATAATCCACCTGGTCTTCCTTGTTTGTGTTTACCCATCTTCCCCCATCTTTCATCCCTTTCCACCTCAATACTGTCCCCCCCCCACATCATCCCTTCCCTCTCACACTCTTTTGTCCGTTCCCACTCCCTGTGACCTTTGATCCTTCCCCTTTCTGGTCCCTCCCCTGTTTATACCAGACCCCTTGTGGTTTGCCATCTCCCTTTGTTTCTTTGTTCTCTCATCCACCCTCCCCTGCATCTTTCCACACCTTTCACACCTAATCCTCCTTTTGTGTTTCTTCTTTCATCCCTGCATGTTTGTGTGCACCCCCATGTTAATGTATGTACCTCTGTCATTTCTGTTTTAGCCTCTGAAGAAGAACTTGCTAAGTTCGCAACGTCAGGCCACATTAATTTTTAGATTTATATATATCAGGTCCATCCAGTCAGTAAGCAGTTTGCAGCAGTCTTACTTTTTTTCAATTAATTAAGAGTAATTTTCTCAGGAATTACATTCATTACTCTCGTTAATGCAAACTCAACCGGCGATCGTGTTGTGTAGGGCCCGGTTCCTATAGGGGAACAAAATCCACTTTAAAATTATTGGACCTACCAAACTAGTTGGCGACATTCTCAATAAACAGGTTTGTCAGAGATGGTAGATACCGTAGAGGGAAATTTGGGGGTAAAATGACGATGACAGCGCGGCGACAACACGCGACCTGAAAATAAAGATGGCGATCACCGCGCGATGTAACGTGAGCAGGCACGGCGCGCTGAATCGCAAGGCACAAACCGCGCAGGAAAATCGTGATTTCTACCCCTAGAATCTGTTGAAAATTGCAAAACGGGTGTCATTAGAATTGAGAAAAGTCTGCTTTTGATTGTATAGGTGATTTTTGAGCAATAAAAAAAAAAAAAAGGACTCTAATTTGATCAAAACAAAACAGGGGCCCTACACTTCACGATCGCCACTCAACCAAACCTAGCCAAATGTTTGTTAGCCTATATCAGAATAAATGTATATTCACTATTTAGCAGAGTTTGTATTAACGAGAGTCAACTGTATGTTGTGGGACTCACATTGTTGGTAATGGTATCTGAGTGACCAGCGGCACCCCCTCAATGCCACTCAGCAAGTCATGTGACAGGTTGGGCGCAGAACCGCAACGGGTGTACAGCAAGCAGCCTGGGGTTTCCATGGAGGTGTTACCATGGCGACCGAGTTCGGAAAAAGTTGCCAGTCGGCCGGGTGCCCTTTGAGTGTTGTGGAGATTGAACTTCATACTGATTTAGTTAGCATCGTCTTAGAACTGTAAAAAATTATTGAAATTCTGATGGTTAGGGGATTGTTTTTGAACGATGGTTGTACATCATGTTGATATTATACAGGGTGGCCAAAAAAAAAAAAAAAAAAAAAAATGCAATCTCATACTTCCAATTCCCATCTCCATGGACCTAAACCATTGATATGTACTAGTATTAGGCTAGGAAATTTTTGTTAGAAGGAAAATGATACTATCAGAATTCCTGACTCAGATAAGTAATTTTGTTTGCAGCGCCATTTTTGTAAACCAGTCAATGAGTCTTCGACTCGTGCAATATTGTTATAGCTTGTGCAATATATTCTTGTATCTATCTCAAAGCCATCCAATATTATAGAGATATTGATAACTTGTTAGTTTATGTTGAATAACAAATTAACACTGACAAACACTTTCATGATATGCGTCATCTTGCTTACGGGGCAAATGTACATGCGTTTCTGTGAACATATGAACGTATGCTGTGAACGTCACCTGACAACAGAAAGATTCCCATATCTTGCCATCACTAATTTGTCCCTTCAGTGTCAGTGACCTATCACTTATCACTATCAGCCATCAGAAAGTAAGGGTCGCACTAAACAGCGTCAACACAGCGTCTCTGTTGGTTTATTGTACAACGCTATCACCCTTTAGAATAATGGTATGGTCCGCGCTGCCACTGAGGCAACATGGTGGGTGTTCGGCAGCCGATTTCGGAGCGGCACGGAGAGCCAATTTTCTTGAACTAAAAATCGCGATTTTCAGACGTTTAACCTATTGATTTTAAGCACAAATCTTGTTTCTGTCCATACTGTATGGGTTACATACTGCTTTTGTCAATTTTAATGCATTTTGGATGTGTTGACGCTGTGTTGACGCTGTGTTGACGCTTTGGAGTGTGTTGACGCTGTGTTGATGCTGTTTAGTATGACCGGAAAGTAATATGTCCTAAAATTTAAAGTCAAATTTAGCAGGGAAAATATTGTCTGAGAAAACACTTAAAAATTTTCAGACCAGTCTCATACAGTTTGTGCACAGGGTAACAAGTCATGGCCAGATATCTTTCCTTGAAAACTTTTGCGCTTCCAAATCCAAGTCATCACATCACGACAATCACATCATAACAAGTTTTAGAAAATACTTTGAAAATGCACTCAACTCTCCATAGACATGATAGACTTTGTACACAGCCAGAGAAGTGGCGTCTGGATCTTCATTCTTTCCCGACCATATAGCTCTAGACTATGCATCCTAGTTACTCGGACCATATTCCTCCATTCTCTGACAAAAGCTTTCCACTGCGCATAAGTTTGTTGGCACATTAAATGATTAAAAAACAAAGAAACAATGCAGTACTTACGCGATTTCTGCTCAACATGTGAGCGAAGTTTTTGGTACAGTCGCCAAAATACAAAATAGCGCCCTCTTTGCATTCGAATTCGTTTAGAAGAGGGCGCTATTTAAATTTTGGCAATCGGCAAAAAGTAAAAAAAAAAAAGAAGCTGAGAACAGTGCCAGAGGCCAGGCTCAATTGGAAGTAATTTAAAGTTGCGTTCTCCGTGCTCTACAACAAATTCGATTGTTTTTCTATTGCTAAATGTTCAAATTGTATGGTTTATTCCAACTTCCACCCCCACCCCCCCTCGCTATTTCACGTTTGTTTTGGGCACAAATAAACTTTATCACGAGCAGGCTGGCTTCCAGTCCGCACATCGGTATTGATCATGGGACGGGAGGCTACCAAGGGCGGATCCAGGGGGGGGGGGGCCCAAAGGGGGCCATGGCCCCCCCCCCCAAAACGAAACCAATTTTTTTTTTTTTTTTATGTGACATCGCAATAAAGGCAGGCAATGAGTACAGTACACCACCATCTTTTCCTCAAAAAAAATTGGTTAAAGTGGTCAGAAATTGCCTCAGATCGCACCACAGAGCATCTAGAATCCAAAAAATTTTCGGGGCCCTAGCGGGCCCCGAACCCCACGCCGTAATTTTTTAGACCCACTTTTTTGGGGGACCAAAATTTTTTTTGGCCCCCCCAAAAATTGTGTTCTGGATCCGCCCTTGACGGGAGCCAGCCTATCCAGTTCTCACTGTCTTGCAGCCAATTATTCAAAATTGTCGATGTCTCATTCAATAGTGAATAACTAGTCTTTTGTATTGCTATAGCTACAAAAGATACTTAAGATAGCAATTTAGAAAAGGAATCTATTTTCCGGGTTGAAACGCGAGAATAGCACGGCGAATACATCTTTCATGTCAACACTTTGGCTTCGTCCTTTATTATATATAGCGTAGGCTGGATTAACTAATGAATGGGCTGCTATGGAATGCTTACTGTAACAAATTTAATCTACAATATTTTATTTCCCATCTTCATTCGGACTTTTGCGGCTTCATGTGTATTATTTATCGTGGTAATGCGTTTAATTTGCACTTCAAAACAAATGGATTTGGCATTTTCAACGCTTAGTAAAAGAGAATGGTCCTAATAAATAGAAGGCCTATGATCATGATTTCTTTCGAACTGAAACGTGAGTTGGTTAGGTTTAGTTGTCTGATTTAGGTGTTGATCTTTTTAGGTATTGATCTTATCATTCGGACATTGAAGAAAGTTGTTATCATAAAATTGGGGTAATTGATCCTATATGGCTTTCTGAAATTATTCTATGTACTACCCATATTAGGCCAAAAAAAAATATTTGGTCTCTGGTCAGACCAAAGTTCCGGAATTGACGCGGCCACGCGGCCTTTTTTTTTTTTTTTTTGCTTTTTTTGCTTTTTTTTTCTTCAAGCTTGGATTGTACAGACAAGGTGGGGTACTATTTTGCTTTTTTGGTGTCCTCATGTACATTGGTGTCCTCCATAATTTGCCTTGGTGCTTTCGATCATTTGCCTTGGTGCAATTTCCCATTCCTTGGTGCTCTTTGGTAAAAAAAAATTGAGGAGGTGCGGAAATAGAGGGCGCTGTTGGAGCTACCGCGGAACATTTTGGAAAAAAAAAGAGATCGACGCGCATGATTAAAATCGACGCGCGCTGACCAGAGACCGACTTATCTTTTTTTTGGCCTTATACAGGGCTATTTAAAACCGTAATATCTGATGTGGGCCTAAGTTGTTACATCGAGTTTTATAATGGTGTTGCATTGAAATAAACTAATGTTGTGCATTGGGCCTACAAGACGGTAGACCGCAAACCACGGGTACATTCGCGCGGTGGGTTGACGTTGGTCGTAACGGGCACATTAACTCCGCCATAATAACTTGCGCCGTGAATTTCCGAACTGTTTTGGTTTTTCCGGTTTATTTGGGGTTTCTCACAAATAGTCTATAACCGAACCGCCGATCCGACCCGAAAATCGCAAACGCCAAACCAAAACCGGACCCGAAGTCGGTTTCGGGTCAGTTTCGGTTTCGGGTCGGGCTTGCTCAACATTAATGTAAACCAAATTTTTCTGTGTGCTTTACCCCATAATTTGCGGCAGGAAAACACACCGCAACCTCCCCGTGAGTGACCCTATGAACATCTCCCTTTCGCCCGAGACTAACTACAACATATAGCATGGGCCTGACATATTGCCATACTTTGTTACTATGACAATAACAAGTTCGTGATGAAGTCTGACAATATTGTCGCGTCTGATATTAAAATGTGAAAATTGTAATATACTCTGGTGAAATTGGAGTCATTTTACTCTTCCGACCTGGCAAACAGCTATGATGAATATAATAAGGAAATACATGTACAATGACGCCAATAGGCAGGTATATGTTACGAGTGCCGAATGTACGCGTGGAAACGTACGCGTGGAAACGGCCCACGAGCACTTAACTGTGGGAAAAATACACCCTTGTGCAGGTAGCTAGGTCACAGTGAAGTGTCAAACAGCTCGTTAAAAGTGGCTGCATGTCCATAAATGGCCGAGATGGGAAATCATTGACACGTCGGTAAATAAAACCGCACCACTAGTTGTGACATTTACGCAAACAAAAACGGTAATAAAATGTCCATAGCTCAACTCCCGCACAACTGCATGTTCGTATCGCCAACCAACTCACAGAAGCAATTTATTTAAAAGCTAAAAATTAATGATGCCATCCAGACAGCTCTGACAAAGGTCTGACTAGCATGACTACACTGCCTGTCTGAATGCTATCTTCTTCGGGGCTGGGTCAGTATTATCATTCAGCTACGAGAAATCAACAAAGCATGAAAGAAAGGTTAAAGTACAACCTGTGCACCTCTCTGTAGGCTGAAGTTTGGTATCACGCGTTTATTGCCTGATGCACTTTTGCGCATTCCCCGTCAACAACTGTCGAGGGAGTAACCTGTGAACCGCAAAAGGTACGTTTGTCATACCGAAGATTTTGTTATTGCCATTAGAAAGTTTGTGTAAATTACATATTTTGTGTTGCCCATTTCCTCTTTTAATGAGAAATACTGTATGTCTAAACCTTTATATTAGTGCACGGGCCTAACTTGCATGTCGAAGAGATACGTCCCTAATTGTTTTCCAATTGCACTTGTTGCAGAGGAAGCTGCTGGACTCATAACCCTCTTTTGATACAATGCATTTCGAGTTGTGTATTTTTCCCTGATGCTTGGTCAAGTGGCTTGTACTCAGAATCAACTCTTTGTGGTCTCTGTGGACCTAAAACCGACATTATACCCGGGGAAAATGCTACATTGTTGACCTATTTTTAGGATCATTATTCCCATCACCAACCTTTTGTGATGGGGTCGTTTCCCCATACTTTCAGTCTCAGATCCACCGTCTATCAAATTATAATTTCAAGAGGTTTGGTATACAGGTCGATTGCCTACAGGAGCCATCTTTGTGGAGTGTTTTATGTTAATTCATACTGAATGCAAAAGAGGTCTACTTTGGTGTAACATTGATTAATCAAAGCAGTTTATGAACCTTATACTGGTCAACATTTCTACCAAAAGCTTCGATTTCTAGAACCATGAAGACAGTGGTTACCGTGTTCGGTGCGACGGGACAGCAGGGCGGATCCGTGGTCCGGGCTCTCCTGGAGCAGCCCGACAAGTTCCAAGTCCGAGCCGTCACCCGCAACCCCACCTCCCCGAAGTCCCTGGACCTGGAGGCAGCGGGCTGCCAACTGGTCCAAGCCGAGCTGGCCCAGACGGAGAGCCTGATTCCGATCCTCCAAGGGGCGGACTGCTGCTTCCTGGTCACCCTGCCTCCCGTGGAGATGGTCCTGGAGGAGGCCGTCAAGGACGAGTACCAGTACGGCATGAACGTGGCCAACGCCTGCATGGCGGTCGGCCTGCCGCACCTGATTTTCACCACCTTGCCAAACTGCGAGGAAATCAGCGGGGCTCCTGTCCCGTGGAGTGACAGCAAAGCCAAGATCACCGAGTACTTCAAGAAGAAGGAGCTACCACTGACCTCCATCACACTCCCAGACTTTTATGAAAATTACTTGAGCGTTCTTAAGCCTAAGAAGGTAGAAGACGGTGTATACAACATGGGTAAGTTAACTTGAAAGGACCATCACTATAAATAGTTCTGCCAGCTATGACGCTTTGAATGCTTTAGGTCCATGGCATGGAAGCTTAGCCTGTAGATCCTACTCAATTTTCTTAATAATCATCGAAATTGTCGACAATAATTGGATGACCGGATTCCGCATACATTTACAAAGTAGACGGTGGGGCCTTCTCAATTGGTTATTTAATAAGCAATTAAGGTGGGGCCTTTTCAATTTCTTATTAAATAAGCAATTAAAAAGTCCCCACATACTAACACGGAGCATCATAATAGAACACATAGTTCGTTCGATGCACGCATTTAGGTTTCTCTTCACACAATCAGTGACAGGATACGAGCGGCCGATGCCAACCATGGTGACCGTTTTAGCCGATTTTCGGCTAACTTTGACAGATTTTTTGTTAAAAAAACGAGTTTGACAGAAAATTGGACAGAATGGATTTTTTTTGTCAGATTTCTGGCAGAATTCTGCAAAAATGGTTATTTGACAGAAAACAGCGAATGTGAACAAAAAAGTGTCCATTTGTTTAAAAATCTTCAATCCTTTAAAAAAAAATCCTTGAATAAATGGGACAGGTTGGCTGGTCTAGGTGCTGAGGTTCACTGGGAAACGGACTTCGTGACTCGTCGTGGCCGGATCCGCGTTTTGCCCAAAATTTACCAATAATTTCACAACATCTTTATGTGACTAGATTGTTTATTTTGTAATTTGATCTTCAATTAAGGCAATACTACCAATCTGCATGTGATTTTAAGTGTTTATAGTGTATTTCGAGTAATTCTGGGGAATTTGGCAGATTTTTGATAAATCAAACAGATTTTTGATGCGCATTTAGCAGAATTTGGCTCTGAACTTACGGTCACCCTGATGCAACTTGAATTACAGATGCGATGACACCTTGCACGATGTGGCCTCACTGAGGAAAGCTTTAATTTGTTAATTGTTTCAATTCAGTAACAATGAAAGCACAAAGTATGTGTATCACAGATATAAGACCAAAGACCTTTCCTCGGTTCACGTCAGATACAAGGGGTCTCTTGCTTCTAGCGTCCTAAACCGAGTGCAGTGATGTTAACCCCGATCTTTTGTCCTCTTCTCCACTGCAAGTCATTCCAACAGGCGAGCAGGCCTACAGCTTGATAAACATCACCTACCTGGGCGAGGCAGTGCGCCACATCATCACCCACAGAGACGAATACCTCAACAAGAACCTTACCTTGGTGACGGACAGACTGACAGTAGGGGAAATTGCTGACATCATGAACAAGCATCTAGCACCGTTTGGGAAGACAGTTGGAAATGCTAAGGTCAGTACTGCAGGATATTAAACACACAATGTCTCAAGAAGTGGGGAAGACAAACGAACTTCCCCGAACAAGCCTCGCCTCTTTGAAATGAGGCCAGTAGACATGACTGTCATCAGTAAGGTGATGATTGTCTACCAAAAGGCCAATTGCATTGCAAACTAAGGCACTCGTTTCAAAATACATTTGCAGGGATGATAACACAAAACATCGGTGAGTCTTGTGTCACTTGAAAGTTTAATTCGCGCCCCACATAGCATAAACCGAATACTATACAGAAAGCAAAACAGCAAAATGTATAATAAAAAGACCTAGAAAATGCAGTTTGTTTGCAAAGTTGTAAATGTGACGGATTTAAGATTGAGACATCACAAAATTTCATTAATGATTGAGATTCAATCAGCAACTGAATGTTATCAGGATAATAAAACAGTTGTTTGATGTCCAGGTCATTGTGGATCATCACGGGAAAATTACTTTTATCGGCTTTTGATGACCAAGGCCTAGCTCAATGTTCGACCAAGAACTGTACACTCTAAAACGTCCCAGGTCAGATTTGACCCGGAAAAGGGTCATGTGGGGCCTGACCCTTTTCCGGGTCAAAAAATTACCATTTTCCGGGTCAAAAACACTTTCCCGGGTCAAAATGACCCGGAAGAAGATGGGTCACACAGTGTAAGCACCAGAAAAGAGTCATTTTTGACCCGGAAAAGGGTCAGGCCACACATGACCCTTTTTCGGGTCAATTCTGACCCGGGACTTCTTAGACTGTAGCATGATCTTGGCTAAACCAAACAACGCACTCTTTGATATTTCTCTCCCCAGTTCACACTGGACCAGACAAGGGAAAAATACAAAGCCATCGCTGGAATAGAGACTCTGGTGAATTGGTACAAGTTCATCTTGGCTGGTCCAGCAGACCCGCAGTACGAGGAATACAAGGACATAGAACTTGGACGAAGGCTCATGCCATCGGCAAAGTCTTTTGATGAATGGATTGAAGAACATAAGGAAGTTCTTGCTGCCGCTCTGTGTTGACTTAAAGCGTATCCTGTAGTGGATGTAGTGTGACCAATCAGCTCCTAGATTCTGGTGGAGGGGAAATAACGTGAATCTGGTGCATGAAGCAAAACACGGGACACACGCCAGGTTTGAGATGCTATTGGAGAGGCAGTCTCTAGTCAAATGCATCAGAGCTTTCACTTTGCACTTTCTTGAGAACAGTCGTCAACTACACCTTGCACTCGTGTAGATAGCTGTCCAACTTCAATTTACTATTTTACTATCTTAATTTAGTCCATGGTTTAGTGTACTTTAGTCTAACTAATTCGCAACACCTGGTAGCCTAATTTTTTTCACCTGATTCTCCGCAAAAATCGAAATGAATGCTTTCTTAAATTTCAGAGCAGGTTCCTCGCGCGAAGTGATTACAGGGAAAACGATATAAGACGTTTTGCTGGTCTACATGCGATGTTCTGCCGTTAACATTTACATTTACACAGTGCGACAAGATATGGAAAGGCGGATTTTGAGCTAAGCGAGGAGAGTGAAGTGAGATTAAAGTCTTCAAGATAGACGATGTTCTCTCAAGATTTATCTCCATAATTGGTCGATCGTATTTTGCGCATTGCCAGCCGAAAAATCGAGTACACTGTAGAATGAAGTTTGTGAACTGAGAAGTGAACGGGCTAGACCGAGCCGTTATTGGTTTCCTTTCACACGCGCTGGCGCTATGGCGGAAGTTGGGTCTATCGTGGTCAGTTATAATTGACCAATGAGCGTTGTCTTGAGAACTTTCCAGTACTTTGATGGGTAATCACGCGTCCTGGTGTCGGGCTACAGGCTGGTTCCTTGTAAGAAACTAGCTAATAATGATTATCGAGAAATGAACCCATTTAGATGTATACCTTTATGCGCGTGCGCTGTAAAATGTTTCGCAGTTGTATACCAATGTTGAATTAATGCTATAATTTGCAAACATTATGGTAATTGGTTGAGTGGTTTATGTGTTAAAAGGTAACAGTCCACAATTTATAGGAAATCTGAATTATGACTGAAATGTAGAATGTGATTAATGACATTGCTGCTTCTGTTCTTCAGCGGATGGAATATTAGGACTAGTATAAAGCCCTGTCCGCACTGGACATTTTTTGGTCAAACTAACCGAGACTATGGGTACTTTTCCCATTTTAAGTCCAGTGCGGACAGCCTAGGACGTTTTCCTCTCGGTTACTTTTCCTGAGTCCAGTGGTTACTTTTACTGGCCAACTGCTGCCCAGGAAAACTTCCCACGCGTCCAGGAAAATTGACCAGGTCACTTTTCCCGAGACGATAAGTCCAGTGCGGACAGTGTGAGTCGGTAAAAGCGGCTCAGGAAAGCGTACACCGGCTCGAGCGCCCTGTTATGCATACAGAGACCGCACGAACCTGCACGTGCAGTGGCCGAACATTTTGTAGAAACACGCTGCAAGCGGTAAAATCTCGTTAAAATATATATTTCAACGGACAAATACATACACAGAGAAGAGAGATCACGTTCTGAGAATTAATTTGCGGAAATTCTCTTTCTCCACCGATGTATGTTATTTTCTACGATCCAAATGCGTCCTGATACGCTACTGTAGTCATGCACGGAACATCATGGTCCGGTACCGTACGTAGGCCGTAGTCACTGGTTCCTGGCCCACATCATAACTTCGATTCTGTAAGCATGCGATGGGAACCAACGAATAGTGATGGCACTGCTGCCGCACGGAACATCGTACAGCGGCATGGCTTCGACGACGTGCATCACAAATGCGTCATAATTATAGGCCTTTTCGTCAAGATTTAGCGTGTCAAGATGAAATAATATCGTGTAAACGATTATGTTGTGCATGCAAATGGCGTGTGTAATATTATTGTGCGTATCGGCGGCTGAAAATGTGATCGGTAATTTGTTTTCTGTGTACGGTGAGTCATTTTACTGACACTGTGACAGCTCGGTTACTTCTCCCACGCGGTCTGGGTAAATTTTCCCGTGTCGAAAGTCCAAGTGCGGACAGTGGTCACATTTGACCATTTCTCATTTTACCATCGTCTCGGTAAAACCTTCCAAAAAAAAAGTCCAGTGCGGACACGGCTTAAGCCTCCTATGCAGCCTCTCCCAAAACATCAACCCGATCACAAAACTCGATCTGTTCTTTAAACTTTGGTATAAACTCCAAAACAACAAATTGGTCAAGATTTTTTTTTTATAAACGACTTTTTGGGGGCTAATTTTATTGAAGTATTAGCTCGGAGATAATCACAGGAAATATATATGGTAAATACATCTCATCAGTTATCAATGTATGTGTCTTGTCAAGAAAAGAAAGTATCTGCTAGTGATTAATGTCTTGGGTCTATCATGATATTGATATTTCCTGAAAATTTATTAAGCGGTAAAATTATGAGAAATTACCGTTCAATAAAATGTCAAATTTAAGCTTACTATGGGTTCCATGTGTGTGTTGTTGAAAGTGGGCCCTCCGTCGAAGAAGTCCTCCCCAAAATATCAAAAAGTTATATGATTGAGAGTAAGCATTGAGCTTTCCTTTTTTTGAAATTCAAGCCCACCCCTCCAGGTTTCCAGGGCTTTATTTCCCGACATAAGCTGATAATTCACACATCTTCAAGACGTGAAGTTCGCCGTGATATCGGTCTACTGCTCTGAAAGTTTTGTGCCAACTCTCCTTCCTCCGCCTTCACCATAATGATAAAACCAACCCTTTAATTCTAACTAATTTAATACTATAACCGGACCTCTGGGCACTGTACATTTTCATTTCTTCATTTCATTTCTACATTGTTTCCACTTCATTCACAGGCAGAGAACAAACAACACAGCATTAACAAACACAGAAATACAAATACTAATTACATAAGGACAGGGAATTATGAAGTGAAGAGAAACTGTACATGCTTGTTGAGTACGGGACCTCTGGACAACAAAGTTTAGAAAACAAAGAGACTTATTTGATTATGTACAGATCAAATTAAATTGGATAAATTAAACGAAAATCAAAACACAAACAGTGACAGCGAAAAATGCATATATAAGTTGTGTCATCAGCAGAAGTACGCAATTAAAACATAAAATCAAGCAAAACTTAAGGAACTAAAATGTTTAGCAATATCAAACAGGATGCTTGGCATAAGAAAAATACAAGTGTCACAAATTAGTACATAAAGTCAAATCAAACAGTACTGATTTTAGAATCTTTGAACTTGTTTTTGAAGAGACAAAGGGTTGTAGCATTGTGTAGGCTAAGTTTGTATGAAGGGAATTCCATAATTTGGGGGCCTTGATACTTGATTGTTTTCAGGGACGTTTTTGAACGGGAAAATGGGAAGTGAAAATGGGAAGTCTGACGTGTAGAATATGCATGAATATGACGGTTTCTGGAAAATATTGAAGTAAGACAAAATGGTCTTTCATTGTGTGCAAGTCTTATCGCTAAGAGAAGGGGTTTGCCCCGGTGTGTCTGGCCTCCTGTTATTACTCCCCTGCGGAGTCCTTAGGAGAAGAACCAACCAAGAACCAAGAACCAAGTTGACACGTGAAAGTTAAAATGTAAGTTCATCTTGAGGTTCCTATAAGATTGAGGAAAAAAGGGGGTTAGTATCATTTGTATAGTATCACATTTCACACCAGCCGTACTCGAAGAGTACACAATTTACAAACAGCCGTCACAATTTATTTATCACAATTCTCAGGGGCAACACTACTGAGTTTACCGTTGAGTGACGTCGGTGTAGGGCAAAACCGAATATTGAATTAACATCACCTTAACGCAAACTCCATCTTATGAATAGTTTCATTGCGGTACCCGCTGCTATATCTGATTTGAACCAGCCAGCCGACCCCGGCAGCGATTTGCTTTTCCAGACCACATAATTATATTCGGTATTATAATGAATTATGCTGGAGGGTGCATAGCGAATTAGTGGTATGGAAAACAAATCGCAACCCAGCAAGCTCGGTGGTCGAGTGGTAAGATGTCTGGTGGTGAGCACTAGTAAGCAGGATGTCGTGGGTTCGAGTCCCATCCGAGTGATTTTTTTCCTCACAATCACTTGGGGGCAACACTGAGTTTACAGTGAAAATACGTCGGTGAAGGGCAAAAACCCAATATTGAATAGATCACCCCAACGCAAATTCCATCTTATGAACGGTGTACGCAACCCCTGGACTGACGTGACATGGATATTCAATATAAAACGTCATGTGTCCGTACCGCATTCCCTAATGTGAAGTTTGATAATGACGCATGCGTTTTTTAATAAATATTCATACCTAGTAGGATTGAAGTGATGTACATTATGTCGTGCGTAAAATCGTACCCGACCCGTATCACACGTTACGATCGGACACTGGCTATCTTTTTGCACGGTGACCGATGAAATACTAGACGACATTAAATTAGGCAATGGAAAGGGCGCCCCTAGCGTTGAGAAGGTAAACGCGTGTTAGGCTACACAATATTGGGTGTAAAAAGCGAGCAGGATTTTCACTGATGAAGGAGAAAAAACAAATTTAAAGTGAGGACGAAATGAAGACACAATTAAAAGGATTAAATGAACCAATAAATGATAAAAAGGAGGACAAAAAGAGCTGTCAGTGAAAATAGTAACATGTTGAGATTTAGCAATGCTTATCAGATGTACATGTTATCGGGGGAGGATGAGACTGGGCAATGCAACCAATCAGCGGCGTAGCTGCGGGGGGGGGGGGGGGGGGGGGGACGACACACGCCCCCATAACAAAATCGTCGCCCCCAGTCGCCCCCCCCCCCTTAACGGGCAACTTGAGAAAATTACAGTCCGATGAGTTGTCATGCTTAGCGGGTGTAACATAAAGTGCACTTTTGCCTCCACGTTTACTGTTTATTTTTCACGAAAACCCTTTTTTTTTCGCGCGATTGGCTGGTTATATTAACGTCCCGCGGCCCGTGAGAATTGGATAGCGCCGGCTATTGTCTGACAATGACTATGATGTCGGTTTTGAACAGCGTCCCCATGGGAAGATGGTGACCAGCCCTCCTCCCCACCCCCATACACACTTTTAGATTTTACGGGGGTCGTGTGTCCGGGCCGGTGAAAAGTGTGTATATTTCAGCACGGATGAAATGTTGCGCCCCCCCCCCCGCACTGTAACATTCAGCTCCCTCACTTGCCCCCCTAGGATGAGAACCCTGGCTACGCTGCTGACCCGAAAAGGACTCAAGCGGCGATTTCTTCAAAAGTCCACAACTATCCTGAAGTCGTTCAAACGTGGAAACCACATTCAAGTAAAACCCGTTACCCATTACTCGTAACATGAATACAATTATCCCCTTCAATTGTTTCGATGATATAATAATAATTCATAAATACCTAAGACAGTTTACCCATTCCTATTGGTCGGGAACCCGTCACGTGCCCGGGGGAAGACCGGCTGGCTGGTCTTAAACACTGTTCCAGTAGTTGAGCGCGCGTATGGAGCGAAATCTGCTTTTTACCTATCCAACGCTAGGGGCGCCCATCCCCATGCGCACCTGCTATCTGTTTCATTTTTTTTCAGCGGAGTGTCCAAACTTTTCTGTATACGATCTTTATGCATTAACAGCAGCTAGCTAGTACATTATGCGGAAGATGGCCGACGGATCATCTGTAACGTTACTGTCGATATTATTGTCTGGATTTTCCAGCAGATATATGCACTAGATCTATTCGATTGACCAATGCATATACCGTATGGTAGTTCCAAGATATAACTGGGCAGAAAAACAAGACAGAACATGGCCACATACATCCAAGTTGTGGAGGAATTGACTGACGATGAAGCGATCGAGTTGCCAGTCGAGCCGGACGGTACGATGTTGCTGAGCACCCTGACCGCACAGTTCCCGTGCGCGTCGGGCCTCAAGTACCGCAACCCCGGCACGGGCAGTCTGCGGGGATTACGGGTTGTGGATGGGGGGATACAGCCACCGGATGGGGTATGGGGAGATCATCTGTACATCGCAGTTTTCCCCAAAGGTATTAATATCCTCGATCTTCCTATTTCTGCCCAGATAAATAAGGCTTTGCAACCAAGCCCAAGCAGCTTAAAAATAGCAAAGCAACAACTCTTTTCCTCAACAAAACTGTTGGCATACGATCATCCACCGTACCTATTAACATCATTAACAAAGCAAAATCTCTTTATTTGTGGCAACAAGCAGGGAATTCCAAAGCGTGCAGTTTTGGCGTTGTAGAAAAGAATCCTGCCTAATTCAATATCCTATTGTGGAGATTTATACGAAGGCCTATATTTACATATTTACATTTACATTTAAATAGATTTTATACATATTTACATATTAAATGTAGATCCCAATGATATCGTTATTCCGATCATCCCAATCCACAGAGACAGTTGTTAAGATGTCAGATTTTTTATTAAATGATACAACTAATAAGTATCGAAAGGGAAATCCAGCAAACACCTGCATTAACCAATTAGGCACTGTACCACCCCAAACCATCCTTCCTATTCCCATGAAACTGCCCGAGCACTCTATTTATATTGAAATACCTTTATTGTTATCTACATCAGTGATACAATAAGAACATTAAGAAAATACATGTACATGTGTCTATAATTAAAAACACTTACATTATCACACCAAAAGAACATCAAATGCGGACAAATTCAAAACACATACATGTAAATGTAATAATGGCAAAAAAGGAGGAAGACCTAGGTCTCAGGCCTAGGAACAGGGGGGGGGGGGATCCCTGAAAGGGCCTGGCAAGGAAAAAACAAAGAAAGGAAAAATTGACAGCCAAATGGAGGGGGAACAACGCTTCAGGGTGTCGGATGCTTCGCCCCATTTCCACGTCGCCCCATGTCACTTCGCCCCTAACCACTTCGCCCCATCCCCACTTCGCCCCATCCCCGCTTCGCCCCATCCCCACTTCGCCCCATCCCCGCTTCGCCCCATCCCCACTTCGCCCCATCCCCACTTCGCCCCATGTAGATTGTTCCTCCAATAGTGAAATTAGGATGTCAAAGGTATTGTCGTTCTCAGATAAGTGGGAGACGGGTTGGTATAGCCGGGTTGGGAACAAAGTTGGATCTTTTACTTCAAGCTTTTTTTCTCGGTAGGGGAGAGTGATAGCTTGAGAGGTTGGTTATGAATTGTTCATTTGGTCAATGTTGGTGGGCTAATTCTTTCTGTTGGTTAGCAATTAGTGAATCTGTTGGAATTGTTTTTAAGCCAATAAAATAGATGAGATTTTTTTTTTTTACATGTAAAAGCTGGGGCGAAGTGGGGATGGGGCGAATTGGGGATGGGGCGAAGTGGGAATGGGGCGACATTAAAAAACAGCTTGTTCTAATTCTTTGTTATTCATGGATTCATCAGTGAAAAAAACACAATGTTATAAACTTTAGAACAGGTGCAATTTGGTCAAACAGGTTGTTGGACCCAGGAATTATTTTCTTTTTGCAGACAATAAACGCAAAGGAGAGGACAATCAAGAGAAGACCAACTCGGCCAAGACACGGCGTGTGGACCAGCTCCAGGGCATCACGCACAACAAGACGGTTGACTTGATAGTCTTGGGCCTGGCATGGAAGACAACACAGGCCGGAATGAGGGAGTACTTTGAAAAGTTTGGGGAGCTTCTGATATGCGAGGTGAGATGTGAAGGTGTCAATGGATTGGACTCCGTTCATGAACAGTAGAGGGCACTTTTAGGTCACTTTCGCAAGCCCGATGCTATACGATCTTTGCGCTACTATTTAGACCATATTATGCTTAAAAGCAGTACAAAACTTGCCTTAGAAGTTGATGCAGTTGCATTGATGAATTTGTTTTGGCATTGTTTTAAGAAATTACAATGTTAATTTTCATTATGGTCAATGATTGGACTTTTAAACCTTTCTTAGCCTTGAACAAGTTGAAAAAAGTAGTGGATATGATGCACTTTTGTGAGTTTTGTTTTTTCTTAAAGTTTTATCCTCCAATTGAATGACAAAGATCTACATGGTTGTTACATAAAACAAATAATGAATGTTTTGCATTCGTGCAATGGTGAGAATATTTTCATTCGTTGAAAGATAGAATGTTCCACTCAACTCGGCTTCGCCTCGTTGAATGGAACATTCAATCTTTCAGCTCACAAAAATATTCTCACCATTGCACTCATAAATATTCATTATATAGTGAATTGTCTCTCCATTCCCGAATCCTGCAAAATCCTCCAAAACCTCCTGGTGGACTTTTGTAGGATCTGTAAAAGTTAGCGTTCAATTCCCCAAACAAATTCTTTGCAGTAGTCTTGTCACCGTCACAAATTGTATGGCTGATTTTTCCGCAGCTGAAGTTAGACCGAGATGGCAATTCGAAAGGCTTTGGGTTTGTACGCTACAAGGACATGGAGGCCCAGAACAAGGTGGTATCTATGAGACACACTATAGATGGCAGACATTGTGATGTCAAGTTTCCCGACTCCAAGGTACAGGTTAGAGCAGTGCAATTTCAGTAACACAAAGGAGCCGAACCCTTAATTATTGTGCTTAGCCATGTCTGTGGACTTTATGTGGTAACAGTAGATTGTGCTGTATCAATCAAGAGTCAAACATGGTCATGTGGTGCGAGAGTGCACTGATTGCAGCGGGTATGTATAGACTAATATTAATCTGTATGTGCACAAGCCAATACCATCTTTGCATGGGTGCCAGACACAAGGCGGTAAAGGAATTCTGTGAGACGTACATGTACCTCTCTTTGTCATTATTTGGGGGTACTTGTGCACACAGCCAACTGGTGTCATGGACGAGCGGTTAAGAGCACCGAACTCAAGCTCTGGTGTTTCTGATCAGCAGAGTGTGGGTTCGAGTCCCGGTCTTACCACTTGTGTTCTTAAGCAAGACACTTAACCATTATTGCTTCGTCCTTCGGATGGGACGTAAAGCCGTGGGTCCTGTTCGTTATATAATGCACAAGTTTAAAAGAACCCAGTAACACTCATCGCTAAGAGAAGGGGTTCGCCCCGGTGTTTCTGGCAGTGCCTTTATCTTCATACATGTGAGGCTGCACTTTCAAGGAAGGAAGTGAAGGAAGGAAAATTCTTACATTATTTGACTTGGTTATTGGCTATGCATGAATTGATGAGTATGTACAATGTACATGTATAGCCAAATAAGAAGAGAGTATGAAAGGCACTCAGTTTTGTACTGGTTCGAAAGAAGGTCATGAGATCATAAACAAGCTTAGGACGGACTTACAAATCTTGACTTTCAGCTACAAATTAATGAAAAAGTAGGCTATACATGTATGTGTGATTCACAGAGCGAAATAATTGTACCAAATTAGAAATGCAAAACATTTGTTTGGATGTTGAAACTCGCCCCCCACACGTCCAAAACCAAGTAGCGGTTGGGACCTGCTGGTTTATAATTCTTAAATACTGGTGCAATAATATACATGCTTTAAAAAAAAAATGAACTAAACAGGGCCAAGTTGTCCAGTCAAATCTGATGAGGATTGGCTTTCTGACAAATTAGTGGTATATCAGGATTTTTTTTTGTAAACCATCATACATGTGCATTTAAACATTAAATTGTTGATTTATTCATAGAACTATAACAACAAGATGTTCATCGGTCGCTTGACCTCGGATATGACGAAAGAAGACCTTTACGAATACTTCTCCCAGTTCGGGGAGGTCACCGATATCTACATTCCCAAGAATTTCCGAGGGTTTGGGTTCATCACATTTCTGAGGCCAGAAGTGGCTGCCCGTGTTGCCAATGAGGACCACATCCTTAAGGTACCAGTTCTTTAAACTAATTAGAAGGGGAATGTGGCCTAGTGGTTAGGGTTCGTGACTCCTGATCAAAGGATTCGTGGTTCAAATCCAGCTGCTGGCCTTTTGTTGTGTCCTTGGGCAAGCCACTTCACCCACATTTGCCTCTCTCCAACCAGGAGTATAAATGCGTCCCGGCGTTAGATGGGGAGTAACCTGCGATGGACTGGCATCCTATCCAGGGGAATGGCTTCCAATTTAGGGGAACAGAAATATTTTCAGCCATTTTATGTCACTGAAACCAGAGATAAAAGCCAGTCTGATAAGTCGCTCTTTGACTATACATTTGTTTTGTGTTCTATACTCTGTAGACTAATCCAGTAAACATAATAAGAAGCCATGACTAACGTGGTACCAATACTCGTACAAATTTTGAACATGTTGTTGGGAGTCAAGAGCGTTCATAACCTGCGCGCGAGCTTGGTTCAACCTCGGTAGGGCTTCCAATAAAAGAGGGACCCATGTAATATATATTAATAATAAATTGGGAGGCTAATCGTCCTTACTGGCAGCTTGGATGCTGAATTGCGAAGGACGCGGCTACAACGTGGTCGGGCCGCTGGCACGTAAAGGCCCCTATGGCTGCCGGCCACATCGACCCATATATGACCACGGAGCACAGCCTGAGATCGAAAGTGTTTGATATTTCTGGAGGGAGGAAAACCGGAGGGCCCGGAGAAAAACCCTCATGGCACAGGAGAGAACCAACGCACAACTCTACTCACATGTGATCCACGGCCAGGCCAGGATCCGCGGCCAGGATTCGAACCGTGGTCACCTTGGTGAGAGGCGAGCGCTTTACGCACAAGCCACCCATGCCACCCTATAACGGTTACTGCATTAGTCTACAGGGGCTTGTCTCAAGTTTGTCATGTTGATAGAATTCCAGTGCGATAACTAAGGCCTGTAAGTATCAGTCTCAAAGAAAACTGATTGTCATTAATTGAGAAACCATTACTTTTGCTAGGGGACAAGTCTTTTTATCAGTGACGCAGAGCCTAAAAACTCCAGGAAAACGGCAATGAACAGCCCAGAAAACAACCAGATGGGAATGTTTGGAGGACAAAACTTTGGAGGAGGTAATTATGTCCCTTTTTCTTATTAAAAGAGGAGCATTATGTGAAGGATAAACGGACCAAATAACAACCCTCTAAAAGCAATAAAGGGCGAGTAAAAAAAAAAGAAACCCAAATTTCGGAACCATTGTTTGAGTGAAGTTCTGCATGTAGCACTTTCAAAATCTACATTGTGAAAGCCCAATTCATAAGCTTTTGTGTTAGTACAAGAATCATTCACATCACTCATGTACTTTTCAAGTTATGGAGTTTTAAACACAACCACCGTTTTAAAGTTCTGTCCTTGGATCACAAAAAAGGTGCACGTTCTTTCAGCAAAACAAAAACAATTCACACACATCCTTATGTGATTTGTTTTTGTTTTGCTGAAAGAACACTGAACTTTTTTTGTGATCAGCGGACAGAACCTTAAAACCGCGGTTGTGTTTGAAATTCCTTAACTTGAAAAGTACATAAGTGATTTGAATAATTCTTGTACTAAAAGAAAGCTGATGAATTGGGCATTCATATCCTAGATTTTGAAAGTGCTACATGCAGAACTTCACTAAAACAATAGTCCCGACATTTGGGTTTCGTTTTTTTTTTACTCACCCTGTACAGCTTGTTTAAAACTAACACTGTAAAATTTTGGTGAGTCTGTCCTTGAGAACAGTGTATCTTCTATAAAACAGTTGTGATATGTCTTTTATTGTTGAGGTACAGGCTATATGATAGTTCTGAACAGCTTTTAAAGCTACAGTCCATCATTTGTAATTTGTGCATTTTGTTCGTTTGAAGCAACAAAAGAGTTCAAAATCTAATGAAGGATACTGAGCAACTAATCTGATGAAGTTTCAGCTAAGCTTCAGCTTTACATTCCGAGAAAAACAGCATTCTAAGATCTCAATTTCAAATCAAAAGTTACTGAATCATGTTTTGAATTGTTTTGAATTGCAGCTATACGCGACGTCCCGCACTGATCCGTCGAATTATAACAACCGCGCGCGCGTGTGCGTCGTTCCAATACTTGTGCGCGCTGCGCTGAATAACAAAACGAACTACTAATTTAAATTTTCCTACGGTGCTTTTTAAGAATCACTGTTGGAAATGCCTTCTTTCGTTGATTACTTCAAAATGACAGCTTCCCAGAAAGAATAATTTCACAGGGAGTTTAGTTCCCTTACTATGTTTCAACCAAGTTTGTTTTTCAACAATAATTACGCCAGTTACTTTTCGGATGGCTGCAAATGATGGACTATAGCTTTAACTTACATAAATTGGATATGAAAGTTCTGAACTAAGTTGTGGAACAATTTTAAACCGAGGAAAAATTGAATATGAAAGGCTAGCTCTGAACTTGTCGAACAGTTTTAACTTGATTAAATTGGATATTGAAAGTGAACCACAAGTTATTGCCATCAGAAAAGGTAGTACATTGATGTAAGGACCAGTTTACAAGTCAACCAATCAGATGAAAAGGATTTATTTAGGTGTTATTTAAAACAAATAACGAATGTTTTTGTGCAATGGAAAGAATAATTTCATTGGTGACCGATGCATGTTCCATTCCACTCATCTTCGCCTCGTGGAGTGGAGCATGCATCTGTCACCTCATGAAATTATTCTTACCTTTGCATTGTAAACTATTTCTACCCTGAAATATAACTTACGAAAGAAACCTCTTTGCATGCTTTATTAACAGGTTTTGGAAACCAGGGACAGTATCATTCCCGTGGCGATTACAGCCAGGGAGCAAGGAGAGGGGGTCGTGGGGGGAGCAGCATGGGGGGCGGCGGGGGCAGTTACAGGGACTACAGGGACAGAGATCAGGGTGGCATGGGTGGCCAGGTGCCTAACAGCCCTGGTATGGGTGGTGGAGGGATGGGCGGGGGCATGGGTGGGGGCATGGGCGGGGGCATGGGGGGTGGTATGGGGGGCAACCCGGGAGGGCAAGGTCCAGGACAGATGGGGAACTTTCCCTGGAATCAAGCCATGCTTGCCGCGCTCAGCCAGGCAGGCTGGGGCATGATGAGCAACATGCTGGCCCAGGGAATGCAGCAAGGGTTACAACAACAGCAAGGGAACCAGCTGCAGCAGCAGCAGCAGCAGCAGCAGCAGCAGCAGCAACAGCAGCCGTCACAGCAGCCCCAGGTTGGGATGTCGCAAGGCAGCGGGGGTTCCGGAGTGCCTAACCAGCAACCCATGCAGCAGAATCAGGGCGGTGGCGGTGGAGGTGGCTATAGCTCAGGCCAGCAGTCTCTTGGCTGGGGTGCTGTCCAGAATAACACCAACGAATCACCGGGCACTGGCTACCTGATGGGAGACTCCAAGCCAGGAACATGGTAGCAACGTAAGTACAGATCCCCTCCTTACACACCTTGTGATAAACATTGGTTTTTAAAAAATATTTTTGTCAGATTCCACCTATGGACTTTTCTTTGTAACTAATAATCTACTTTCAGGATTTAAGAGAATTAGATAGATACTACAGTTCATGAAGTATTAAATGCCATAACCCAGAGAAAGTTTTCGGGTAGCATTTGCGCGCATTAGCTAACCGCGGCCTTAAACAGCTGCAGCTGGATGTCTTTATATAGGTCATGATAAGTTACCCAGAATGCCATCCCCACCTATTGACTTTTCTTTGTAACTAATAATCTACTTTCAGGATTTAAGAGAATTAAATAGACTACAGTTCATGAAGTATAAAATGCCATAACCCAGATATGTTTTACATGCCGAGCAACATAGTCTAAAATGATTCCATTGTCAATCCTTTATGCCACTTTTTCCGAAGTCTGTCAGTTGGCTAAGTGTAAGTGTTTATATGTTTGCTGAGCCAGGGCTGCTGTATTATTGAGTTGAAGTATTGTATATAGACCTAGGCAATATTTGTGGTCGTAAGATTGGCTCTTGGAGCAAAAGGTGATTGCTGTGTAAGGCGTATTACCCGAAATGCCATTATGTTAAGGGAGGGTGTAAGTGTTTGCGTGAAAAGAAGTATTACACCATGTCGTTATATACTTGTGCATGTGAAAGGTGGTATGGGAGGGTTTTGCGTGTGCTTAAGGCCTAAGAGTTATACCAAGACCATCTCACTCTACGACACAGCAAAGCTTTAACCCTAATTCCTTGAGTGGTTTGCCAGGAACCTTCCTCACTCTTGCAAAATCCAACACCATATGGTAAACTCTACACCAAAACTGTTGGACTCTGATTATGGTGGTATGCCTGACCCCATGTAAAGCATAATCAGTTTACTAGTGCAGTACTCACTCCAACAGTTTCCAACAAAACATGCAGTTGGATTTAGAAGGGTCGGGGTGGTTAGGGTGAATGATGTATCCTGATTGTGGTTTGGAGCATTGTAGTAATGAATGCGGCAATATATTCAGTAAGAGTTCTCTGGCAGGCCTTTGCCAATGTTGATGCAACTTTGGCACAAAAATTAGAGTTTTGGTCTAAGCTTGTTCTGCTGTAGTCAAAAAGGGTAAAAAAACAAAAAAAAAACCTGTCATTTGGATACACTCATTCTTGCATATTTAAAATGTTCAAGCCCCTTTTGCAGAGAGGTGTTCTTTTGAATATATTATTAATTCATTTTAAGTTTTACTTCTAGATTTTGTTTTTGTTTGCAACTGATTCCTTGACAATTTCTTTTTAACGTCAAATATTAACAAATTGAATTTTCAACTACATATTTATAATGGCTTTTAAAAGCACAAAATAGGATGCGGTGACATTTTAATTTAATCACTTTTGTGCTCCTTGCAAAATGTATTTCTCTGTATGTTTTGTGAGAAGAAAATGGAAATTATACATGTACATTTATACTTACTAAGTTTTTGACTTTGGTGAAAGGGCAAACCAGGTAGTTGTTCGTCGTGTCTTGAGTGAGGAATGCAAGGGGTGTAGCAGGTTCAGCACCACCCTTTTGAGCAGATGAGTGAATGATAAAACTAAGATCTGTTTTAAAGACGGACAGTGGAACTACAGGGTGAGTCAAAAAGAAGTTGACCGGGATTTTTTTGATGTTTTTCAAAACAAACAAATGATACTCAAAAGTTCAGTAAAGCATATATTTAACAAGTACTCTCTCCTGCTTATTAGAAAAAAAAAGAATGAAACAAATTGATCATTCCTAAGAGGAGTTATGTCTATTTTAATAAAGGTACTCATTTTTCAAGCTGTCCACGGAATACTTGAACAAACAAATGTAAAGTAAGCATTTTAGCTGTGTACATTAACATTCCATGGACAGCTACAAACATGAGTGCTTTGAGTAAAACAGGCACAACTTTTCTTAGGAATGATCAATTTGTTTCATTCTTTTTTTCAGATAAGCAAAAAAGAATGCTTGTTTAATATGTGCTTCACTGGGGTTTTGAGTGTCATTTGTTTGTTTTGAAAAACATCACCAATGCCGGACAACTTCTTTTTGACTCACCCTGTACATGTATTGGTTGGAATCATTACCATTTTATAAGGTGCTTTTGTGCACATTGTATACTGTTTTAGAAGTGTGAGTTCATGCACAATTGCGATTGCGACAACACCATGTGCTCTTTAAGTACATGTTTATAAGTTAATGAATATGAATAAGAAAACTTGACTGGGTTTGTTTGATAAACTCCATGTATTCAAGAATTTCTCTTGCTTGAACTGTGAAAAAAAGATCAGTGAAATGTACTTGTAAATAATTTGGAGGAAAGTAAACAACAAAATGAAAGAAATTGAAGTGCCTGTACAAATTTAAAACGAAGATTGAGGAATGGATACTTGTACCGAGAACAATATTCTGTACTCTGAAAATCCTGTAATTGTGAAGCGAGTTGTGTTTTAGTGCCGTTAATGTAATGATAGAGGAACTTGGAGGTGGCTGCAAACCCATTTCATGATCTACATGTAATAGATTGATGGTTTTCTCTTAAATTGGGAGCTCATAACATATGGGTCATTCTACAAATTGAGGTCCACTCATAAGTCCGACACCTCATACATGTAGGTCCGACGCCTCATCAGTCCGACAAAATTGCATCCCCCAACCAAATAAAGGCTATACATGTAAGTCTGACGCCTCATAGGTCCGACGCCTCATAAGTCCACCGCCTCATAGCTCTGATGCCCCATAGCTCCGATGCCTCGTAAGTCGGACAAATTAAACGCCTCGTTTTTCCGACGTCGGACTTATGAGGTGGCGGACCAATGAGGCGGGGTACATAAACCAATGAGGCAGAATACATAAATTTTATAGGCGTCGGACCTATCAGCCGTCAGACTTATGATACGGCCCCTACATGTATAAATTTGGGGTCCAACTTTTTGGCCTGTCCCTGTTACATTACATCTGACATCTGTGATTTTATAATTCTGATGCAGTCCTTAATGCAGTCGTCCTCCAATTAGCAAACTACCTACCTGACAAATAAAGAAATCAATCACTTGAAGTCAATCTTCGTGATATTTGAATGGCAATTACAAGGACCAAGGCAACAGGGACAGGAAAAATGTCACACTTTGAACCCTAAATTTATAGAATGACCTACATACATGTACATGTAGATTCATATATTTTTTTGTCAAATATGTGTATGATGAGGAAATGGATGCGTGCAAAGCATCATGGATATGCTGCATATAGGCCTAGGGGACATCAGACACATGTACATAATGTGCAAGTGTTGGATTGTGCTGTTAGAGTGTATACAATATGGTGATTGTACGTTATTGACAAGTTGAGTTGACAGATGAAGGAAGTACATGTACATGTATCATGTAAAGGTTTCCTGGTTTTTTTTTTAAGATTCTTGAATTATGATACAGTGTGTATATGTGTGTTAGAATTATTACTAATTTATACAAATTAGAAGTACAAGTAACATGTTTCTGTATTTTAGGAGATCATGCATGATCGTATCTAATTCATGCACTGTAGTGCTTGGGAATGAGGTTCCGTTGGGTTTGGTATACAACTTCAGTGTGTTTGTGTTTTACTGTTGAGCAGGTGCCGGCATAACATCTTCAGAAGTGATTTGAGGACTTGAGAATGTAAACCACGCATTTCCCAGTAGTTTACATGCAACACATGCGAGTGATGTTTGAGCTCTGGAAGAAATTAAGCTGAAGTTGACCATGTTTTTATGTATGGAGTGTTGATTAAGCAAAAGATGTTTTGTAAATGTATAGAAAGTTTGAGGGTTGACCTTGCTATTAATAAACGAGAGAGATCGGAATCGTCACTGTTGATTGATATATGCTTGATTTGTGAGTTCATGCTCTGAATGTGCGAGTGTGGAAACTTTGCAGTACCGGTATCTGACTTTTACCTACATGTATTAACCTTTTTAGCAAACTGTTTCTTGATGTTTGAGGATGTACACGTATACGTAGTTGATCAAGGATACATAGTCAGCGCCCATTGACAAAGCCCTGTGCTACCAGGTGTGATTCTTTGATCGAGAGGTGTGCTGGTCATCTTGTATTGCCTTGAAACCCCATATGAGTGCTGTGTCCACCGATGACTGGATTCTGTAAGTGTGGTGATCGATCATGAAGACGAAAACATTCTGTTTTAAAACCTGTGACGCTTGTGCGACTTGTGACGTGTTTGAAAGATGCTTGACAAAGGACAATTGTGTTTACCAGATATGCTTGTGACTGGCATGATTGACAGTTGGGACCGAGTTAAATTTTTTTGTTGGTTTCAAGAGTTTGAGGATCATCTGTGAAGGTGCACAACTTTGAACAATTTTGTTTTGTTTACCCGGAGTGATGAGATTTGTTGCAAGGCATGCGTGCGTGGAGGGCAAGCTTTGTGTATGATTGAAAAGATGCTTGCTTGATAGTTGTGAAGAAAAACAAGGTATGTATAATGGCTTGAGGTAAGTCTTGAATTTCTAAGATTGAATTGTTGAAGTTGTAATGCCCAGTCTCTCAAAAAGCAGTAGAAATGGTTATTGTGACAAAACGACATGTAAAGGTTACTTGTCAAGCCACCTCAAATTCAAGGACATTTTTAAACTCATTCCAACAAGATATACTGCAGTGTGTAACTGTGTAATAATGCAAACACACAAGTGCAAAAAAATAAAAAAATAAAATAAAATAATTATTTTCTTCTTTGAAAGTCCCTGATTTGGGCGTGGCATGTCATGTTTGATTTAAAACTTTTTCTTGTGAATAGTTACATGTTAAGTGTCATGGTAAGCTATCAGCATTTTATACATAAACTGCAATTGGACTCACAAGATTATATCTGTATACTGAAAAGCCTGATATGTCTTTGGAGTTAATTTCTTTTGGCAACTTTGGCCCATAACAACTGTTAGAAAGCACGAAAATTATCAAGCGTTCCTTAACCATGTTTCATGTGACTGAAAGGGACAGAAAGATGATTTTTGAAGTGGAATAATTACATGTGTTTTGATATATATTCGTCTTTGATTTTTGTAGCTTATTACAAAGGCAATAATGCAATAGGTAATCTACCATGGCATCATTTTCGACAATTTATGTTACACGTGTATCTTCCCACAGTGTCAGACCACGGTATACACTGCAATCTGAGTGAAGGCAACTGCCTTTGATGGTCTACAACAGTATCAAGCCAAACATGACAGAGAAAGGCAAGCACTTCTCATATTTATCTCCATTTCAAGACCTTGTCGTCATTGAAGTGGTGTCTCCATGAAATGGGCATCAAAAGGACACACTTTCTGGGAAGAATCACATTTCCCCAAAAAAGAGAAAGATTTGAAGGTTTGCACGTTGAAGTCGGCAATAAGTCGACAGTATGCTCTGCCAGTTGTGAGGACAAAAGTTTGTAGTAGCGCCATGTGTAAGAAATCTCTTCTGCAAGTTTGTGTGATTCTGAAAAGAACTGGGGGGGGGGGGGTTAACTCGTTTCGGAGATATACTCTGCTCCTTGTCAGGACACAAAAAGCCAGCAAAACTGTTGTTAAATTGTCATTTCCTTCAAAATGATTGATTATAAAACAAACTCACAATTCCTTTTCTACAGGATTACCACGATGTGAGATGCCGGCCAACCAGCTGCCTAGCAAGGAGCCTTAGGAGGTGGTAGCAATCAAATGGCAAGAGCCAAGACCGCTATCAACTAGGAGCCAGCAGTTCAACGGTATGAGACACATAGCCACGAGCCAGTGATCACCTACTAGGCCAGATGCCACGTGGCTGCCAGCTTTCAGCCAACTAGCTATCATCTAGGGTCCTGCCAGCTCTGGTATGCTAGCCAGCTTTCACCCAATTCCAGCTTATATCCGAGAACCAGCTAGCTGCAAGCCAGAAGGTCTCCACTATATGGCCAAAGGGAATGCAGCTTCTAACAGGAAGCCGGACGATGGTCAAGAGATGGTCAGACGTCAGACGTCAGACAGAGTCATGGTTGTGACAAGGATATTCATCCCAGGTATTTTTGCCAGCCATTTAAACCTCGTACTGTAAATATACACTACCAAAGCCATTGATTTTA